CTTTTTTAGCAGTGCCGGACCTCCCGGAACTGCAGAATGAAGTGCTGCCAACGGGTGGCCCTTCAGTCGCAAGAACTATTCAGGCCTCGCTGCGCTGGCGGTTCTTGTGTCGGTTCAAACTGGTTAGGAAAATGTGAGACTGGAGTTGAATGCTGACGGCAGGAAGGACACGATAACCCTGGCTCGAGCAAGGAAGTCCACGCTATTGTTCGCCTAATCAACCGCCACTATGCTCGTGCCGGAAAGATTGGATTGAAGCGTTCACTGCCAATGAGGTACGAGGATCTGTCTCAGTGAGTATCACCCCGCCTGTCCATGCTGACAGCAGATGTGTCACCTACATGGACTCGGAGATCCGCAGATTGACAACTGCCCAATCGGCCGGTGCCTTGAGCAAGAACGACAATCGCCTGCTGGTTTCGATGCTTTTCATGCGAGCCTATATGCCTCTCACATGGGTGTTGATGGCCCGGACCTCGGAAGTCAGGGGTTTGACCAACAGCATGCTAGTCCTCGATGCACCCCACCACCTATTCCCCGACCGGGAGGATCTGCGTCATGTAGAGATTCGGCTCACCTTCCGGAAGAACAATCAGGCAGACCCCAACCGAGCCAACGTTTACCAGTTGTACGATGTTGAGGACGAGCCCGCCGCCCACGTTCAGCTCCCACTTCGAAATTGGTTCACTTTCGTCCGGAACAACTCGTTCGGCGACCAAGCGAAGGAGCCGACAGCCCTTGTGTTTCCAGACATCGATGCCGCAGGGAAGCCGGTGTTCACCAAAGCATGGGGGAAAGAGCCATTCCGTCGCATCTTCAATACCGTCGTTGACGGTGCGGGCATCGCTCAACGCCGTTGGGGTACAGGACGCTTCATGTCTCATTCCCTCCGTCGAGGTTGCGCCCAACATCGTGCCATGCACCCTCGTCCGGATCGCCGCTGGACTATGGAGCAGATTAGATGGTGGGGGGGCTGGATCCAATCCGAGTCCAATGAAGTCCTCATGCGCTACATCTTGGAAGCGCATGATCGTCAACAGAAGTACTTCGGAGACTCCCTTGACCCTTACCGCAACATTACTGCGGTGAACCATCCCAATAACGTTCCCAATGGCGCAGCACCCGAGAGCCTTGCCACTGTGGCCGATGTCCACGTCCTCGAACACAAGACGCAGTTGCTCATCCAGCAGCTTAGGACTTCCATGGAGTCTCACATGCAGTCGCTAATGGCCTCGATTGGAAGCCTGGCCTCTGCCACCCAAGTCCTCCCATCAACTCAGTCCGTTGTCGTCCCTGTGATTTCTGGCAACCCAGGTTCAACTGTCGATCTGACAGCGGAGACCGATGAGGAACAAGGGCAGACTGTCACTTCCCAAACCACTGCCCCTGTGGTGGTTCCTGTACTCCCTCGTCACCTCGGGAAGGCCCCCGTCATTCACCCGGTCAAGAACATTCCTGGCGCATTGAGACAGTGGACTCATGCCCAGCCCCCCTTCCATCCGTACGCCTTGAAAGACTGGCCGAACATCAATCCCGCTTGGCTCAAGCAGCGGACGGTGTCATCTAAGTACAGTGCCCGCAGACTCCTGTACAAAGGATTCTCGGAAGTCTGCGACCATGATATTGGCCGTTTCTACCATCGATTCGGCACATCAATATCGAAAGCATTGGATCGCATTCGCACGCACTTCGGACTTGGGCGTGAAGGCCGGAAGGGCATCAAGTATAAATCTCGCCCTCGCCCGCACAGAGCCGCCCGAGAGTCGACTCCCGAGCTTCTCGCCAATAACACGCAAGGCACAGATGTAGACGAAGAGGTTGGTCCCGAGGATCTTACCGATTCACCTCAGTCGTCACCTGCACCAATGGCAGGAGAGTCCGTGATTCCTCCATCCTCATCTGCATCCCCATCTCCTACTGGTCGACCCACCCCCCGCCTCGGCCCAGTGGCGAACGAGGACTCCTCCGATTCCGAGTATGGAAGCCCCTTGTCACCAGGCATACTGTCTGCCCAAGTCCAGGCTGCAGAAGCTATAGAACGTACTGCCAGCCAGGTGCGTAGGGTGTCCGGGCCAGTGCCGCGACGTTCTGGTAGGGCTAAGTCTACTTCCAAGCGGAATAAGAGACGAGACGAATAACCATTCATAAAACATTGCTACGGAAAACTCAGAAACCATAAAACATTTGCTACGGAAGACTCAGAAAACATGAACGAGAGAATATGTAATCGACTGTCTGATTGAACATGTGGAGCTAGCCGATCTGGTTGAAAGCCTGTTGCATGGCCTGACGGAGATCCTTCTGGCCCTCCTCCGAGTCACGCATCGCCGCTCCGGCCAGCTTACCGAGGTTGATGCGGGCCAACGCGGCGCCAGAGATGGGAATGAAGGTGCACGGCTGAGACTTGCAACGCAAACATTTGCCGGTACGGCTATGGCCGGTGGGGACAAAGCAGCACAGCATAGGGTTGGGGCCATCGCAACGGTCGCAACGAACGACCATCCAATGGCTGGGCTCGTTCGTGTGGTTGTCGTCGGTCTTGTAGCAACGGAGGATCTTGGGCACATGACAAAGGTTGCCATTGGCGTCCTTGGGGATCGTCTGCGTACGAATGTATGCCATGTTGGGCGCGAAGGACACTAAGATCCCAAAGGCTTTCTGCTTGTCAGCGGATTGGTGCATTCAGAGAAACTCGAAAATAATCTGATTCGAGATTTCTCGAATAAATGGCGGTAGAGGGGAAAGTGGTGACTCACGCGGAGCTGCATGTCGTCGGCCGTGTTGACTTGACGCCCGCCGAAGATCTCGATGGGGGTTTGGGAGGGGGCACCTGTGGGGCGACCTTTGCCCTTGAGCGTCAGGGAATAGACGACGTGCATCAGGACGATGTCGAGGAAGCACCATGACTTGTGCTCGTCACGCAGTTTCTGAAGACGATCAAACTCCTTTTGCTGAGCTGACGCCCGGTGGCCTTCGACAGGGACGGGGACGAGGAAATCCAGGAACTCCTTCCAGCACTGCTTGTCGTCACGGAGCTCAGTGACCTCGGGGACATTGTTGAGGCAAAAGAGATAGTGGTTGAGAGGGAGATCCAGCTTGATGCGCTGTAGCCACCAGTGAGGACGACGGTCCTTGTGGCCCTCGTGGTCGAGCGGGTAGTAGAGAAGGAACTCGCTCTTGCGGGTATCGTAGCGAGTGACGTCCCAGAACGACACAGCGTCCTCTGCAGTGTTATAAATAGCATCGAGAGTCAAAGCCATGGTGTTGGGGTCGTGGTTGAGCGTGAAGTCGGGGATCGAGGTGGTGTCGTCGGTCTCGGCCATTGTGAGGAGAGTAGGAAGGTGGCACTAGTGAGATAGTAGAGAAATGCGGGTGAAGACAGAAAAGAGCGACGAGAGGGTGTGCTTATGTACCTTGCAAGCCGCTTACTACAATGGTTGCGAGCTCGCGATCTCGCGCCCTTGTTGCCCCTTTGCACAGCCGCGCGTCACATCGACGTCACATTGTGTGTTAAGGGCGTCGAGAAACTCGTCACATTGTGTGTTGAGGGCGTCGAGAAACTCGTCACACGAGATCTCCACACATCCTTTGCACCGCCCATACACACAAGTCGCAAGCAGGCAAAACGCCCCCGCATAGGTAATCTCGAGAATATTCTCATTCGATTATTCTCGAATATCCCTTCTGTACTTACCAAGGAAGAGCAGTCATCACCTACCTCGCGTCGCTGCCCAAGGCAAGGGATCGAGAGAGCTGTGGTGCTGCGCGCAGCAGTCGTAGCAATGCCGAAAGGCATCGACCGACAACAACACTGCAGCGTCCCCTGAGGGTGGGTGCTCGCGCAAGCAAAACAAGTCTTGTGTGCCACCTGCGCCACTTGCTCAATCTTGCTCGATGTGAAGGGAGACCTGATGTAAGCGTGGCTGGTCTATGTCACTGTTTCTGCAGCGACGACGCACCGTCGAAATGGGTCTGCCCGGCCCTCGACGGACATCCGTCGAATCCCGTCCTCCACCGTCGAGGCACGTGGCATCAGACGGATATGGATGGAATGATCACTCGCCTGCGCAAGACACAACGTCGAATTAGCAATGTAATTCGAATTAGCAATGTAATTCAGAATCGAATTACACCCTCAAATCGAATTACAAGTGTAATTCGATTTTGAATTACATTTCCAAATCGAATTACTTTGTAAATCAAGCGAATTAGGAGAATTACAAGATGTAAATCGAATTACATCCACACTTTTACACGTCATTAGAAAACGAATTACGGCGGGTGTAATTCACCAGGTGCTAACGGCAGATGAGTGACGACGAATCGAGCCTGGACATGCGACCATCGGCGCGATAAGACATAGGACAGCACTGATATGCAGACTAGCGTGTACAATACATACATTCGGTTATTTTATTTGGAGAAGAGCAGATCAGCTTCTGACTTAACCAGACTGGTGCTGGTCGACGGCGGCCTGCTGACCCTGCTCATAGATCTGCTTCTGCTCGTCGGTGTACTGATAGTTGGGCGACACGTAGTCCATAGACTTAGGAGGGGCATCGGTGGTGGTCCTCTCCTCCACAACCACGTCCGTAGTGGTGGTCGTGCCGTCTTTCGCGGCCATAACCTGAGGAGACCAGTCAGAATCTTGACGAAGCCAGGTGTCGAAGTCGAGGAGGTGAGGGTCGATGGATCGGAGCTCGGGGAGGTTAGGCGTGAAGTATCCCTCGTCACGGAACCAGTTGCACATCTGGCCCATCTCGTTGCTCAGCCAGTTGAGAGCGGAGCCGACAAAACTAAACGTGGTCGGAACATCGTGGCCGGTGAAGTTCTTGAACTTCTCGTTGAGCTGGTCGAACGTGAGCTCGTCGCCAGCGAGAGAGATGGCGACACCGTTGTACTTGTCGGTGTCGGCAAACGCCTGGGCGGCGAAGAAGCCAATGTCTTTGGTAGCGATCCACGGCATGGACTTGTTGCCAATCGAGCTCTTGATCGCGGTCATAACAATCTTCGATGGCAGATTGTTCTCGATGTTGTCCATGAAGATGACGGGGCGGAGGATCGTCCAGTTCATCCTACCCGTAGCCTCAGAGCGGAGGTAGCGCTCAATGAGGTACTTCGTGCGGAAGTGCGGGACGGACGTCGGGTTGTCCCACGACTTCTCGGCACCGCCACGGTCAACAGACGTGTAGACGAACATTTTGACGTCATTGGCGAGCGCACCGTCGATGAGACCCATTCCCTGCTTTGTCTCCTCGGCGGTCTCCGCATCCTCAATCTTGACGCCCATGCCCATAGTCTGCACGCTGAAGACACCCCAGATCTTTCCGTTTGGTGACTCAAATTTGGCATTCTCGTACGTGAGCGACGTGTTGTTGAGGTCGCCGCGGATGAGGCGAATCTGTTTCGACTTGGCCATGAGCTTCTGTGAGGCCTCTGACTCGGGGTTGCGGGTCACAGCGAGGATGGTGATGGTGGGGTCGTTCAGGGCGAGGAGGGCGTCGACTACAGCACCTCCCTGCTTACCGGTGGCACCGGTAACCATGATGGGCTTGTCATTGCCCGAGGAGGTCTGCTGCTGCTGATTGCCTGAGGACGACTGCTGATTGCCTGTGGAGGACATGGCGGAGAAGGCAGGCGAGTGATGAAGTATGGGAAGTTAGAGGTGGCGATAACAGTGAGGTATGTATATATGAGTGTGGAGGATTTCTGCTGGTGCGAGAGAATTCTTTATATGGAACAGATGGGTCGGTCAGGCCTCGTGAGAGCTCGGCGACAGATCAACTACGTCGATCAGGTGGTGTGACGTCGTCGATCTGACAGGCGCTGTGGGGTGGATCGGTGCCTGCCTCCTCCCAAAAACCACTTCCACTCTGCAGCCGCGATAGTGTTTATCTTGCCGACTTTTGTGCCTATACCAGCGTTCTTACTCAGCTGTCGAGCTACAGAGACACGAGATTATCAAGCTAAGAGTGTTCCCCGGCGGTCTGCCTCCTTCGAAAGCCCTGCCCGGCGGGCTTGGGGGTTGTTGTGATAGGCGGCTGATCGGCAACTTTCTGGCAACATCTTGACGCTCTCCTCGCCCCGTTGCAGCACGTGGCTCGACAACACGTGGCGCATGACATCGGACTGTCCTCGATCAGGCCTGGGGGTCGAGAACGGGGCTGCTTATGGAGGGTGAATGTTGACAAGTCGTGAGTTGATTGTTCAGCAACACCGACACGATGGCATGCTCCCACGTTGAAGCTCTGGCATCGTCCTTGAAACCCCCTTCGCCATCACAGCAGGTGCACAGGTGAGCAGTGAACGTCTCAGGTGGTCGTTAACCTGCTCAGGGAAGAGTGCACCCTCTGTTTTGATGGACAAGTGAGTGCTCAGCACAAGCTCTCGCTAATGGAAGGATGACCCAGAGGGAGTCTTTGTCTGTCTTCAGTGTTTCAATGGAGGCTGCTTTGGTGAAGACCGCAAGCACGCTTACCTGCACTCGCAGAAGAAGAACCACCCGCTCGGCGTCGTCATCAAGCGTACACGGAAGGAGCAGAAGAAACGCGTAAGTGCTGTGGAGGTTGGAAGTTTCAGGCTGACACGCAGGACAACTCTGAGCCTCCAATGAAGAAGCTTGCTATCTCTGCTCCGTCTGACGAGGAGACGTATGACTACAGCACTTCGGTGCGCTGCTTCGGCTGCTCTCCGGTTGGGGAAGCTGTCCAGGTGGACAACCCAGCGGTAAGCTGAGACGCTCGAAGTCTAGCTAACAAGGAGATCAAGGCCACTGTCGACGGTATTATGAAAGCGCTCTCGTCGGCTCAGCAGTCCGAGGTCAAGGCATGGGAGGAGGAGATCATCCCCTGCGAGCACGCTTTAACTCTGGAACAAGTCCCCCTCATCACCCCGGGCGAGGGTACGTTCACCGCTCCTCGTCATCAGAGCTCAGCTGACACCTCAGTTCCGAGCCAGTGCACTGAATGTGATCTCACGTCCAATCTCTGGCTTTGTCTCACGTGTGGCCTGGCCAACTGCGGTCGTCAGCAGTACGGAGGAATCGGTGGTAACGGGCATGCCCTGCAGCACTTCAAGGACACCGGTCATCCCCTTGGAGTCAAGCTTGGTACCATCACCCCTGAGGGCACCGCGGGTACGTCACACTGCGGAAACCGAGCTGATCCAAGACATCTACTGCTACTCTTGCGACGATGCCAAGATTGACCCCGATCTGGCCAACCACCTTCGCACGTTCGGCATCAACGTGCTCGATCAGTCCAAGACTGAGAAGTCCATGACTGAACTTGTACGTCAGCGCTTCTTACAAAAGACTAATGGTCCAGCAACTCGAGCACAACTTGAAGTTCGACTTCTCCATGACTGGCGACGATGGCAAGGAACTTGAACCGCTGTTCGGTAAGGGCCTCACCGGCTTCAAGAACCTCGGCAACAGCTGTTACATGGCGTCAGTCCTCCAGACTCTGTTCTCGATCCCCGCGTTCCACCAGCGGTACTATACTGAGGCTGCTATGGCGCACCCTCAGACATGTGACAAGCTGCCTGCGGACTGCCTCGAGTGCCAGATGCTCAAGGTCGCCGACGGTCTCTTATCTGGTCGCTACTCGAAGCTGGCGAAGGCTCCGCCGCCGGCGAACTCCGAGTTTGAGGTCAACGAGGAGCCCAAGTTCCAGGACGGTATTCGCCCCGCCCAGTTCAAGGCCCTCATCGGCAAGGGTCACGAGGAGTTCTCAACCATGCGTCAACAGGACTCGGAGGAGTTCCTCGGCCACTTGCTCTCTCGCTTGCGCCAGGAGGCGAAGAGCCAGGGTCGCCCCGAGAGCAGTGAGGCAACTGATGCGTTGAGGTTCGGTATGGAGCAGCGCTTGCAGTGCGACGAGTGTAAGAAGGTCGGGTACAAGGTCGACAGCGTCGACCTCGTCAGCCTCCCCGTGGAGGCGGAGGAGACGAGCGTGACTGAAGACGGCAAGAAGACGTTCAGGCCCGTCACTCTCGAGTCATGCATCGAGGCACTCTGTGCTCCTGAAGAGCTCACCGATTACGCCTGTGGAACCTGCGGCAAGCGCGTTCGCGCTGAGACGTGAGTAATACCAATATATGCCGTGAGCTGACAGCAGGACGACCAAGTTCAAGACTTACCCCGAGCTTCTCGTTCTGCACATGAAGAAGTTCCAGCTCGTGAACTGGCTTCCCACAAAGCTCGATGTCCCCGTTCAAGCCCCCGACTCGCTGAACCTGGACAAGTTCCACGGCACCGGCCGCCAGCCTGGAGAGGAAGAGCTTGACATCGACGCCGCGCCGGCCGCCGCGCCGCAGTTCGACCCCGTTGCCATGTCGCAGCTGGAGGCTATGGGCTTCCCGACCGTGCGCTGCCAGAAGGCGCTGCTCGCGACAGGCGGCAACGACGCGGAGATGGCGACGGCGTGGCTCTTCGAGCACATGGACGACCCCGACATCGACGCCCCGATTCCGACCGCCGGCGGCTCTGGAGGCGCTGCCGAGCCGTCGCAGGAGCAGATCACGATGCTGTCTGAGATGGGCTTCACCCCCGCTCAGGCGCGCAAGGCGCTCCGCGAGTCCAATGGTAACGTGGAGCACGCCGTCGAGTGGCTCTTCAGCCACCCCGACGACGATGGAGAGGAAGAGGCTCCGGCCGCGGCGGCCGGCTCCGCGCCCAGCGGCGAGGCGGACGTCGGTGGCACGCCCCCGCCTGCCAATTACAGGCTGAAGGCGTTCGTGTCGCACAAGGGTCCCTCGGTGCACTCTGGTCACTACGTTGCGACCATCAGGCAGCCGCAGAAGGGTCTGGCCGATGAGAAGGAGGACGAGTGGGTGCTCTTCAATGACGAGAAGGTCGTGCGCGCGCCGCCTGGTGGCGGTGAGGAGATGCGTTCGCTCGCGTACCTCTACGTCTACGAGCGTGTTTAGAGGGTTCTGTTCAATACAATGTCAGAAGTGTGCATGCATTATAGTTACAGTGGTATGGTCTAGTGCTATCTGATGGTCGTGTGTTGCTTGAACTCAGTACTCGTGAAGTCGCTCAGGCCGTCGTGGCCGAGCTCGACCAGCTTCATGCCGGACGGGAAGCCCTCCTCCTCTGGTTCGACTACTGTCGGCTGAGGACTATCTGTTAGCTTCATGTCACACATTTCAGTTATATGGTACTCACTTCGTCGGTCCGAAGACCTTGAGGCCGCGGACATGCGTGTCCTTTCCGTTCAGATGGTTCGCGACAATGACGACGCGGAGATGATGGGCCGGGATTGGCGGCCCCTCCACGACACCGTCCTCGTCGCCGCTGTCCATCGGTCGGAGTGAGATCAGAATCCACCCGTTCGGTTTGTCGAACTCCTCGTAGCGAACCTGTTCTGTCAGCTCATTGTTACGCCACGACAAGCTGAACAAACCTCTTGCAGGTCGTGCACGCCCGTGCCGGCTTTGACGGAGATGCGACTGGGAGTGTAGGAGTCGTCCCGCGGGTGACTCGTCAGAAGCGCAATACACGAGATGAAAACACGTTTCGGAAAGGACAGGTCGATGGTGTGCGGTTGCGGGCCCTCGGATCTGCCATCAACTCTCGCATCTACTGGCGCTCAGCTGCGACTCACTGCCAGAAGGTGTTCTCGTTGCCGTCGCGCAGGTTCTCAACACCAAAGCCATACTTGTGACTCGAGACGGACCAGTGAGCGAGCCGCCCCAGATCCGGCAGCTGGTCGTAACGTACCGTCTCGGACATCAGGCGAGCGGTGCTGGCGGTGAGCAGTGGATAGATGAGTGGAGGTGACTCGGACACTCGTCACTTTTGTCAACAAACACGCTCTGGCCCCTCGATATCGATAAGCGCCATCATTAGCGGAAGCAGATATAGTCTGATTAGTCATGACTTGAAATCGGTAATCACCGGAAAAGGTCGCCGCTTCGGTGACAGCCGATCGGCGGTAACGATGGAGATGGAGTGACGAAAGCGGCCTCGGCCTCCTGACATCTCCACATCCCTCAGCTCGCCCGACACGCGACACATGTCGACATGAACCCCGTGTGAGTATCGAATTATCTCGCTACGAGTGACTGGAAGCAGCTCGTTGATATGTGTAACGGAGCTAACCTCAGATCAAGACCCTCCGATCGAGGGCTCAGGTGTAATATCCCCGCGAACGAGGAAGACGATGCGGCGCTGTACGGCGAGGAGCCCGTCGTGCAGGGTGACTTCACCTGGCGTGCTGTACTTGTTGGACTCGGAGTGGGAGTCATTCTCTGTATGACGAACATATACTTCGGCTTGCAGACAGGTGCGTAAGCGCGCAGATGGTTGCTTTCCGCTGATTTATCTGACATCAGGTTGGGTCTCGATGATGTCGCTGCAGTCGGCGCTCCTGGGCTTCGCTATCTTCAAAATATTCCCTCTTCTTCCTCGACTTTTCCCTAACACTAGTCCCTTGACTGTGCAGGAGAACGTTGTGCTTCAAACGACCGCGGTGGCGACAGGAACGATGCCCCTCGCCGCCGGCTTGGTCGGTATTATTCCTGCGCTGGGCATGATGACGCCGGAGGAAGACGGCCGGCCGCCTATCCACCTGACGTACATCCAGCTCGTTCTTTGGTGTCTCGGTGTCGCTTTCTTCGGCGTCTTCCTCGCTGTACCCCTGCGAAGGCAGGTCATCGTGAAGGAGAAGCTCGTCTTCCCTTCTGGTACTGCGACGGCACAGCTCATCGCCCTCCTCCACAAGGAACCGCCGCCGAGTCAAGGTCTCAACCCCGGTAGTGGACCTTACCGACGCATTCCTACTGAGGCCAATGAGGAGATCAACGAGGAGCGAAACAAGGACGTCGAGGAACTTCTGAACGGCTCAGGCTGGCGTGCCCTCGGTTGGAGTTTCGCTGCGTCTGGAGCTATGACGGTGGGCATCGGCAATAGGGGACTTTGCTGACCGGACAGCTTTTCAGCTTCTTGTACCCCGTGACGTTCGCAATTCCGGTGTTCGATATTCTTAGCGCACCGTTTGGCGTCAGCCTTGCTGCCAAGTGGATGTGGTGGTTCACGCCTTCCCTGTCCTACGTCGGCCAGGGAATCATCATGGGTTTCCCTGTCACGGTAGCCATGAACATTGGCATGATTGTTGGCTGGGCGGTCCTGTCTCCTCTATCGAAGAACGCCGGCTGGGCTCCCGGCCCGGTCGGCTCCACCACGAACGGTGCTCGTGGCTGGATCGTGAGTGCTACCAATTCGCGTGGGCAAAGCTAACGTCAGCTCTGGGTCGCCCTGGCCATCATGATTGCGGAGAGCCTCATCTCTCTCGCCCCTTTGACATACTCTTACATCAAGGATGCGCTGAACCGAGGAAAGTTATATCAGGAAGCTCGCCAGTTCGAAGGTGCGGACGCTGCTGAGAGTGACGGATACTACGACCTGCCCGAGGAAGACGAGCCTGAGCACGAGCCTCCTGAGCGACTGGTACCCACCAAGTGGGTTACGACCGGACTCGCCGCGAGCGGCATTCTCGGTGTGGTGCTCGTATGGATTGTGTTTGGCGCCGACGGGATCCACCCTTGGGCGACAGCGATCGGCCTCGTCCTCGCGTCCATCCTCAGTCTGGTCGGTGTCCGCGCTCTTGGACAGACTGACATCAACCCTGTAAGCTTCCAGATCGTATCGCGTGAGCTGACAGCAGGTCTCAGGCATTGGCAAGATTAGCCAGCTGCTTTTCGCAGTGCTGCAACCGGGCAATGTTGTCGCGAACGTTATCGCTGGCGGTGTCGCCGAGGCGGGCGCCCAGCAAGCGGGTGACCTGATGCAGGACCTGAAGACGGGCGACCTGTTGCGCGCGGCTCCACGCTCGCAGTTTTACGGTCAGATGATCGGCTCGCTCGCGTCCGTGTTCATCTCCGCCGCGGGGTACAAGTTCTACACGAGCGTGTACCAGATCCCAGGGCCGGAGTTTGCCGTTCCGTCGGCTGGCGTGTGGCTTAACCTCGCCCGCCTGCTGAACAACGGCACGCTGCCCTCACACGTCGTGCCTTTCATGGTCGTCTTTGGCGGTGTGTTCGGTCTCATCGCCGGTCTCAAGATCATGCAGCCTCGCATTGCACGCCTCGCCCCCGCCCTCGCGGCGAACATGAATTATCTTCCCTCCGGCATCGCGTTCGCCATCGGCTTCCTCAACACACCGAGCTTCTCCCTAGCGCGCCTCATTGGCGGCTACATCGCATACCGCGCAGGACGAAGGACGGGCGGCGAGACGCCGCTCTTCTGGATTGTCCTCGCGAGTGGCTTTGTGCTTGGCGAGGGTGTGCTCAGCATCGTCACACTGACACTCACGTCCCAGGGATACCACGCCCTGAGCTGCTGGGGCTGCGGCCTCGGCGGAGGAGGTTACTGCACCGGAGGTTGCTAGATGTAGATATAACTGCCATAGACTCTATTCATACCACCTACGCTCGTCCATCTATCTATGCTTTGGCATAGCGCTGCAGCACACGGTCCTCGACACCCGTCGCTACCCAGTTGTACAGCTCCTCGGTGAGCGCGAGGTTCTCGAGCTCGGAGCGGTAGATCTTCTCGAAGTCGGGAGCGGCTGGGCCAGTCATGGGAGCAGCTCCGGCTCCGCCCATCATGGCCATGGCCGACATGTCGCCCTTGTCGGTAGCGGCTGACGTTAGCTGGCACTCCGAACGCGAATTAGCTTACCATTGTCCTGGCCGATGAGGAGCTTGAACACGCCGTTGAGACCGAACAGGTTCAGGAAGTACCACGACAGCGCCGAGACCCACTGCATGCTGAGGTCGGGGAGAGGAAGGTCGCGCGCGAAGAGCGACTTAAATCCCAGAGTCAGAGGGAACGGGAGCTTGACTGACTGTCAGCTTCGCAAATGACATATGAGCTTACTGAGGACGTATCCGCTGAAGAAAACGTTGATGTACTGCATGATGAGCATGTTGGGGACCCTGCTGTCAGCTTCCGTGAGCGCTGATAAGCTCACATCATGACAGCCTGCTTCTTCATTCCGTCCATCATGCCGTCCATCTGAGTCGGGTCTCCGAACGGCATCTGCTGCTCCTGGTCCTTCGGCTTCGGGCGAAGGTACTCTCCGCTAGTGAGCGCCTGTCCGTTCGACGTGACGAAGGAGCGGAACAGGGCGGGGTCGAGCGGCGACAACGGGGCCGACGCGCGCAGAAGCTGCGAGCGCATCAGACAGCGCTGCTCCCGCACCGCCGCCACGGGCTGCTTCTTCGGTGGGCTGTTCTGCAGCATGGTCACGTAGTGTCGCAGCAGACCGACCAAGACCATGATCAAAGTGATCGGGATCAGGACCCAGTCACGGATCGAGGGATCCAGGTAGAGCGCTTGCCTGTACGTCAGCTTGACCCAAGACCCCCTAGCTTACTCTTTCAGTCCGGGCATGTTGGCGTGGTGGACGGGAAAGGATGCTGATCGTGTTCTGGGCTCGTCGGTGACTGGTGACCAGGCAGCCCAACTGACGTCGGTGACCACACAGGCGCCGGATTAGCGGGAGCAACTCATCAATAGTGACGACTGCGGCTCCGACCTAATCGGCTTGTTAACAACATCACGTGATCCCGCTCAACTGCGACATTACGGTTTGGATTTAAAGATATCGGCTTCGATCGACCAGCGACAGCAGGAACGTCGAATTTCAAGCCCGTTCACAAAAACAACAAAAGCGACGACCACTAGCAATGCGTAGCTTGACCCCGAAGGCTGTCCAGGTTGCCAAGGTCGCGTTCGGGGAGTCGGCTCGCGCCGCCGCTGTTACGGTCGACCCCGAGACCGGCTCCGTCTACGCCGCTATCGAGCGCCAAGTTGAATTCGGACTCGACGTCGATGTCGTCAAGATCGCCGACCTTGAGGGTAACGACCGCACGCCCGATGTAAGCTGCATAATGTCTTCCCAACTAATAACACAGGTTGTCTCTTCGTTCTCGACGCCGGTGCTGGCGCCTTTCAAGCTCCCCGAGGGCGCAAGCCAGGTCGTCAACATGCAGTACTTCGCGGACGACAGGAGTCTGATCGTCTTGATGGCGGGAGGAGACATTGCGACTATGACATTTGCTGAGCCGCTGATGGGGTCGACCTCTGTGAGCTCCGCGAGCATCCAACGTCAGCTAACCACGCAGCTTGAGGTCGTCGGAAGTATCGACAGCGGAATCAAGGCGGCTGCCTGGTCCCCCGATGAGGAGCAGCTTGTTCTCATTACAGGTGAGCCCGTAGAGCGCCGTCATCGCTAACCCGACAGGTGAGGACCATGTTGTCTGCATGACTCGCACTTTCGACGAGCTCTACGACGAGCCCTTGCGCACCGACGACTTCGGAGACGACAAGTTCATCAACGTCGGCTGGGGTTCGAAGACCACTCAGTTCCACGGCTCGCTGGGCAAGGCTGCGCTCATGGCCGCGCGTGCGCCGAAGCCGACGGAGCCGACCTCATTCGCCCACCCGATCGACGACGCCCTGCCACGCATCACCTTCCGTGGCGACGCCAAGTACTTCGCCGTCTCCTCTCTCGACCCCTACCCGTCCTCAGGAGTCCGCCGCCAGGTCCGCATCTTCTCTCGCGACGCGAGCGAGGGTGGCGTTCCCCGGCTCAGCGCGACTAGCGAGTCAATAGCGGGTCTCGAGGGACCGATCGCCTGGCGACCGAGCGGCAACGTAATTGCCTCCCTTGTCCGCTACGGCTACGAGGGTGGTGGTGAGGGAAGGAAGGGACGATGGGACGTGGCTATGCTTGAGCGTAACGGACTTAGGCACGGCGGCTTCGAGCTCCGTGAGGACGAGAAGACCTGGGAGAACGGCGTCATCCGCGGCATGGAATGGAATGCCGACTCGGAGGTGCTGGCCATTTGGGTACGCCGTGAGGAGAGGGACACTGGTGAGCAACAACCTCTGCGCTGTCGCTGACTTTCAAGTCCAGCTTTGGACCATGAAGAACTATCACTACTACCTGAAGCAGGAGATCTACCCGCATCAAGCCGGTTCGAAGCGTTTCGTTTCGATGAGGTGGCACCCCGAGCAGCCTATGACCTTCTATGTCATCGGCGAAGGTGAGTTGGACTAGTCCTGACGACGCTGACCTCCAGACAACGTGCAGGTCCGCTCTTTTGCCTGGGACACCTACGCATCTCACCTTCCTATGCCCAACGACACTGGAACCGTCGCAGTCGTCGACGGCAAGAAGTTGCTCGTGACCCCATTCCGCACCCAGAACGTACCGCCACCAATGTCGTCGTATCAGATCGCCCTTCCTGAGCAGGCTGTGCACGTGGCTATGTCCCCGACAGAGGACACCCTCGGCGTGCTTTTCGCCTCGGGACGGGTTCAGGTCTGGGATCTCGGAACACGGCTACCGGAGGCTGGCCAGTCACGGCTGCGTGCCGGTGGTAAGCCTGCTGAGCCGAAGCTTCGGTGGGAGGCTCAGCTTGCGCCCGATGACGAGTTCATTGCAAAGCAGATTGCGCTTTCTGGAGACGGCAAGGCTGCAGCGGTGTTTTGGAGCGGGGGAGAGGACGCCGCGCTTCTGCGGACGGCGGACGCGAACGAGGTCGGCCCGCAGCAGGGTTTGTTGGAGTCGGCGGAGGCTGTCGGATGGGAGGCTCAGACCAGCTGGTTTGTTGTCTGTCGCGACGGATTCATCACGAGCCTCGGGGATGAGGATGCCTCTGTCGGCTCCCTATGCCCGAAGGCGCAGGTCGTGCAAGTGTCTCATGATGCTCGGCTGGTGTTCGGAATCAACGACGAGGCCAAGCTGTATGCCTCATCTCTCGCAGACAGCTCCGATGGAGCTGTCATTGCCAGCAACGTCACCAGCTTGACGTTGACTCCGTCATTCGTAATCTACACGACAACCGACCAGAGGTCTCATTACGCGCCCCTGGAGTCGGTCTCCCGTCTCGTCGACGGCATCCCTGACAAGGAAGAGTGGGAGACACGACGCGTAGAGCGTGGAGCTCTCGCCGTTGTCGCTTGCCCTAGCAGCATGAGCCTTGTGCTTCAGATGCCCCGTGGAAACCTCGAGACGGTGTACCCGCGGCCACTGGTGCTGGCTGTCGTTCGGCAGGACATCCTCGCTGGCCGATACCGCGAGGCGCTGATGTCTTGTCGCAAGAACAGGCTGGATCTCAATATCATCTACGACCTAGCGCCGGAGCAGTTCATGGCATCGTTGCCCCAGTTTGTGGAGCAGGTGCCGGAGGTCGATTACCTGAACCTCTTTGTATCGTCGCTCAAGTAAGTGTTGTCGACCGTACAAGCTGACTCCAGTTCCGAGGATGTTTCGGGAGCCATGTACCCAGATCTCGGAAGGGACATGAACCGGCCGTAAGCTATAGGCTGCTGGACCGCGAAGCTGACTGCTACAGATCCGTCCCGAAGGACAAGGTCAACTCTGTGTGCGACAACCTGCGGGCCCTCGTCGAGGCCAAGGGCTTGGTCGACTACGTTGAGACCATCCTCACCACTTACGTTTGCAAGAGCCCTCCCGACTACGAGGGTGGACTCTCGGTCCTGCTGCGCTTGCAGGCTGAGCACCCCGAGGTCGTCGAGGAAGCGATCAAGTACATCATCTTCTTGTCGAACGTCAACCAGCTCTACGATGTCGCGCTCGGCATGTACAACTTTGAGCTCGTCCTCATGGTTGCGCAGTACAGCCAGAAGGATCCGAAGGAGTACTTGCCGTTCCTGCGTGAACTCCGCGCCCTTGAGAAGTACGAGCAGCGCTTCCGCATCGATGACCACCTCGGTCGACGAGAGAGCGCCCTGCGCAACCTGAAGGCTGCCGGCCCCGACCGCTTCGACGACGCCGCGTCGTACCTCTCCAGGTACGAGCTGTTCGACGAGGCGTTCAAGCTGTACGCGGACGACAAGGAGAAGCTCACTGTCATCCACGGGCTGTACGGAGACTACCTGTATGACCGACGAGACTTCAACGAGGCTGCCATCTGTGAGTCCATCTCTTAGCTGGAACCTCGTGTACAGAAAGCTCATGACAGCGTACATTCTCGCAGGACAGGAGGCGAAGGCTCTGAAGGCGTATGAGCGCGCTCACGCATGGCGTGAGCTCTTCACCCTCGCGAAGACTCAGCCTGCCGACGTCATCGCTGGAATGGTCGAGCGAGTCACTGGTAAGCTCACTGGCAGTCCGCATCAGCTGACACGCAGATTACCTCGGCGGACGAGGACGAAGCATTGAGGCTTCGCAGGTGTTCCTCGACTACGCGAACGATGTCGACTCTGCGATCGACATCCTCTGCCGCGGTGGCGAGTTCAGCGAGGCGTACCGCCTCATTTCCCAGCACGGCAAGGATGTCCTTGTGGAGGAGGTCGTCCACCCTGCTATTGAAGACGCTCACGAGGCTCTCGCCGAGGTCTTTGAGGAGATGGATGGTCAGCTCGACAAGGAGATGGCTCGCATCCAGGACCTGCGCAAGATCCGCCTCGCGGACCCGGACACGTTCTACATTGTGGAGCAGGAGCTTGATCTCGACAATGTCGACGTCGCAACGCAAGCTACCACAGTTGCGACACAGTTCACGCGCTACACAGTTGCGCCCACCACTGTCCTCTCTCAGTCGACGCGCATCACTGGGTGAGTAACCGTACGCCTGATAGCGCATTGCTGACAGCCAGACAAACAAACCGAACCCGCCGAAAGTCGTCGAAGAAGGCGCGTGGTCGCAAGGGCACGGTCGACGAGTGGGACTACCTCATTGCTTCGATCGGCCGTCTCGTCGCGCGAACAGACGAGAAGTCGGACGAGGCGCTGACGCTTCTCCGCCACCTCATCCTGCCCTTCCCAGAGCAGGCCAAGGATCTCCAGGAGCAGATCGTCAAGTACCGCCGCAAGCTGGCTGACAGCCTCGAAGACGTGTGGAGCGACCGTGCCTCTATCATCGATGCTGCGGAGGAGAGCGGTGGTGAAGCGTTCAACGGCGGCGAGTACGCCAAGGCTCGCGAGCTGCAGCGGCCGGACGTCAAGGCGTGGAGCGGACTGGGACGGCTGCTGTAGGGCAGGTAGGCGTGCATATCTTGGTTATGGATTAGATGCGCATTCGATCACGCGTCACACGACCGGCGTATGAAAGGTTCGAGAGTCATCTTGGCGACTGCGCTAGAGGGTCGATTGGAGTCTGGGCGAGCATAGCGCGATGTGGCTGGCCCTTATCAGCACATGGTGTCCGGCGACCTCGTGGTCTCGATAAACTAGCTCTTCCGCCGGGCCGGATCAACTGACAAATGTTCGCGAGCTGCGTATTGATCGAGGGAAGGCTGCGAGCTGCGACCGTGATCGAGCGAGGACCCAGACTCACCGCTGCACAGATTGCACGTCCTTGGATCTAAACAACGCAGCTGCTCATTCCTACTGACAGCTTACCTCTGCCAAGTACGTGCGCAATTTGCGCGCTCAGCGGAGCACCTGCGCGATCCGCAGCGGAAAGGAGCGTTGGAGCTGCGATCGCCGCGACATGGCCCGCGACGATCCAATGAGCGCAATGGCCCGCTCAATATGTGATTCAACGCGAGGAAGGCTCACGGCGATCCCGGAAGACGGCGACGGCAGGTGAAGGCGGGCGACGAAAGAGGAGAGAACGCAGGCGCAGCCGGTGACGCCCCGCCGCCCCCTTGGCCCTTGGAGGACTGCTGATCGTCTAATCTCCCGCTTTACGCTGACACAGGCTCGAGGCTAGATTGAGATTGGCGGCGGCCCTCACACGCTTTCACGCGCCTCCTTGCGCCCCTCGTCTGCGACAGCGAGCAACGGGACCCTTCCTCCCCAAGGCTCGCGCCGCAGCGTCCGCGCCCTGCGCTAGACTGCCGTTGCCTGCCGCCGACCTCGCGTTCTTAAGCACTCCAGCTGTTTATTTTGATTCTCACCACATTCTCATTCTCTTCGTCTACAAAAGAGAGCGCGGCACCAGCGACATCCTCCCAACTCTCAACTCCTCCTCACCTCGCTCACGCCTGTCGCTCTCCATTTTCTTCACAGCTTCATATCCAACAACCCTCTTCCTCGCCCCAAAACTCCTGGACGCAAGTCGGAGACCTCGACCACCGCGTCATCTTCAAAAGCCCTTTGGCCACCAACACCCAAGGACATCATCTCGTTCTCGTCCTCCTTCTCGCCTCAATTCAATTATTTCTCTCTGAGTGAGTTTCGCTTGTTCCTACCGAATCTAACCCACTCCAGCACCTCATTCCCCATGTCTCAGACCACGACTCAGGCGCCCACCATCGTCGACCTCGGCGGCGTCGTCCGTGTCTCGAGCCTGAAGCGCGCCGAAGTCAAGCGCTCCCCTTCTTCGTCCAAGTCGAGCAAGTCTGCCAAGTCTTCCAAGCCTGCCTCGCCCGCTCCTTCCAACATGCGCCCCTCCTCCGCTCCCCGCTGCCTCGACCCCCACTTCGAGGACGCCTTCCTCCGCCTTATCCAGGACCGTCCCCAGCAGAAGCCCCCCGCTGGCCAGTTCGGAGGCTGGAAGCAGGAGTGGCCCGTGTTCTGGGAGGGTGCCGGCTTGGGTGCGTTCTAAGCCCTTTACGCGCTGCGACACTCTAGATATTAGACTTGTACATTCGGACTATCTCGATGGATTTGAACCTTCTCCTATTCCATCGTGGCATTCGCATACCTTCACCCTACTGAACTGACATCCACGTTCAGCTCCGCGAGTCCGCGCTGCTCACGGCAATGGTTACTGCAGAGGTTTCCAGATCCTTAGAGCTTTTGGGCTTCTCGAGTGGTGAAGGGAACTGTGTGTTGTGTCAGCAGCGGGATCAAGTGGCGATCGTCGAGGGCGCATGAGCTGCTCTTCTCACTCTAGCGAATGCCCAAGCTCCAACATCAAACGCTCCTTGTGCTTTCCTAGATTCTTACTTCTCCTCCCCCCTGTGAATACCCCTTCCCCTGTCGTTTTCCTGAGAGCCATAAGTGGCTTCGAGTTCTCGAGCTCTCCATTCTTTTTTATTGCCGTTCATGACGGCTTCGAGGCAAGTGGAGGGGAGACAAAATGCGTTGTAAGTCCAGTGCAGCTTGCTCATATGCTCCTGGAGCGATTCGAGATAATGAACAACACAACTCACGACACAGCTGAAGGCCATAATCAACGAGCTCATTACACTCGAACTGACGACTGTAACCGGTGCTGGCGACTGTCTTTAAGCAAACGACTCCGCATCGGCGATGGTCGGAAACAATGCGGGAAGGCGTTTGCGCAGACCAGTAAGCTCGACACATCGTGTAAGAGCTGACAGCAGCGGGGATGGATGCACGGTACTCTCCGGACGGACCTCGCTCTGCAGACGGAGTCTCACCACTATAAGCCGTGGCGGCGGTGATCGGCGAGCAACGCCGACACCACGGAGAGCGGAGCAAGCGTCGCTATGCTAAGCGGCCGAACCGCTCAACTACCTAGCAGTACGGCGCACCGTCCTCCACTGCCCTGCAAATGCCTGCGCGGCTCGAAAGCATCGACCACTGACATGTCTACCTCGCATCCTGGCATTATCCGCGTCGCCCTTGATCATTTATCTCGCACCCCGCTGAGTGGACGATTCGACTCCACCATCGACTCGGCATGTGTCCCTGGATCGGCCATCTCCGCGGTCGCCACTTTACTTCTGCGGCGTAACTTTGCGCACTCGCTTCCGCTTAAAGTCGACGACTCTTCATCCACGACCCATGGCTCGGTAGCACACAAGCATCATACTCCATGGCATCAGTATCTGCGCGTCCGGCGCGCACGGCCGCGACGCTGTCTACGACATCGATTGCGTCTCGCGCGTCTGCCTCCGCCGCTCCATCGGTGCACACGCCCCCGGCAGCGTCGACCACCTCTCTCCCTGTCCCGGGGTCGCGCGCGTCAGTCGCAACAACAGGCGAGGACATTGAGCTCTCCGACCTCCCCACACAGACAGAACCGATAGTAGCTATCGACGATGTGCAAGCGCCAACGCGATCGTGAGTCCGATCGTATCGAGCTGCAATGTATCCGTCTGAGCTAACCTCCAGCCGCCAACTGGCCATCTCCATCGCCTCCTTCTTCGTCATCTTCACCTCGTGCGGCATGCTCTTCTCCTTCGGCGTGTACCAGGAGATCTACCAGGCCATGTCTCTCGAGCCCAACACGCCCTTCACTGGCGCCAGTGCCGCCGCCATCGACATCATCGGCACGCTAACGGCGACGTTCCAAACGATGGGCGCGCCGATAACAACAGCGTTCATCCGGCGCTTCTCCCCGCGCGTCGCCATCTTCACGAGCGCCGTGCTCTTCATCGCCTCGAGCCTGCTCGCGAGCTACTCCCAGCACCTGTGGCAGTTCGTCCTGACCCAGGGCGTGCTGATGGGCCTCGCGACGTGCTTCGCGTACATGACGCCGTGCACTGTGGCGCCGACCTGGTTCGGGGCGCGGCGCGGTCTCGCCATTGGCCTCATCCTGAGCGGGACGGGGATCGGGGGACTAGTGTGGGCGCCGGCGATCCAGGCGCTCAACGCCAGCCTGGGGTTCAGGAACACGCTCCGCGTCTCCGGCGCGATCACGACGGGCCTGATAGTCGTGTCGGGGTTCATCATCGACTGGGATCCAGTCAGCAAGGCGCGGCACGCGGCGGAGCGCGAGCGCGAGCGGCTCATGGACGCGGAGCGGAGGGCGCAGGGCCTGCCCGCCAAGCGGCACAGGCGCATCGTGCCCCTCGTGTCCTGGCGGACGGCGCGGAGCGGCCGGTTCTGCGCGCAACTGCTCAGCGCCATGCTCCAGGCCGCAGCGTACTATACGCCCGTCTTCTTCTTCTCGGCGTACGCGCGCACACTGGGGTACTCTGCGCGCGAGGGCGCCAACTTTATCGCGGTCAACAATGCGTGCAACGCCATAGGCAAGATCCTCCTCGGCCTCGCGGCCGATCGGTTTGGACGGATCAACATGCTCCTCCTCTCCACGGCCGTCAGCGCCGTGTGCAGCTTTGCGCTCTGGCTGCCCTCCACCCTCACATCTAGCTTGCACGCGGGCCAAGGGCTCTTCGTCACCTACGCCATCCTTTACGGCTGTTTCGCATCGGCTTATGTCAGCTTGTTCCCGACGTGTCTTGTGGAACTGTTTGGGCCGCAGAACTTTGCCTCGGTCAATGGCGTCTTGTACGCTGTCCGCGGCATTGGGTCTTTGTTCGGCACGCCCAGCGCCGGCGCCCTCGTCGATCACACCAAGACGACGCCGTTTGGGTACCACAACATGGCCATCATGGTCGCGGCACTCCTGGCCGCTAGCTCTGTCAGCCTCGTCTGGGTCAAGATTGAGTGTCGCAAGAGCCCGATGCCGGGACCGTTGTAGAGGCAAGAGGGTGAATCTATGCATGGTATGGAGTTATTATGTCCTAGTGGAACTGATGCTATTAATAGTGAGGGCGCTGGGGTGGGACTACTGAGTTTACCTTTGCTTCGCTAGTTGTGCTCGCTGCGCTCGCGATAGCTGGCTTAGAGACCAGGCATGTACGACGCGCCGACAGAGGCAATGTCGTCATTCGCCTCCTCCATCTTGTCGGCGACGGCCTGGGCCCACGCCGTCGTGCCATCCGGTCCCAGGCCGACGTCAAGCCCAAGTTTGTCAGCGAGCGGGTGCTCCTTCCACTTGCCGCGGACGAAGGGGATGCCATTATCCTTCTGGAGGAGGATGCGCATGGCCTCCTCGCGCATGGCGGGGTCGGGCGAGTGGAAGCCCGTAAACAGCGCGATGCGCGGCGGGATTGTGACGCGCCCTTGCTTGAAGCAGTAGTCTGTGATGGCGACGCAGCAGATGACGCCTCCGTCCGGGCGCGGGTCGCGCACGCGCGCCTTCACCTTCTTCAGCACCTCGGAGGCAGAGCGCACCATCGCCTCGGCCTTCTCGCCGGCGGCCGGCCCGCCGTTAACGGGCACGCCCGAGGCGGGCGAGTCGGTGCCGCTCGGCGGGGCCGAGAAGGTCGGCACGGGCGGGTTCGGGCGCCCCGCCTTCGTCTTGTGAACGACCTTCTTGCCCTTCGGGTAGATGATGAACTCGGTCACGAGGTGCATCCACTTGTCGCCCCAGCCAGCCAGGCGCGTCTCCATCACGTACTCGGTGCCCATCGGGATTTCCTTGAGGTACAGCCAGTGGGAGCCGCCGAGGGCCATGAACCCGCCCGTGACAAAGGCGGGCGCAAAGGCGTCGATCGCAAAGGCCATCTTGTTCTGGTCCGAGTTCTTCGCATAGGCACTGTTGGACAGGTGCATGTTGTAGTCGCAGTCGTCGGCGAGGGCGCGGCGTGTCGTGCGCACGCGCAGGCCCGTGATGCCGCCCTGCGCGTCGAGTTCACGCAGCCACTTCTTCCAGTACGCACGCTTGCCCATTACCTTGCTCTGGATAAAGGCATGCAGCGGGTGCGCCCACACGCGAATGTGCCACATGAACGGGAGCGAGTTCGTGTGCAGAATGAGAACGAGCAGGAAGAGCACCTTGACTAACCTGTCAGCGGTGGCTCTCGGGGCGTCTGCATACACTGCGAGTACACAGCGTATGTGTCACTCACGCCACTTCGGGACCCAAGGCAGGAGAGGGGTCGCATTCGCGCTGCGCGCCTGGACGCGCGCAACGAGCTGCCGCGCAGAGTTGGCAATCATTGTTGGGACCTGCTCGAAATCGATCGTAGCGTTCATGATGTGTGTCGATCGGTCGATAAGAGAAGGGGTCGGTGTCAGCTCTTGCCTCCTGTATATATTGCGGGCTGGCGAGCAAGCAAGTCTGGGCCAGACTGACTGGCCAGACCGACGGCTCTCGCATCGGTGGCGCCGGGGCCAACGCAGAGCAAAACTTACCTGTCCTCGGTGGTTCGTTGGACGTTCGGTGCCAATGACGTTGTCAGAGATAGGAGCGCGGGGAACGGGTCACTGGCGGCCGTCGGTCAAAATCGTTGGGGCAGAGATCTGCAGCTGCAAGCGGCCGTAGGGGTCTGAGCTCGTCGATACGGCGCGGACGGGTGGACGGGCGGACGGCGGTGTGCGAGCGTGAGGGCGTGCGGGGGTGTGACACTGGCGGGGGGAGGCGAGAGTGGGATGGCCAGGGCGACGCGTCTGGGGCAGGTCAATCAGCGGGCTGATAGGTGGTGCAGTGGGTTAGGCGGGGGGTGCAAGAGAAAGCGGGGGGAAGACAACAACAAAGGACCAAGTTTTATAGATCGGCGGCCGCTGATAGATATATACCCAGGTACCACGCATGTCGTCGGGTCATTTCAGGCCCCAGGCCCCGCGTACCCCTGTGGTCCTGAGCCGGTTATGGCGTCGACGTAGAGATCGCGCGCCTGGCTGGGCTGGCTGGGCTTGCTGGGCTTGCTGGGCTTGTGTCCGACCCTGCGAGTGAATGCATCTGCTCCACTGGGTGACCTATCATGGAATGGAATGCATCTCGGCGGGCGGCTCGTCACCTGGACACACCGGGCCCGCGTCGCATGGACGCACCGTGGTGTCGCCTGGGCTGCGGCTCCATCGCGCTTCCACAGCCCAGCGACTAGTCCCCCGTCACCGCTCAACTTTTTTTCCACCGCGTACCAAAGTGCCGGTTACACCTGCATGCCGCTGGTGGCAAATGTTCCTCTGCCCAGCCAGCCAGCCAGACGCACCCAAATCACCGGCCCGGCACCGTCAACCCGCGGCACCATCGACACGTGCAGAGCATCCATCCCCTTATCATCACTAAGCGACAGCCATTGTAGTCAGCGACGTCGTCCCCGCAAAGCCACAGGATCCCGTAGAGCCAAGCCAGACGCCGGCCCGGGATGCATAAATCCCATTACACAACTGCCTTCCAGAATACTTGTCCGATGGACTTAGCCCTTCGGCCTGTAGCTCGTGGGGCACACACGGCGATTAGATAGCGCTCTGCCACGCACACGAGTCTGACGTCTGATGCAAACAAACACATAGCCGGACTTCTCCGTCGCCAGAATGTGTCCGCTGGAAGCGGTTCACTCCAGGTACCGGTGCAGTAGCGGATGACGAAACCTTGTCTTCCTTTTGTCTTGTCAGTCAGCAACTCGTCCGAAAGAGGTTGCTCGCTACTCTGCTTGTCGCCTTCTTAATATGACCGTAGTCGTTGTTCAGTCCAAGTGCAAGCTAGCGTGCAGCAGATGATGACTGCGTTGCGCCCCCGGAACGGACGGATCTAGTCCACTCCGGTCCATGAATCGCGCTAGCCAGACAGGGCCATTCAGCGTCCAGGATCCACGCCAGCTCCGGGATTCGGGGCACCTCGTCGTAGTCTGAGCGGGGTCCGGGGTCCGGCTCCATTGTTCTCAGCATGCTCAGCATGCGCTAAATATATCGACGAGAACAATGAGCCTTCCTCGTCGCGATCAGCTGATGGGCTCAACCACGGAGATCACCCCATCTCCGCCAACGTCAGAGGGTGGAGGTGCACCGCGACTCTGAACAATAAGTGATGCGCACTCTCCTCCAGTTAACTCTCACACCATCGGCCATGACGAGCGCGTACCCCTCCGTCTTCACCTTGCCGCGGGTCCCCCTCCCCTCCGACGGGGTGTACACAGACACCCTGCTCGAGCAGCGGGACACGGAGGACCGGCTCGGCGACGTGCTTGCCGACACCGCACCCGCACTCGTACCAAGAGAACCAGCCACGGCGGGGGGCACGACGGTCCTCCGGAAAGCGGAGCACGGCATTTTCTTGCACAGCACGTTCTACCGCCTCCCATCTCCCTATGTTGCGCTCGACGCATCGCGGCCGTGGCTCATGTACTGGACTGTGCACAGTCTCGATCTGCTGGGCATTGGTCTGGATCCCGGAACGACTGAGCGGTGAGTCTTGAGCCCCCCACATCTACACTCCTTATTGTTCCCAAGCTAACAAGGTATAAGGGCAGTCCAGACTCTGCTCAAGTTTGAATCGCCGACGGGCGGCTTCGGCGGCGGACCGGGAAACACGCACCTCGCCCATCTCCTGCCGAACTATGCGGCCGTGTGCTCGCTCGCGATTGTGGGCTCGGAGCGCAGCGGCTGGCCCCAACTCGTCCAAGCGAGACAGGGCATCTACGACTTTTTCATGCGCATGAAGCGTCCCGACGGCGGGTTTCATGTCTGTGACGGCGGCGAGATTGACGTGAGGTGAGTACTAAAGTCGGAGGCGGAGCCGACGGCGCTCAGCGGACCATCGCGGAACGCCAGTGTCGCTCTCCCACCAACCTCTTTAGCTAGTTCCTCCGTATGACGAAAGCTGACGCCCAGGGGAACATACTGCCTCCTCGTCGTCGCGACGCTGCTGGACCTCCTGACGCCCGAGCTCCTGCTCGGCGTCGACCGCGCCCTGGCCTCTTGCCAGACGTACGAGGGCGGCTTCGCCGCCAGTGCCTTCGCCTTTGGTCTCGACACGGCTGATGCCGACGCGCCGCGCGCAGCCCTCGCAGAGGCGCACGGGGGGTATACCTCGTGTGCGCTAAACTCGCACTTTCTCCTCTCCTCTATTACGCCCCCGAACTCGCCCCTATCCTCGCTGCCGGGCGACTATCCCAGGCCGATCGACGCCGAGTCCGCCCTCAGGTGGAGCGTCATGATGCAGGGCGAAGCGGGAGAAGTGGGTGGGTTCCGGGGCCGCACGAACAAGCTCGTAGACGGGTGCTATGGTTGGTGGGTTGGGGGCGGGGTGCCCGTTGTAGAGGAGCTGGCGCGGCGGCAGCGAGACAAGCACGAGCCCGAGTCGCGCATAGCCGTGCTCGACGACGACGGGGATGGCGAGTGGACAGACGAGCCGGGCATGCAGGCGCTGTTCAACCGGGGTGAGTTGTGCTACGAAGGTGATGTGCTGACATCACCAGTCGCGCTGCAGGAGTACGTCCTCCTCGCGGCCCAGCGGGAGGCCGGCCCCGAACCAGCCGGCGGGCTGAGGGACAAGCCCGGCAAGCGGCCAGACCTGTACCATACCTGCAACAATCTGTCTGGACTGTCGGTCGCGCAGCACCAGATGCGCCATGACGCGGCTGCGGTGCAGGCCGCAAGGGATGCGTTTGACACGACGGCGGGTCTGCCGGCCGTCCAGCCCACGACGGCAGAGGGAGGGTGGAGCAGCGAAGAGGAGCGGCAGAGGGTGCGCCGCGAGGTGTATGCCAATGTCCTGGGCTGGGTCGAGGATAAGAGCAACGAGCTCGTCGTCGGGGGCCAGGAGAGCAGGGTGGGCGTCACGACACCCGTGTTCAATGTGTCGCAGGGAAGACTGAGGCCGTTCATCAAGTACTTCTACGGACAGAAGTGAGGCCCCGAGCTGTCGTCGAGTGGATCTGTGTATAGTCGACAGAGGAGACCTGTAGTATATGCATCGCGTCAGTAGTGCTCGGGGTAAGTTGAGTGATCACACTCAAGTGTTCATACGGCATTTAGTAGTGTCTATGGTGGATTTTTTTTTTTTGCATTTTCAGTTTTCAGTAAATGTCTATCCTACATATCACTATCCGAATCGTCATAATGTACAAGAAGCAAACGGAGACGAGGCGAGGCGGAGCGAGTCTAGCACAGCGCGGATTTTTTTTTTTTTTTTTTTTTGTGTGTTTTCTGGTTGAGGTATATGGAGTCGAGATGGCGACTGATTCTATGGCGAGATGGGAGTGACGGAGAGTGGTGGTGGTGGATCTTGGGATGTGTAGGCGCTTAGGGCGCCGAGTGGTAGCCGCTCCAGCTCTGGCGGCCGTTGATGGTGCGGAAGGTAATGCCACCGATGGGGGTGGTGGCGAAGCGCGGGGCGGGGCGCTGGGCAGGCTGAGTGGGCTCCGCCGCCTCGGCAGTGGCGGGGCGGGGGGCAGGCGCTGGGTGCTGGGACCCGCGACGCCGTTGCCGCCCGCCGCGTTGGTCGCAGTGCTGGGACCCGCCACGCCGTCACCGCCAGCGGTGTTGGTCATGGTGCGGGTCGCGGTGGCGACCACAGTCTGGGGGGGACGTTCCCCGATGGCCCCGAAGGGGCACCCGACAGACTGAGCGGGGCGGTCGCCAATGGCGCCGAAGGGGCTGCCGACGGATGGGGCGGAGCTAGCGGAGCCAGTGGACGACTCGGAGCCAGTGCTCGGCGAGCGGGCACGGAGGTTCCAGTGCCACCAGTGGCCGTGGCGGAGACGGCGGTTCTGGCGCTTGGCCCAGCGCTTGAGCCCACACTTGCGCGCATTCTCGACGATCCACTGCTCGAGAATCGCAACGTCCCAGTGCGAGAGGAGGTAGAGCAGCCCATAGTCGTCGCGGAGGAGGCGGTGCTGCATCGTCGCCGGGAAGAGGGTGTTGGCGTTGAACTCGCGCGCGTGCGTCGTGATCGCGGCGCGAGTGCCGAGCGCGGAGCCGCTGCCGTTGGAGCTAGAGGAAGTGGTAGAGTTGGCGCGGGCGCGGTAGGCTTGAGTACCGGGGAAGCAGCAGGGAGAGTCGCCGGGCGCGGGGAAGGAGTTCTGGACGGCATAGTACATACGGTGCGCGGACTCGAGGCGCCCGAGGGAGCGCCACGCAGTCTCGGTCAAGTGCTCGTTAGGACAGACCATGACGCCGGTAGAGGCAACAGTGCCGACCCAGTACGCGTCCGGGTGGGGAGTGGGGATGGGCTGGAAGCGCATGGGAGAGGTGAAGTGCACGTGCAGGGGGCGGAGCTGCATGATCTTGGAAGTAGGGTTGAGTGGCAGCTTCGGACACGCAGTGTCGTGCGCCTTGCCCTTGCCCTTGCCCGAATCGGGGCGGGGGGAAAGGGAGTCCGAAGGGCCGGAAGAGAAGTCGGAAGGGCCACGCTGGGACAAGGAACCGGGACGAGACGAGTCCGAGGGGCCGAACGAGGCGTTGTTAGAGCCAGACGAGGCGCTGAAGGTCTTGGGCCCGGCAGAGCGGGGGTTGGGCGAACCGTTGGGCGTCTGAGGCTCAGGCGAAGGAGTGGGGGGGGGCGACCCGCCGCCGCCGCCAAAGGGCATCAGGTCGAGGTTGTTGTACGGCCACACAGTCTTGCCGTTCAGCTTGGTGTCGGCGCCGACCCAGCGCTGGTGCTGGCCATTGACGCGGTCCCTCTCGCCGGGCGCAAAGGGCGTGTCGGGGTAGAGGGGGTTGGGGGCATAGGGCGTGATGACAGAGGAGCGGTAGATGTAGCGCGTGTTGGGCTCGCGGGTGGCAAGGTCTTGGGTGGCAACGGGAGGGTTCTCCGAGGTAGGGCGAGGGGGAGCGATAGCGCCGTAGCGGCCAGGGAGGGGAGGGTCGGTGGCGAGCCACGCGACAACCTTGGAGAGAGAGCGAGAGCGGCTCTCGGCCTGGGCGCGATGAGCATCGCCGCGAGCGGAGAGGGAGACAGCCCACGCAGGGCGGGAGGGACGAGGGTTAGAGTGCCAGTCGATCGGCCCCGACATGATGAAGGTAAGCAAGAGGATAGGCTACGGAGTAGAGGTATACACGAGATGGGTTGGATGGGAGAGCAAGTTACAACTCGGAGGTGTACAAGGTGGTGGGGGAGGGGAATTCTGCACAAGCTGGGAGCTCGAGCAGTGCGGAGAGGAGAGGTTGTCGGTTTGAGGAGTAAACGCGCCCTCTGCAATGTTTATATCTCTAACCTCGCCGCTCGACGCTCGCAGAGAGCACCGCGCAGCAGCTTAGGTCGCAGCGAGCACCCAACCCATGATGCCAAACATCTCCTCGACAGCCGGGGCAGCAAAGCAAGCTCTCACGCCAACACCTCGCCACCACCGCATCATTGGCCAGGTCACATTCAACCTGAAGGAACGGGTACGCCGGGGATCTCTCGTCGCATCACGATGAGGGAGGTTGGAGCCGAGGAGACCGAATAGACCGAGTATACCCCCTAGGAAAAAAAGTCAGTCGCCGACTCGGCTCATGTCGGTCGTATCTCGTATTCAGAAAGTAGCCGTTAGTCCGCATAGGAAGGAGGCTGGTTAGTCACCAGTGCCTCGCTAGTGTGTGTGCGTTTTGCTCCACCTTTCAGACATTCATGTGGGACAGAGGGACTCGCGAGTGGGGTGATTGCATATTGCGGACGCGTTGTGTGCTGCACAGCTTCTGGCGCGCTGTTAGGCTCCCCGCCCCCGTGCTAATGGACATTTTAGTGTGGCCCGGGGGGATGGGGTGACGCCCCGTCGTGTGAGTTGATCGGCGATCCTCATCTCCCGTCGCGTGTGTAATTCGCCGTGTGCCCCGGCTGCGTAGCTCTGCGAGTCGGGCGAGAACACAGGCTCAGAGGTGACTGTCCATGAGCCAGGACGTCGAGCACCACTTAGAAAATTACAGACGCAGGCCGTAGTCAACAGCGCCGTCCTCATGTGCTCCCCGTCGCAGGCGCAGCTGCTCAGTCGCCCGGTCGTTGGCCATCGGGAACCTCTTCCAAATCGGCAGAGCGTTGGTGCAGCTCATGCAAAGCAGGCACGCTACTAAGCCAGCCCCTCACAATGCAAGGGTACCTCTTGTGTGCTCCACAAGGCCGCATAGCCGCAGAGCACATGGTCGCCGATGGGGCGCAAGGTGCGCCGCGACAGCGGCAGTGGCCCCGAAGCCCGAAGGCAGGCCCGACCTCGGGCCTCGGCCTCTTGCCACACTACACGCAGAGCCGTACTCTGCTAGCTCCGAGATAACGCCTGCCGCTCTTTCTGCTATTTCCCTGTTGCCTCTCAGCTCCCTCCCCGCCGACCGCCGCACATTCAGGCAAATTCAAGCCAGCCTTGCACTGCACATGCACTGGCGTCAGTACGCGCCGCTTGGCGCGAGTAAGCGCCGGGGATTGAGACGGGGATCGAGGCTATCTCCGTGCCTTACTCGCGCGTCCCTATGCGCCTGCATGTGTTGTGGTGGCGAAACCCACTGGTGGTAGTGCACTTGCCGCATTAGCGTGTTCTGCCAGATCCGTTGCGGACATTGTGGAGACCCGATCAGGTTCTGTCTTCATTGCCGCCGGCTCGACCTGAGGAGTCGCAGCGTTCGCAAGCACTCGGCCGAAGTCCGATCGGGGCAGCCAGTGGTCCGATCAGCCTCGCGGTCCGATCAGCCGGGTGGCAGCGCGGGGGTTGGTAGAGCCGTGGTGGATCACCGTGGGCTGCGAGGAGACGAGCCCTGTCGCCCTGCGGACCGCGGACCGGGTGATCATGGAGGGACGTCACGACGATTTCTATGGCCTTACAGCGTCCAGTCACGGCAGGGAGATCGCGCATTGGGATAAGCAATCTGCAGTTCAGCATGCTTAGCGTGCGGCATCTGCCTGAGCAGCGGCTCTGGCTTTAGGCTCCGGCGGCAGCCCCACATGTTCCGAGCGCGCAGCAGTCGTCACCTCTGCAAGGCGAGTCCCGCACTCTTCCGAAATCCATGAGAGCTTGGACGAGGATCAGCACGTTCGTGATCGCCTCAGTTCTTGCAATCGCTGTGACGCCGACGCTGTCGATGGTCACGGCAGTGTTTGTCCTGCATCAGTCATGAGCACCATTTCTCGGCCGCCCAGCCCCTCAGCTCCTGAACTGCGACCGGCCTTTGCTTCGCCCGGAACGCTCGCCTGAATGTCAATAACTGCACAGCCCAAGCTTCCCCGGTTAGTGACTACTTTACCGTTGCCACTCCAAATCGCCCGTGCCGCTCGCGCAATACAAAGTTGTGCATGGTGGCGTGCCTGCCGTCAAGGCCAACACACGATGAATGTCCGAAATGCGTCTACGTCTTGGCTTGTGTCTTGTACATGGTGTCGAGATGGGGGATGATGCTGATGTGCCCTCGCGTGGGGGCTGACGACGATGGGCTTAAGGCTCACGGGTACATGTGCCAAGCCTCCTTCTCGTCAATCATCTGGTCGACGAGGTTCTTGAACTCCTCCTCGATGACGCGGACAAAGTCGCTCGGCGAGTGTCCGTCATCACAGCCCTTCCACACGCCACCGTCGACGACGCACTGGCGAACGCCGCCCCGGCGAATAGTGGAGTCGATACGGATTGTGCAGCTCTTGGCGACACCGTCTTTCTTCGTCTTCTGCACGCTCTCGCGCAGACGCTGCCGAGCCTCCTTGCTAAGGGGCTCGGGCTGCATGTTCTCTGGCTCGCCGTCCTCATCGAGCATCGGCGCTTGCGGAAGAACCTCACCGCCTTCGCGGAGCGCCCGCGCGACATTCTGCGCGTGACGCGACTGCCGGTCGCGCTTCTGTCCCTCGATGCAAGGACCGACGCCAGAACGCCAGTAGTCCACCCCATTCGTCTCGACACACTTCCGTGTCGTGGAAATTGTCCCGACAGTACCGGGGAACTTTCCATAGTTCATACAGGTGACGACGCCAAACCACTCCTTCAGGTCGAGGTTTGCTTGCAGACAGAGCTGGTGAGCATTGCCCGCACACTCAATGTCGCCGTGCATGCAGTCAACCCCGTACGTCGCGTGCTTGTCAACCCTGCGTTGTCAGTTGCTGGCGCACATTCATGCTCAGCGCAAAACGGTGGCGCTGCGCCCACTGCGCCTGCTGCGCAGCCGAGACAGTCCGCACACTGTAGTAACACTCACCTGCCGATGTAGTCGATGCTGAGGTCGACCTTGTCGGCGATGCCTTCCTTCTTGAGCACCTCCTCGAAAACATTCTCGCACATCCTCTGTTCGTCAGCTGTCAGACTCAGGGGCAGCACTCACGGCATCCGGGCAGCGTGACATGGCGTACAGCGAGACGTTGACGCGAGGCTGGTTCATGATGAAGTTGTCGTAGATCTCGAGGCTCTTCTGGGCCCTGGCGCTGGTGACCCAGAGGTGCGGCGGACTGGACTCCTGGACCATCGCTGCTTGCGAAGCCTTGGTGACCTGGGCGACGGGATGTGATCCAAGCGAGCCGGAAGCCGAGCCTCCGATGTTGTCCTCGGCAGGTGTGTCAGGGAGGGGGGATGCGATGGCCGAGCCGGCCGCGAGGGCGACGGCGTAAAGGAGTGTGCGCATGGTTGTAGGTGTCCGCTCTTTGTGATCTTTGTAGCCGATGATGATAAGTGATCGGGCAAGGCGATAGCAGGATGTTGTGATGGCGAGGAGGTCAGGTGGCCGATGCGTTGGGTGAGATTCCCGCGCGGTCTCACGATTCTGTGCAGGGAAGGTGGAGGGTTGACGTGAAAGGGGGGTGAGCCTGGATGAGCGCGGGACCTGAGCAAAAGCGAGAGCATGTGCAGGGGCCACCTCAGCGTATCAGGCTAGGGTTCACCCTGGCTTACCCCTACATAATCAGCGCAGCCCTGAGCCTGAGTCTTGCGACAGCGCGTATTCCACCCAGTCTGACACAAACCCTCCACTTTTGGCCTAGCTCACTGCTTCGTGTCCCCATCTTTGCTCGATGCAATGTTATATGTACGCACCACCAACTCTTTCGATCGCGGATCTCAGCCCCTTCTCATAGCTTGCACAGAAGCAATTCCAGCCTCCCCTCCCAGGCGCCCCAGCCTCGACGCCTGCAACGGGCGTCTCAGCGTCCCGCGCGCGATCTCGAGATCTGATTTCACGCTAGCCAAGGTCAGCGGACCAGAGTGGCGAATGTACGTCATGTCGTTATCTGCTCCCAGGCATCAGGTCATGTGGACACCGACGTTGTCCTCCGAACCACATTCTTTTCGCCCGCCTTCCACGTTCTCAAAGCTCTGACGGCTCTCACACTGGCGCGGACCTTGATCGGGACTGAGGTGAAGTGAATGCTCTAGACCCGCACGGTGCGAGACCTGCAGTTACGCCCGATCACATAACGTTGGCGCGGACAGCTAAAGGGCTTATCACTCGGTCTTGGATGCCGCAAGGGCATTCTTGGACGCGGGCCCGCTTGGCATCCTCAGCTGATGCGGCTATGGCCCGCTGCATGCGCTTGCAGCGACTGCGGCGGGGTGCAGCTGATCCACCAGCAAAACGTTTGCGCCACCCGGGCCAGACTTCATCAAAAGGTACTTCGAGCCGTACCTTCATTCTTTCTTGAGCAGGTGACGTCTGCGCTAGTGAAGATGAGAGAACAACGGTGCCCCCGTATAAAGGATCTCGGTGCCCGCGCCACTCACTCCCATCCGAACTCTTACTCAAACCAAGATCTGAACTGAACAGCGACAACAACCACAGCAAACACAGCAAGCAACAGCAGCAATGGACTTCCTCCCCGCCGTGCCCCGCGACGTGCCCAAGCAACTCTACAAGGCGGAGCTTACGCTGAGCGTCGGCGGCGGTTCGCGCCGCGGCTCGACATCCAGCGATGGCGGCCAGCCCACCGGACGCCGCATGTCCCTCGCCGCCCTTGGACTCGGCGGCGGCGGCGGCCACCAGGCTGCCCAGAGCAACGGCAAGCAGCCCGAGACCCACACCGAGGGCGTGTGGTACTGGCCCTGCCAAGTTGGAGTCACCGACGTGAGTAGTTGACTGCGCTGTAGTCTGTCAACGCATGGAGCGGCTTCCCGCGTGACATGAAGTGCGACGGCTCTACCTCGGAACGAGACAGTATCGAACTTCTGAGGAAGAGTGGGACGCAGTGTATACAGCCGGCCCCTCGCTCCATTCCCTCGCTCGGAGTACGCTAATAGACAGCAAAACCTGGTCATCCTCCCGCAGACCAAGCCCGCGAACCCGATGCTGACCCGCTCGCCGAAGGCGGCGAAGCGCTCTCTCGGCGGCTCCCGCGCCAACCGCCACTCGGCGGACATGTCGCACCTGCAGTCCAACCAGCAGTCTAACCAGCACCTGTCCGCTTCCCCGCCCAAGGACTATGCCATGGGCGGCAAGTTCATGTCTGGTGTGCGTCGCCTCAGCACCAGCTTCGGCGGTTCCAAGCCCGCCCACACCCAAACTCAGACCCAGACTACCACCCAGCCCGACGACTCTGCCGCCGGCATGGGTGCCTCCCACCCCACCTCAACCACGGCCGGCGCCACGGGTATGGTGAACGAGGCGCGCCGCGACTCGAGCGCGGGCGTCAGTGGCGGACTCGGCGGCGGTCCGGGCGAGGAGGACGCGCGCGAGACGGGCTGGCCGGGCGTCGTCGACGGCGAGGCGCTGCAGGCCATTGTCGTCCCGCTCAGCTCGGTCGGCAAGGCATCCCTCGACGCGAGCTCGAAGGAAGGCTCCGTCGTCCACGTCGGCGTCAAGTCGGCCGTGAACGGCAAGTCGGGCACGCTGGCGTTCTCCTTCGGCAACGACTGGATCGGCGGCAAGGGGTGAGTATTACAAAGTCAGCCAATACTGACGCCCGTAGTGAGGCCGAGGTCCTGTACAGACGCATCGAGGGCGGTGTCGAGAAGGCCAAGCCTATGTTTGGCGGCGACATGTTCAAGCTCGGCTCGTCGCGCACCCATGGCGCAGACAAGCAGTACAACGACCAGTGGCGCGCGGACGTGCGCGGTCGGTGGTGAATCGGGTCGATGCGCCGGGGGCGCAGCCAACAGCCTCAACCGGGGCGGCGGCCGGCTCTGAGGCGCCGCAACGCGACACTAGTTGTACAGCAGCAGCAGCAGGACACGGCGACAGAGTCATGAAGCATTCGAAGCAGAAGAGACGCTGCATGTGGAATCTGAACCGCGGTATCGAAGTAAACTGGCCTAATCGCACCACTTGTCCCCCTGTCCCCCCTTCACCTATCCTGTCCCACCCACTCGGAAGTCAAAGTAGCTCAGAAGTTCTTGTTGAATGAAAGCATGCATCGAATGAAGTTCTTGACGCAAGTTTCTTGCTTTCGCCACTCATTCGCTATTGTGGCACGCGCAGCTCCTCAGGACAGCACTCAGGATGCAAGAACACGGACACTCGTGTGCTCACGTCAATCCGATCGTACTTGGCGGGCTCGTCACGCGCCAAGCCACTCAAGCCATCCGGACTCGCTTAGCCTCACGGCGCGCGGAGCGCCCCTCGCGGAGCAAGGAACGGCTTGATGACGACGCGCATCCATTCTTCTCTCGGTCCCCCCACCCTTTATTCTGTGAACATGTGTCGGCACCTTCGTCATTTCTCGGGACGGCCCTCTCCTGACTTCGGTCGGTCGCGGCGGCAGGATCGCCGCCTGATAATTGACACAGACCCGAACGGACAAAAGGTGCAACAGGGCCACAGTCACAACAATTTGGCATACTTCTGGATACATTTATGAGAATGCTACGATGCTTTCGGACTACTAAAGACTTAGAGCGGGAGGGGTGCGCTCCCTGCGAGGGCCTCCATGAGGCTCACGATCTAGACGGCTCGCTGCGCTCGCCTTCTAGTCGAAGCTGCTCCATCCCCTCTGCCTGTGGTCCTCCGGAAGCCCGTTCCACCACTCTGCCGCGTTCATCTCCCCGCGCCCAATGGGCTTGACGCGGTTCAGGACGAGGAGCGAGTTGCCGTCCCCGGTGACCACGTACACGCGCTTCTGGGGCTTGTCGAACACGACGGTACCCGGGCGCGACTCGGGGCGGGGCACGTTCGGGCGGGGCACGTTCGCGAGCGTCTCCGGCGCCGGGGCCGCGAGCAGCGTCAGCTGCACGGCCTTGCCGTTGTGCTCGGCCCAGAGCGGGGTGTGGTGCGAGAACGCACGCGACATGCGCTCCAGCGCCTCGGCCGGCTGGGTCCAGTTCACACGCATGCGCTCCTTCGTCACCTTGGGCGCTTTCACCACCTCGCCCTCCTGCGGCCGGGCTGAGGCCTCGCCGCGGAGCATCTGGCGCAAAACTGCGACCAGCAGCTTGGCGCTCACGTGCGACAGGTCCTCCGCCAGCGTCGGGTACGTCGCGTTGGCGGGGATGGGCTGTTGTCAGCTTAGCAATCCGCAAGAAGCAGCTGTCAGAACGTAGAACACTCACAACACCATCGACAGCACCGATGATCGCACCGCTGTCAATACCCTGCTCTCGCGGACCCATGTTCTGCACACTGACGCCCGTCGTCCGGTCGCCGTTCGCGATGGCCCACTGAATCGGAGCCGCACCGCGGTATCTCGGCAGCATCGAGGGGTGCACGTTCAGCGCATGCTGGAACGGGCTCATGAGAGGAGTCGGGATGATGTGTCCAAACGATGCAGTGATCAGCAGGTGGCTCGGGTGCTTCTGGCTGAACGGGTGCGGAAGGTCAAAGGACTTGTCCAGACCCGAACTCGGCACCGTGTGCCACGGAATTCCAGCGTCAATGGCAAATGTCTGTAACGGAGCTGCATGTTAGCTCGGGGCATACGAACACAGCTCCATACACGTCGTCCATAGGTCTGCTCAGTACCGTGCACAAGACGATACGCTGCGGCTTGCATGGCACAGCGTGGAGGGGCATGGCAGACCGGACGATGGTACACCGAGGTGGAACTCGGCAGAAGATTATCGGCGGCTCTGGAATGACGTCGCCGGATACCTCCGCCAACTGGGTCACTCACGAATGTAACGTTGCTTGCGACCGCGTCCGACACGCTGCTCCGGCGGAGTGAGCACTGAAATGCTCTGCCAGACGTCTACTGTTAGCTTTCTAAGCCGCTCCGAAGCTCACCATCGGCGTTGTACAGAGCCTCGAGGCTCGCGACGGAGAACTGGTCCGAGCCACAGAACAGGATTCGGAAAGGCTCCTGCGCGCCCGAATGCAGTTGCCGAGCGTAAACGGCGCAACCGATACGTCGTGGGGCGGTGAACGCGGTCGCTCTGCGCAAGGCGGAAGCGTTCAGCATGTTGCTTTCGTCGTTGAGAGTGAAGAAGAAGGAGGAAGGAAGACGAGAACGGCGATCGAATGGGAAAGGACGGATACAGCGACGGGCTTGTCCTGGGTCGCATGGCTCGGTCAAATATCGAACCTCGATGGAAGCAGCTCCGACTTTTGTCGTCATGTCCAGGGCTGCAGCAGTGAGCGAGAGTTGACCCTCCCACCCAGCGTGGATTCTCAACCCGGCTCTTGGCCCTGAGGGTCTCCCTCACCACCCCTCAAAGAGGCCGTGCCTGGGCCCTGAATCCCATCTAGCTGCAAGCCAAGCGCGACCAGATGAATCACGACTTTCTCACTGCACGCCGCCCTCTCTCTTGCAATCTCCTCTTCCCCGTCTCTTCACTCTCACTGTTCGGCGCTCTCCAGTCGACGTTGCGACCTTCTTGTTGTCGCTCGTCGAAAAGAAACGAACCTCCGGCCATCCCGACGACCTTCATCGACGTCTCTCACGACCTTACATTGACCCTGTACTACTTTAGGTGGACATCGCCTTCAGACCGCCCGTTCACCCCGCGCTCCCAACCGCGATCGCCCCGATCGACCGCACTACCGCATGTCTTCTTCATCATTGAGATCTTGGCTTCCATCACTTAACTAGAACCCCCGTCAAGCATCAATCCGGGCTGTCTCCAGCCTCGGTGTGCTTTGTTCCAGTAATCGGCACACCACACAACCAGACCAGCATTTTCACGACAACAACAAAGATGTTTTGGCCCTGGGCCCTCACCCTACTTTGCGGCTCAGCACGGGGTTACACCCCCGCAGTCCCCATCAATGACACGACTGGCCTCGACCTCACGATGGGAAGCTCGGTGCAGGTCAAGTGGGCCAACCCGCCGGGGCTGTACAGCGGAGGAGTGTGAGTTTCCACTTCGCAGTCGTGAGGCGACGACTGCGATTCCGTGGGACTAGTGACAGGTCCACCGCAGTCGGCTACTCCGCTTAACGACAAAAGCAGAGGCAATTAGAAGCGTTCGCTCACACCCAGGTCATGGCAACTGATCTCGGACGATCACTACTTGGACGTAACGGAAGGCGCTCTCGTACATTTCACCGAGGAGACTGCCAAGAACGACACCGAGTGGATTTGGGTTGAGACACCCTGGATCGCGTACATCTGTTGCGATGCCAACATCACGGGCTACAGCGAGGAAGATGGTAAGGCACGCTCTTCGGATCAAATTAACTTTACAGACATCTTCACGATGGCACGGGATCGAGGCGCGCAGTCTGCTGTAAGTTGGTTTGCTTGGCGTAGATTGACGGCCAGTTGCTCTATTCGAACACTTCGGAGACGTGTCTACTCAATCCCTTCTATGTCGATCCAGACGAGTTCGACCACGTTCTCGACATCTTTGCGATAACGAACCGAAACATCACCAGGTTGTTGAACTCACAGTTCCGCCAGACGTCCGCAGACTACTTCTACTTCAACTACACGCGGCTCCGCGACAGTTGGGGCGACCTGAACGCAACTGTAGCTGGTGAATCGCTGAATCACTCCAGCTACCTTGGAGGAACGATCTATGCGCGAAACAAGACGGGAACGCAGCCCGTCGCTGGCTTCCCGGGCACGAGCCAGGGGGAGCACCACGAAAGTGGAGGGAAGAACAAGGGGTTGATCGCGGCCTATGTCTTGGCAGGCTTCTTTGGGGCGATGATCTGCATCACAGTGTTCAGTGTGATTCGCCGTTCCCTTCAACCACAGCGCCGCGACCACCACTCTGGAGAAGAACAGCCAGTGGAGGCTCCCCGGCGGATCGGCCTGACGCAAGCCATTGTCGACACATTCCCCATTATCAAGTTTAACAAGAGCCAACCGGAGCCTACGACACCTTCAAGAGTGCCTCTCAAGACGCTGCCCAGCGACGAGCTCACGCCCATGGAGCTGTCATACTCAAAGCCTTATGCGGACAAGAGTTTCTCCCAGATATCACAGAGCTCGACGGTGGACAGCGGCCGCTCGACCCCGGCGCCAGTCAGCGACGCTCAGTGCCCGATCTGCCTCCTCGAGTTTGAGGATGGCGACGAGATCCGAGTACTCCCTTGCGAAGGTGCCCATCGCTTCCACAAGGGTTGTGTCGATCCATGGCTTTTGGCGGTCAGCACAAGCTGTCCGCTGTGCCGAAAGGGTGAGCTCGCCGGATGCTTGTTTTCCCAGCTGACATGCGCAGATTTCAACCCCGAAGTTGCAGACAACGTCGCGCAGAGTGACCGGTCACGCATTACGCCGCGATACATTAACCTCATTCGAAGAGCGCGGCGCCGAGCGGAGTCTGTGGTTGAGGCGGGTCCACGTCCGCGAGAGGCGGACCAAAACGGACCAGGTGGCTATTGAGCCACCAGATTGCACCCGCCCAGCCTTGCACAACATTAGAATAACCAGGACAGTGCCTATACGACATACACCATACACTATACAAGGACACTCCCGTTGTAGTACCACGATCATACGAATGTATCTCCATTTTCTTAGCCTTGCAGCTGCGTGCCATAGCTGTTCACAGGCCGGGAGGCTAACATGATCGAGATCGTATGACGTGGGACGGCTAGCGCCGTGGGCTGTGGCTTGGCCGGCGTCAGGGACGGAAGCTGATTTGCCACTCGCAGCAGTGACGCAGTGATAAGCCGCTGCTCCCCGCGTTATCAGCCGCGTATTGTAACCATCCACTCACCCTCCCATCTCCTTACAACACACCCAGTTTCACCGCACCGACTACGAACACTCGTTTCTGAACCATGAAGACAACGGCGCTTGCTCTCGCGGCAGCCGCATTCGCACCCAATGTGCTCGCGTGGGGTGCCGCAGGTGAGTAACCGATCCTCCACCATCCCTGGCTTGACCATCGATCGCGAGCTCGTTTGGGACGGGACAGGTCAGCGCCAGGACCAGTCTCTCATCCTTCTCGCATCAGCGCCTCAATGTTTTGTGTCGCTTGATTTGGGTGCGAGAAGGGACGAAAGGTCTTGCAGGAGACGCAATGGCCGCAACTCATCAGCTGTCTCGACGTTTCAATGGTAGCTGACCGTGCAGGACACGAAATCGTCGCAACCATCGCTGAGATTCACCTATACCCGGAAGTCAAGGAGAAGCTATGCCACATTCTGCCGCCCGAGGCAGAATGTCACCTTGCACCCGTCGCGGCGTGGGCAGACACGGTACGCGGCCGGTACCCGGGGACCGGTCCCATGCACTATGTTAACCGTGAGTAGAGGTGAGCGTGTGCGCGCGTGACGGCGTGGTGTTACGGATGCTGGTCACCTGGACCCACATGACTCGTCACACGTCTTCCGACTCCGAGACAACTGTCGCGGTGACTAGTGACGAGGTATCGGCACATTGCGACCGTGTCGAGCACGTTCGTGATGATGACGATCTTCATATGGCCGTGACGAAGCTAACGGAACAGCGAAGGAGGACAACCCCGGAACGCATTGCACGTTCGGCGAGCACGGCTGGATCAACGAGGACGTCAACGTTCTCACGGCCATCGTGAACAAGACCGAGGCTCTTCGCGGTGGTGGCGGCGGGGACATCAACCTGCGTTTCCTGATCCACCTTATGGGCGACCTGCACCAGCCTCTGCACCTGACGGGCCGCGACCGCGGCGGCAACAACGCGCGGTTCAAGTTTGAGGGCCGTGTGCGCTCTCTGCACAGTGTCTGGGACTCTGGTATTCTGCTGAAGAACATCCGCGAGTTCTCCAACTACACCGCGCCTCTGCCGAGCAAGCACATTGAGGAGGCGCTCCCCGGCGCCATCTTCGACAGCTACGTCCGCTGGATTGTCTGGGAGGGTATCAGGCAGTGGTGGCCGAACGTGCAGGAGGAGTGGCTGGCCTGCCCCGCCGACGGAGACCCGTACCCGCACTCCCTGCTCGAGGACATCCCCCGCAACGAAGTCGACCACGGCGAGTGGTACCGCTCCGCTGTCGACTATGCGCACGGCGCGGTCGGATACCTCCCCAACGCGCTCGGTGACGTGATCCGCCTCAGTATCCCGGCGCCTGTCGAGGTCGGCGAGGGCATGCGCGACGCCCTCCTCGAGCTCCACCCCAAGAACGAGCCGAAGCACATCGGCCCCGCTTGCCCTTACACGTGGGCGCGCGAGATCCACGGCACGAACTGCGCCCACGCCTGGCCGCTCGAGTACGACCCCCACGGCCCGCTCATCGAGCTCGACACGGACGAGTACCTCGGCAAGATTGGCCGGGCCAAGGTCCTCGAGCGCCTATTTGCCATGGGCGGACTGCGCCTCGCAAAGGTCCTGAACGAGGCCGTCAGCGACGGCAAGCTCAAGGGCGTCTACGTCAACTACCCCAAGTACGAGGCTGAGAATGAGACCGCCGAGGCGCGGCCGAGCGCAGAGACGAGGCGCACCGCCGAGCTCTAGGGGGCACTGGTGGCCCTTCTCTTGTTCCTGTAGTTGTTTACGACCATGCATGACGATTTGGAATGATACAAGCTGCTTGAATGATTGTACAATGTGTGCATGATTGGATGATTGGGGTTTTAGTACACCTCGTCCTCCGAGTCGGCGTCGTCGAGACCAAAGATCTTTTTGATGTCCGCCAGCGTCTGGCCCTTGTCCTTGCCGCCGCCGGAGAGCGACGCGTTCACGAGCGCCGTCTTGCTTCGTTGAATCTTCATAATGCGCTTTTCTGTCGGAGTCAGTTTTGTGCAGCGAGGGCGCAAACTGGGAACACTCACCAACTGTGCCCTTGATGATGTAGCGCGTGACGAAGACAGGCCTGTTCTGGCCGAGACGGTGAACGCGGTCGATGGCCTGCTGCTCAATCGCCTCGTTCCACCAAGTGTCCATCATGAAGACGTCTGCCTGTCAGCTGTGATAGTCAACGAAAAGCTCACGGTTCGCCATCGTCAGGTTAAGACCAACACCGCCGGCTTTCAGCGAGATGAGAAGCACAGTCGGTTCTGAACAAGGTTCGCCGAACTGCTCGACCGTCGCCGCACGCTGCGCCTGGCTCATGCTGCCGTCAAAGCGCAGCCAGCGCACACCCTCGCGACTCAACGTCGGCTCGATGAGGTCTGTCATCAGCTCATGTTTGCAAAAGCCGAAGCTTACCGAGGAATGATGTGAACTGCGAGAAGACGAGTGCTTTGAACGTCGGATCCTCCTCCCGCAGCTGTGCGAGCTTCCGCACGAGGGCTCGCAGCTTCGTGCTCTGCACCAGGTCGACCTTGCCGATCGTAACCGTCTCGTCCTGCGACGCGGGCTCCGCGAACGCGTGCACGCGCTTCCTACGGCGCTGCACACTTCGCAATTGAGTTGCCTTGACGGGGCCCTTGCCGCACGTCGGGCAAGAGGCTTCCTTGCCCTGATCCTCGCAGTGTCCGATGTAATCGACGATGCAGTCCTGGCAACCCCGGTGGAAGCAGGGGAGTAGGACCTCGTCCTGCACCTCGTTGTAGCAGATGACGCACTCGGGCGACTCGTTCTCACCGAGCTCCTTAAGCACTTGCTGAACATATGCGTCGTCGGACGAGCCCTCGCGCTGCCCTGCGTAGTCGGCCAGAAGCTCCTTAACGCTCGTCTCGCCGGCACGACCCTCGAGCAACTTGTCGCCGTCGTCGTCTTCGGTAGCTGTTTTACTCATGACGAGCAAAGGATGATCGACGCATTGCCTCAGCTTCATAAGCATGGCCAAGATGGACGTGTAGCTCGACATCGCCTTGCCGTCCGCATCCAGCTCGATGAAGCGTCGGCGTGCGCGCTCCTCCAAATGCTTGTAGATTTGACGCTCGGCTCGGGAGAAGTCCAACACCTGCACGTCCACGGTCTTGGGCGGCAGGTCGACGACAAGACGGCCATCCTTGTCGCGCATGTTCTTCTCGCGGCGAAGGAGGCACGACTCGAGGATATACTGCACAACGTTGAGCGCCTTCGGGTCGCGGTTGAGGAAGGGGATGGTGACAAAGCTGCGGAAGAAGCTGTACAACCCCCAAGGTTCCAGTTTGAGGAAATGACTATAGTTAGTTCTGGCTCGGCAATTGAGGACTCACAGCAAAGAGTACAGGTCTTCAAGGCGGTTCACAATGGGTGTTCCAGTCAGAGCCCATCGGCACCGGCCCTTCAGCTCATAGCAAGCTTTGGAGACCTGAGCTGTACGATTCTTGATGTTGTGGGCCTCGTCGAGCACGACACGCAGGAACTCGTCTGCTTGTCAGCTTGTAGACTCCCGGGAAACTCACGGTCGTAGATGCTGCTGTGGTCATACGACGGCTTGTCCTTGTTCTTCTGCCACCGGGCGAACTCGCTGACGAGCGTGCCATAGCTTGTGATAACGACATCGATCTTCTTTTTGCCTTCAGCAGCAAGGAGCTGGCCGATATCGGGGCGATCGTTTCCGTACCACAACGCGCTAGCCATGGAGCCCTTGGCGGACATCTTTCCCAGCTCCTCTTGCCATTGTGAAGCCAAGGATACGGGACAGACAACGAGCGTTGCCCTTGGCGGCTTGCGCGTCGGCTTGGGGGTGTTGGCCGTGGCTCGCCACTGATTCGACAGAGTGACCTGGACGAACTTGCGGCGCTTCGTGTCCGAGGGTTCTTCCTTGACGGGCGAGGCGCTGACAGCCTCGTCTTCACCACGGTTCTGGTGCAAGAGGGATGCCATCATGCACGTCTTGCCCATGCCCATTGAGTCTGCCAGGATGCCTCCTCGCGAGAAGTTCTCGGCACGAGGGAGCTCGAGGCTGAGCTCTCCACTGTATGGGTTCCAGTAGAACTTGCGCGCTGGGTCGATCCAGTCCGAATCGTCCTCGATCTCGATCGGTTCTCCGGGATCCTGCTCCTTCCGGAAAGCGTATTCCTCCCATAACGGATGCAGGGTCTGATTGCCCTCGCGGAGATTGTCCTTGCCTGCTTCGCGAGCCATCATCCATGTGAGAGCCTGCTTCTGATACGGGCGCAGGGTATAGAGGAAAGAATCTGGGGGATCCGTCTCGTCCAGATTGGCGTCATTCATCTGTGCTCTGCCTGTCAGTTTCCAGAGCGTCTGAAGGAGCTCACTTCCTGTAGATGTTGTCGAGCTCATTCATCTGCTCCTCATCCAGCTTCTCAGCTTCATCGCCACTGTCTTCCTCCTCGTCGCCATCATCGCGCTGTGGCTTGGATTCAGGTTTCGGGCTCTTCCTCGGAGATCCCTTGCGAGGAGACTGTTTTCCAGTTTCGAAATGTTTGAGTGATTTCTCGTTTATGATGGCGGCAGCCGATGCGCCCTTCTTCTGAGCTTGAATCAACGAGTTCGATTGCAGTGGCTTGACTCCTATGCGGCCTGCAGGTCAGCTTAGGCACCAAGTGCAAAGTTACCAAAGAGTGATCCCAAGGCTTCCTTGCGGTTGCGCATAGCTTCTTCCTCCTCTGTCTCTTGCTGCTCCTGCCAGAAGGTACCAGCCTCTGAGCGGTCTTTCTTCTCAACCTTGCGGAAACCCTTCCTCGCGAGGTACACCCTGACGTTCAACAGGATTGTCGATCCTGTCGAGAGCACTTGCGGGCAGTCGATGACGTGACCCTCAAGTTCGACTGACGGTCAGCTCGACAACAGCAGAACGCAGCTCACTGATACCACTGTCAAGTAAATGAACCAGGTAGGACGCGTCGGTCACAGAAAGTCGTCCAACTTCGAGGATCAGATAAGTCTATCGATGCCACGAGCTTACCTTCTGGATAGCGTCAGCGTCGCCCGTACCTGCTCACTTACCAAATCCCCTCTCATTCCTAAAACGAATGATCTGATCGACTTTAGCCTTTTGCTGGGCTTTTCTGACGGGCTAAGTGTCAGTTTTAAGTACATCGCATGAAACTCACAGCCGGCGGCGGCTTCTTCGCCATCATAGACTTCAAGGACATCTGCTTCCCTCCAATCTTCGACTTGGCCTGCACCATCTTGCCGTTGACTAAGCGCGCTGGACCGATCTTCTGGTGGCCGTCGTCGTTCTTGGCTGTGTTCTTCTTCTGATTCGGGCGCTCAAAGACGATCTTACTGCCAGGAGAACAGTATCCCTTCCCCTTGGACAGGGACCAGCCCTCGCAGACAAACTCGCCAAGGTAGCCGCGCACAAACCCGGGTCGGATACCGGATTCTGGGGGTGACGAGGCTGGTTCCATCTCCTTCCGTTTGCTGCTCGACGGTTGAGGGGAAGAAGTACCGCCGACCGCAACGACGTCGTCGTCCTCGGGTATGAACAGGCTCTCCTTGGTGGAGCTCGATCGCGATGTCTTCCTCGGCGAGGACTGCGACGACGGACCCGCAGGGACAAACTGGAACTCTTCTTCCTCCTCGTCGGACTCGGCGGGAAAGAAGAGGTCGGACTTGGACATGGTCGACAAGTCGTCCGGGGTGTGGCTTGCGGACGGTTCAACAAAAACAAATGAAAACATAGGGGACCCGCTCACGACGCGTCGCGCGAAGTCCAGTCAACCTACCTCCACACGCCTCCACATGACGATCTTGGGTCAAGTCTCCCACGATGGCAGAGGTTAACCGCTTTATCGAAGCACGTGGACGCTGATTAGGATCGAGGCTGGGCTCGTTACGGCTCATCACGATTGATTAGGGCAGCAGTTAGGTCCGCTTGCTTCTGGTCCAGGGCGGGACCCACCGCAGCTCCACGGGTCCACGGAGCAAGCCGATTTGAGCGCGCTTAGGGCGCACGGCGACGTCATAGCCGTCTCGTTGGGCCGCTCAAGCGTCGAGCGGAACCCAACTTTTTGCTCGGTCTCGGGGTTGATTTTCCTCTAACCCGGGCCTCGAGTGGGGATAGCAACCTAGGCGCTCAGAGCGACTAACAACAGCTGGCTTCTCCTTGTCTTTGCTCATCTCCTTCGCAACCGCTGTTTACACAGACCTTCTGTGCGCTTGACGCCCCTGTCCTTACGCGCCCGCCACACGTTCCTTCACCTACCCAAGCCAAGCAACTCCAAGTCGCCCAGTATGGACCCCCGCCTTGCCTTTATGCGCTCGGCCAAGCCCGTCGTCGCCGCCGGAACGAAGACGGTGCCGATCCGCCAGACCTTCTCGAGCTCGACACCGCGGGACAACACCGTCTCGGTCCTGTACTATCCTCCGAAGCGGGGGACGGAGCAGGCGCCGGACCAGGTGACGCTCTTCCTTCCAGGTGAGTAGCGTCATTTGCACTTCGCTGGCTCCACGGTCCGCCGAGCTCCGTTTGCTGACAACAGGCAATCCCGGCACACCGGAATACTACCTCTACTTCCTTGGACATCTGCACTCGAACCTGCCCGACGGGCATGCCCTGCTGGCGGCGTCTCATGTCGGCGGCGATGCCGCGCAACCCCACCCGAAGAAACCTTTCGACCTGCCGGACCAGATCGCGAGTAAGATCGAGATGGTGAACGCTTTGCAGTCGTCACTCGACGCGTGGGCGTCGCCAGGACAGAAGCCCAAGGTGGCGCTGGCCGGGCACAGCGCTGGGACATGGGTGATCTGCGAGATAATGAAGAAGATCAAGGTGCACGCCGCGTACCTGACCTTCCCGACGTTGGGCTGGATTGCCTGGTCGTACAACGGGTGGACGATGTGGCCCATGTTCCACTTCCCCATCTTGCAGATCATCCCGTACACGTCGTACATTGCGCGGCACCTGCTGCCGTACTACCGCCTGCCGAAGCCGTCGCAGGAGCTCGTCAAGTCGCCCGAGACGCTGCGCGATGTTCTCGCCATGGCGGTCAGCGAGATGAAGCTCATCCGCGAGCCAGACTACGAGTGGTTCCTGAAGCAGCGTGACCTGCCGTACGGAGAGGGCGTGCACGGCGTCTGGAGCGAGGGCACCCTCGACGGCTGGGTCGGCAAGGAGGCCCCGCTCATTCGCGACTGTCTCGGCAAGGACCGCGCTGTGACAGTCGACATCCCGCATGCTTTCTGTCTCAGCGAGCGCAAGTCCAAGCGCGTTGCCGACATCGTCCTGGGATGGATGACGGACAAGCCCTCCAAGACCGTCGCTGCTGTCAAGTCAGCCAACGTCCACGACGGCACCGACACGCCCGAGTACCCCGAGTCCGAGATGATCATGTAGCACTAGCACGCTCGTTTCCTTATCTTCCTGACCGATGTAGATTTTAGACATTTCCAGACACAAAAGACAATCGCGAGAAGCGCCTAACGCAAGCCACAATCGGTTTCGACCGGCATTGCTTCTCGTGCCTGCCGTACTCTTATTTGAGACTCGCCACAGAAGCATACACTGCCCAGCGCAGGGGCACACGGCACCAGAGTCAGCTGGACGTGTGTGTAAGTTTCTTAAGTGTGCCTCCCTGCGCCCATTGCCCGCCGCAGTCCGCTCTGCATCATAGAGAGCCGGCTGGGGCGCTTGGCTGGAATTGACTTTGACCCCAGATGCTCAGGTCGGGTCCGGTGGCGATCTCCGTGGCTGTCAAGCAAGGTGGTCAAGCTTCTTGGCCACTCGTGTCCATACGTCAGCGTGGGCCCATCAATATCTCAATGCGTTAATACGAACGCGCTGCGCCGCACCAAGTGGCACTGAGATGAACCTGGCAACCGAGCAGCACGCGAGGCATGCGCCTTCACGCCTCCGCGACGGCGAGTCACGAGTTCTCAACTCAAGCTGGCATTTGCATGTCGCACATTTGCCCATTGGTGCGCAGAATGCACAGCGCGCTCGTAGCGCGGATGGTGCTCTGTAGAATGTCTGCTGACCTCGATTGATGCGCACCGCCGTCGAGACTGAGAAGCTATAAACGTTCCCAAGCCTGTTCACTGACCCGTCCCACCTCAATAATCACAACCACATCAGATCCCAACCAGAACTAGCAGCAATGGCACCTACCATGTCTAAGTGAGTAGACACACTGTACAGAGGCTGACGGCAGACTCAACTATTTCATGAAGCCCGAAACCGTCGAAGACGAGTGCAACGTATGTCCCTTCCTCCAACCTTCGCTGACAACAGCCCGGCGTCTGGTCGTCCGCGGCCTACTCCCCTCCCGCCGGCATTCCCGAGCGACATCAGGCCCCCGGCCTGGGTCCCCGCCGCAACAGCTGCGAGGCTCGCCCCGGCCTGATCCAATCGACCCATCTGGCACCTCTCAACGAGGGCTTGATGGCCGAGGACCACCCCGCCATGCGAGCACCAGCACGCAAGCCGCACGCCTCGATGGAGAAGCGCCGCAACTCGTGTGAGGCCCGCCCCGGTCTCATCGAGAGCACGCATATCGCCCCCTTGAACGAGGGCCTCATGGCGGAAGACCACGAGGCGATGGGCATGACTGGCAAGTCGCTCGGCCAGATGCGCGACGACATGGCCGGCATGAAGGACATGCACCAGGGACACCCCCTCGGACACGGCGACACCGAGGCCGTCAAGGAGTCGTTCATGCGCCATAGCCTCCGTTAGGCTGGGCGGCCGCGACTCCGCGTCCAGATCGCCGCGGCGATCTGGGCCTAGCGTCTCGCGTATCTGTACCATTGCGTCGTGTCGGATGAGCCTGCCGGAAGAGCCAGTAAGAAGTGGATCAGAAGTCAAAAGTGGATAAGGATAGGGTAAGAGACGCAAGATAAAGAGAAAACCCAGATAAGGTCCTCAGCGAATGCAGTCTGTTTGTCCCCAGATCTGAACTGGCGCACAGGTGCACGGGATGCGCACTCGCACTTTCGACGTGATGTTTCCGGATTCGCTGATGAAACTTTGTGTGCACGATGAGAACCAAGATGTGAACCAGAAACTGTCAGGCAGACGCAAGATGACGACTACGACGAGCATGGCGAGCATAACAGGTGCTGCGCAGATAGTCGGATCCGGACGGGGAGTACGCAGCCCAATGTGAAGGTCTGGAAGCAAGCTTTTCGGTGTCCTGTGTGTGTCCTGTATGCTCCTGGTATGTCCTGTCTGCGTGCTTGCGACGTGGGAGGAGGGGCAATCTGGCACTCTCGGGTTTCACAGGGACCGATCGCCTCACGTCACGTCCTTCCTTCCCCGCACACCGCGCACAGTTGGACAGCCCCGTATGGCCAGCCCGAAAATGATCGCCCGGCCCTTCTTCGGCCTTGTCCTCCACTTGTTCTGCCCGCTGCATCTGGTCGCTCGCTACACCTGGGTCACTCGTACCTTCCTGGTGCGAGATGAGTTCGACACGAGCCCCGCTCCCTCCCGGTCACAACCTTTGCGAAGTGGACGACGGAAATGGCAAGTAGTCTGGGCCAAAAAGTAAGGGATAGGAAAAAGTTTATGCTTCATTAAGAGTCGCTGCAGTCTCCAGTACCTTGGCTTGTTTGTGCGCTGCATGCGCTGGCGGGCAGCGACTGAATGTCTCACTCAATAGCGCGGGTAGTGACGGAAGCCTCAGCGGGTGCGGGTGAGGTCGTTTTGGAGCTGCACTGCCGCGGTTCTCAGCTGCTCACCGCTGCTATGCTTGCATGCTACAAGTGCATAGCACACGGCCTCCCCCTGCATGCTCTGCAGCTTGCTTGCGGCTTACTCGATGGTGTGGTGGTCTCTCTGATGCAGAGTCACAAGTAGCCGCTTAAGAGACACTCGACACTGGGACACCGAGGAGCAGACACCTGTGCAGCTGGGCGCTGGAACGCGGGACCGCTGCTACAATGGAATCCGTCACCGAGACTCCTGCGATCCTGGACGCACTCTAGGAGGGCTGTGTCAGTTGACGCGGGGCGCCGTCATTGTCGCAGAGTGTGAGCGACGAGTGCACTGATGAGAGAACGCCAGCTCCTAGTTGCCGGCACACGGCGGCACGGCATGGCATTGAGGGAGGCGATCCGTTCACCGCGCTGAGCACAGCGCACAGTGCTAGTGTTGTGTGGCCCGCGGAATCCGCCATTGGCGGTATTGCTGACGCCACAGACGCCACGATTTTCTATCCGCGCTCGCGGCGGGGCTCGCGACGGGTCTGCGCGTACGCTTGTGGATTCGGTGGTCAACCTAAGGAAACCACCACTTGCCCAGATTTCTGCGCGTGCGTGCACACGCGCCAAAGGAAGAGCGGAGGAATCGGTCAGCTGTGAGGGTGAACGGCCAGCTGCTAGGTACGGAAATGCAGGCACTGGCTTGCTTGTTGGTCTGGAGACAGGAGTGTTGGATGCATAGGAAAGCGCGAAAGCTTGCACTACTGTAAGGATGAGGCCCGGGCTCCAGGATGCAGGATAAGGGTGGTCCAAGGAGCTGGGTGGTTGGCCGGATGGGATGCAGAGATCACCGGGGCGTGTGCAGGGTGTGCTTAGGGTGGCCCTGGGCAGAGGGCAGGGAAGGCACAGTCAAGACAGGCTCGAGGCCTCAGCGCTGTGATTAGCTTGGAATTAGCACGGTGAATATGAGTTTGAGCTGCGGTGGTGACTCCCTCCTCACCGCTGAGCGCCTGGCCCCCATCCCCGGCTCTGCCGCTGACCTCTGGCCGACCGGCGCAGGACCTCTCCAGGATCCAGGACTCACAGGACCTCCAAGGACACCGTTACGCAACACAATCACACCTCGCATCACACATCCCGGTCACTTGTCTTTTCTTTTTCGCCTTCTGTGCATCGACCTCCTCTCTCTCCGCACTGTCGACAGCATCGGTCCTCCTCACCTCCTCACGAACGGCACTCCCGTTCGACATTCGACCGTATTCCCACACTTCCCCGCAACAACAACAACAACAACCATACCCCCCGCGGCACCGACCCTTTCATTTCGCTCCCAAACGTAACGCCAACGACTAAGACCTTTGCGCCTCCATTGCCACCTGCACCCCTCCCTTGCCTCTCCCTCAGTCCGACAAAAACACAAAGTCATCCGTCACGATATACGTCAAGACTCCAACGCCCACCCGACTCCACTTTTCCGTCTTCCTCACGACATAACAACTACAGTGTTGGCTCGAGCGTAGTGTCAACAACACTTACGCCTTAATCACCAGCTCTTTCGTTACGCTACCCCTTTTAGTGGTGACACCGATGTCTCTCTGTTTACGTTTCTAGACCTATATCGGAGGTGAGTGGTGCTCAGTCGCAAGGGCCCCATGCCTATACCAGACGCCTGACCGTCAGTCACAGCACCTTGCCTGTCCGAATCAGCGTTCGAGCGTGCGCGTCCCAACTACAGCGGTAGACACTACCTAGACAAGACTCAGGTTGTGAGGCTGCACAGTCCCCCAACTTCCGACTGCCGCCATCTAGAACACGGTCCGTGCGCCGCCGAGCACAAGCGCTCCTACCCCATCACTAGCTCCTTAATCATACTGAGGCTCCAGCCAGCTCACCGGCCTCCCCCAGCGCCCTCCCGCCCTCTCGTTATCGCTCTCCTTTCTCCATCACAGCGCCGTGCTCGATCCTCGAGTTTCCCGAGGACGATAACCGAACGGCATCGCACCGTCACCAAGGGCGCGATCGGTCTCTACACCTGAAGGAAAAGGCAGCAGCACCGGGTCCTAAAGCCCGCAAAGCAAGCCCGACCAGCAGCGAGCCCTCAAGTCCACCCAGGTAGGCCCCTCTAGCAGGCTACGCCATCGCCCGTGCGTCTGGCGTCAACAGCACAATGCGCGCCGAGCCGCCCCCGACTTCCTCAGCGGCCCCTGCGATGACTGTGACCTCCAGCAGCAGTGGGTCAACGCAAGAACACGAAGTCCGTGTTCACGGTCTTGGAATCACGGACCAAGATGCCCATCGACGCTCTCGCTGGAGCATGACCGAAGCTGAATCTGGCACCTCATCATCTCTCTACAATCTTGCGTCACCAGCAGGACGAAGAAGCATGCCAGAGAACATCAACGGCGACGACGGCATCCGATCTCGGCATCAGAGCGGCGTCCACCACCATGACCACCCTCCTCTTCCCCCCCTAGACACCAGCAGCGCCCTGACCCACCAGCTTGCGCCGGGCAGTGCTGTGAGTTGACTCAAACAACAAGTTCCAAAGCTGAAACTGACAACACAGCTTCCTTCGCCGCGGCCTATGACGCCGTCATCACCGCCTGACTATGTTGTCGCAGTCGTTGGATATGAGAACGTGGGCAAGTCGACCGTGATTCGCAGAGCCGTGAAGACGTGGGGCGGATCACCAGTCACCACCTCGTACACGCCGGACGGCTACAAGAGTAGGTTCCCCCGTACTGTTCTATCCTGACGCACAGTCACATCTACCATTTCTCATCTGAAGGCGGGCGGCCGTCTGATGCGTGACAGCAAGGTCGAGTTTGTCGAAATCAACATTCGCGCCCTTGACAAATCCGGCATTGGGGAGGTCTTCCCTCCTGGAATGTCACCGGTGTCGGGCTTGATCCTGTGCTACGATGCCCACCGTCAGGAGACGTTGCATGGTCTGAGCGAGGTAATCCGTGAGTGCTGGACCCTGTGGCAATCCTCCGGCGGAACTGACCTGTGCAGAATACCTGAGTCCTACGATGCCTATGGTCCTTTTCGCGTGCAAGTCGGACCCCGACATGCCCACAGAGGTCGACGCTCAGGTTGGAGACTCGATCGGCCAGCCCTACAACGTGGGCTTGATCGAAGTCACCACTGCGACAAAGCACGGCAAGCACAAGATGCGAACAGGCCTTCGCTGGCTTCTGTATCGGTTAGAAGAGCGGCAATGTGAGTCCCTCGCTTTTCATGGGGTCGACAGCGCTTGGTTCTCGCTCTAACGAACAGATCACCGATCCCCAGTAACCGACGGATCAGTAACTCAGGATAGCCCTCAAACCGTCTCGACAGAGCGAAGTGCTTCAGAGCACAGCACCGAAGAGTACTCCGACGCTCACTCCATCACGTCAAGCTTTGAGAAGATGCAGAACTGGGACGACGAGGATGTGGCCTCGGCGCAGAGCACGCCGACACTGGAAGAGACGAACTCGAAGGAGACCAGCCCCGGTGGACACGAGGAGAAGGTACCCGACCAGCCGACAGTCACGACGCCGACGGACAGTTCATCTGAGCCCCAGGTCTACCTGAGCATGCAGGAGCTCATGAATCAGCTCTTCACCGCCATCGTCTCCACAGAAAGTGAGTTCTCTCTCGGTCAGCGTCAACTGACACAACAGACGATGGTTTCATTCAATCCTTCCTCTCGACCTTCCGTCGCTTCTGTCACCCGAAAGACCTAATGGCCGAGTTCGTGGAGCGCTTCACCGAGGTCGAGCAATACGCAGTCTCCAGGGACATCCGGTTGTGGGCGTTAATGAAGATTACCAGCAGCCTTGTGCTGTGGACGACCCGTTATCCTGGAGATCTCGCCGACGAAGAGACACAGAACATCTTCCGCGATCTACTTGCCCTCATGCTGCAGTACTCCTTCCTCGCTCACCTCACTGTCGAGCTCGTTAAGGTCGAGCAAAGCCTCGGTGACGTTATTGACATCGACCGGTCGTGGGCGTGCGGTTCGAGCGCGCATCATCACCCTACAACCCCGACAACCATTCCTCCGACCACGCCAGCGGACCCGGACTCGTCGAAGGCGATCGAGCTGGTGGTGGACAAGGAACACTTATACGACGAGCCAGAAGAGATGAACGGCAACCTCTCGGTCGCTCATTCTCACTCGATGGACAAACCGACTTCGACGCGATCGATGTCTTCCTCCAATCTCTCCGTTGACGCGATTGGGCGCCCGAGCGAGCACTCGTCTTCCCTCTCAGACTCCAACAGCGACCTCAACCGGCAGCTCACAGCCGACCCACACAGCCAACGTTGGGCTGCCGCGATCAACACGATCATTAGCATGGACGCCCACGTCTTCGCCGTGGAGCTCACCAAGATTCAGTGGCAAATGTTCATGAATATTCGCCCACGAGACATCCTCCGGCACGATCTCGGCAAGGAGCGCGACGATCCGGTTGGCCTTTCCATCGAGTTCTTCAACCACCTGTCTCGCTGGGTGTCGACCATGGTGCTCGCTCACCCGAAGCCGAAAATGCGCGCAAAGGTGTATGAGGCCTTTGTTCGCATCGCTCGTCGCCTGCGCAAGCTGAACAACTATGACTCGCTCTGCGCCGTCATTGCCGGGTTGCGGGAAACGTCAGTTCACCGACTGGGACAGACCCACGCCCTTGTCAAGCTTGACCCGCTCATCATGCGAGACTTCCAGTCTCACCTTCGGCTGATGGACCCGCGCGGCGGTTACACGCACTACCGACGAGCGCTCCAGGCTGACGCCACCTACGGGCACGCGGCTATTCCTCTACTGTGAGTGAGCTGTTTCGCACTCGAACTGACGACCAGGTCCACAATCCTCAGTTTGGTTAGCAAGCTGCAGGCCGCGCGCCCAGAAGACCGACGAGCGGACGGTAAGATCCAGTGGGCAAAGTTCGCTCGCATGGGAGAGATCATGGCCTCCATCCCCGACTTCCAGGCTCGAGGGTCGATGGTCCCGGGCAATGCCACGACCGCCTTCCGTCGCCTTATTGAGGCGACGCCCGTCATCTCCAGTGAAGACGTGAGTTACTCGAGGCGACTTCAGACAACTAACAAGCAGGGCCTGTACGAGCGCAGTAAGATGCTTGAGCCAGCTGGCTCGCATCCGCAGGGCATGTTCCGCAAGCTCGCGAGCCTTGCGTTGTAGGCGGAGTCTTAAAATCCTACATCGACAATCAAAAGAGGGAGGCTTCCGATTGCCTCTCATGCGCCAGAGTGGACACAGGTGAACAGCCGCAGCGCGAGACGGACCGCGATGACTGACAATGCTGCTCTCCCGATATTGTGATGACCCATTGATACGAGGAATCAGGATACAAAACCATGTTGGGACATAGATGTCTCTGTACTAGTAGGGTAGGGTGTCTAGCAGATGCATTGTATAACATACAGCGACCTTTTCGCCTCGCAGCACCACCAGCACTACCGACTGAGCGGCGAGTCAACTCCACTCGGACAATAACGCGAGACTTCTGACGAGAGACTCGACTGCTTCACGGATCATGCATGAACGTACTGCACGGAGTGTGTAATACCGCCTCTGATAGCCATGAGAGAGCAAGGCTAGGAAGGAAGGCAGTATTTCAAGAGTCAGCTGAACTCACAGGTGCGTTTACGTTAAACCCAGGGCTGTGATTGGAGTGACGGCATTCCATGCGATGGCCACACCTCGAGCTCACAACGTTGACCAAGTCTGCCTGGCAGTGCACCGCAGGGGGGGTGATTTGAGTAACGAAACGGACCCTGGCCGAAGGCGCTCAACGGCCCGAGACGAGTGAATGGAGTCGACCGGGTGACCTGGCCACCTCCTGGAAGCAGACCTGGGGGTGAATTGTGAGGCAATTCATTACGGCCTTCTACAGCCTGCCCGGTCGCCCAAGATTTCACAACAACAGTCCCTGGCATCTGCAATGGAGCACCTCTGCTCCTTCCTCACCATCTGTCCGGTTCTCTGATCCCCGCGCATTTGAACTCATCCTCATCGCTGTCGTACAGTTGGACTCGAGCCAGCCTCAACATTCATCGACAGGTCCCAGAGTTCCCGCCCATTCCGAAAAGCTGGCTTCATACCAGAAACCGCTGGCTCTCCTGCCAGCGGGCGAATACCGAAACAAACTTTGGCTCCAAACCCTTACCTCTCGTGTTCTTGCATTTATCCTCTGGTGCGTGTGCCAAGTTGCCTGGCCAGCTGCGCCTCCCCCTGGCGACGCACGAGGTGCTCCCTTCGGGCATATTCCTTGCCTCGAAGCCTCGGGTTGGAAGCGCACACCGAGGAGTTCTTCGCTGTCCTTGCAAACCCTAACCTGAACGTCTGTCGCTGGCTCTCCCGTACATTCCTGCCTCAGACGTCCCATGGTCCTCTCTCTGCCTTAGAAGGAAGACTCCATACACAGTTTGCTGGGCAGGTTTCTACATCTGGAGACGTACCGGAGCGTGAGCTAGCCCCCCTGTCAGCCGTTCTCACTGCTCCAGCGCCTGTCGCCAGTCGGGCCGTCTCAACTTGGCCAGTAGCCAGGTACCAGGACCGAAGTGCGCAGGGCGCAGCATGTCCACCGATGCCTGGCGTGCAGCGCCTCCTCGGCCTCTCGGGCCGTAGACCTGGAGCAGCCTCGAAGGCTCACAGTGGGTCTTCCCGAGACGCCCTGTCCCACCTGCCCATCGCGTCTGACATTCTGGCACTTGCCGCATCATGCGCCCGAAATGGCTCACCACGTCGGGTCGAGCTCCTCGCAGCTCGCCACTGACTCCCTGCTCCCTGCGTCTGCGAAACTCTAACGTCTTCCTGCTGCGTCGCGTCTCAGGACGGCTGGGTCTTCGCGTGCCTCTTCCCCTTCGCTGCCTCCTCGCCTTCTGCTCTCGAACTTGGCATGAAACGGAGGAGTGACCGAGCAGCGAGCATGGCTGCAACATCGCGACAGTCCAGTGCCTTCCCTGGTTATTAAATGGCTCACTGGCTGCGGCCTCGCCAGTACGGCCACACGTACCTAACTACCACACGTCCAGTCCACAATCTGGAACACCCGCCGACCGTTTCACCACCTGACTCTGGACTCTGCGCTGGCGACACTTAGCTCTTTCGACACTCTCGCTACCTTCGCACCTCATCGTCCTCGTCGCTGTTCACACCGTCGACGCATAAGGTCACATTCCCCTCCTGACTATCCTTCATACAACCAAAACGTTCCAGCAACATGTCCGCCGCCGTCCACAGCAACTGCCAGTGAGTGACTTCCCCATTGTCCTCAGCGACGGGATTTTGGCAGCGCAACGCTTTGCCACAAAGTCTCGCCTGCTACGATGTGACCGTAGAGGTGCTCGTTAGATCGACTCGCCTGTGTGCACGGCCATCGCGATCGACCAGCCTGCCTTGAAGAAATGCCTAATGCGGCTATGGTCGGGTTCATCCACGCCCAGCCGCCCAACAGCACCCGCATCCCAGCCACTCAAATCTCGTAACACGGTCAACTCCGGTCGCTGACTCCAGGTGCGGCCCTCAGTGCGCGTGCACGGCCAAGGGCGGCCCCTGCACCTGCTCCTCCGGTGTCGGTGTCGCTGGCGTGAAGAAGGAGACGACCCTCGGTGGCCCCTGCGCCTGCGGCCCGGCGTGTACTTGCACCGCCAACGGCGGCGGGTGTGACTGCCCCTCGGCCGCTGATGAGCCCGTCGTCGCCGCCGCTGCTTCGAAGAGGGTCGTCGGCGGCCCCTGCGCCTGCGGCCCTGCGTGCACCTGCACTGCGAACGGTGGTGGCTGCGACTGTCCCTCCGCCGACGAGCAGCCCGTCGCCGCCGTTGCCGCCGCCAAGCGTGTTCCCGGTGGCCCCTGCCCTTGCGGCCCCGCGTGCACCTGTACCGCCAACGGAGGTGGCTGCGACTGCCCCTCGGCCGAGGAGACTGCCGCCGTCGCCGCCGCTCCCGCCAAGCGCGTCCCCAAGACCACCGGAGGATGCCAGTGAGTAGCCCGCCGTCCTTCCCACGCCCTCGTGGCATAGACTTCGTGCTGATGAAACAGCTGCGGCGGCGCTTGCGCCTGCACCTCCTCCGGCGGCCCCAAGCCTGCCGAGGCTGGCGGCTGCAAGTGAGTCTTCAAGGCGTCAAGGCTATCGACTACGTTTGCCCCAGACCCCTATGCCTTAGCGATTCCTCTTGACCAGTGCTAACGATCCCAGGTGCGGCGGCAGCTGCAAGTGTGCCGAGACTGGCGGCGCTTGCAAGTGTGCGGACAAGAAGAAGAGCCGCAACTACTGCAAGGGCTGCACGATCATGTAACCGCTCCTCTCATCTCCAAACCCACCTCGATAAGTCGATTGCTTTAGACTGCCCAAGTTTTCCCCACACGTTTAATTCGCGTTCGTGAGATATCAGTAGCTTAGCAGGCGTATAGTGAGCTTTCAAGTTAGGGAGTAGGATATGTAAGACATGCTGGCGCAGGAAGCACCCCGATGCTTATATGCGATTGATGGGCGATGGCGCCATGCCTGCGGACGGTGACGCGAGGACCCGAGTGGTGGTCGGTCTACGAGATCTCACCGGCGTCACGCTCGTGTGCGATGCGCCATTTAGCAACAATAACGCTTAACGTGCTGTTCTGATAGGCTCAACGCACGCTCGATACAGACATGTATTGACTGAGAGCTGATATGATGAGGCTTGGAGGGAAGAAGCAACGTCGGTCCGCTGATCGGCAGGGTCGTATGGGGTCGCAAGATGCCGATCACACCTCCACCTACAAAGTCCAGTCAACCACTCCCTGTCGTCATTGCCCACTCCATCTTTTCCTTCCATTCGTCTTACTACACTCGATGCCGAAACGCAAGCTTGATTCAGATACAGTCTCGCCCTCTCGGAGGAGCTCTATAAACAACAAAGCGGCCGAAGCGGATGACGGCGACGACTCCCTGCCTGGCAGTGAGCGCAAGGGTCATACCAGTGCCGCGGCCAAAGGAGGGGTCGAGGTCGAATTGCCGCCTGACGTCGAGTACTTCCCGAATGTGGGTGCTTCTGCTAGACGTTCTACCCGCTCACCTCAGTTCCTGCGAGATGACGGCGCATACGATGAGCTAGCAGCGCTCGAAACATGTGAGCTTGTCGCTTTCGGAAGACGAGCTGATAACAGGGTGTGAGTTGCTCCAACCGCACAACTTTGCCTACTCCCTCTTTAATCACGTCTGCCCATGCCCCTGCCTTTATCACGGCTACAATTCAGCTCCCTTGGACCTTGACGTTAGCTGACGACAGATCACCCAACCCTCAAGGTGTACGGCAAGACACTCACGCAATCTCGATCGATTGCGGCGTACGCGACGCACCCGATGGAACTGAAGTACTCTGGCGCCGAGATCGATGTGCATGTCCCGTTTCCGCCTGTTGTGGAGCGAGTATGTGAGAAGGTCGAGGAGAAGCTGGGTGAGAAGTTCAATCATGTGCTACTGAACCGGTATGTCTTGCGAACGAGAACAAGTTACGAGGAACAGCTCAGAAGTAGGCGGCTTCAAGCTGACCTCAGCTACGACGATGGGTCAGTATACATCGGCCGACACAGCGACACGGCCGAGAACAAGGTCATCGCGGCGGTATCCCTCGGCTCGCCACGGACACTCGTCTTCACTCCTCGCCCTCCGCCGCGCTCCGTCATGGGCACCTTGTCTACTGAGGAAAAGCGGGAACTCAATGGCCGACGCAGTGTCAAACTAAGGTATGTTTAAATATTCGGCTATCATTCTCTTGACTCAGCTGACCGACAGACTGGAGAGTGGGAGTCTGCTCGTCATGCGGCCGCCGACACAGGACTACTGGAAGGTAAGGAAGCTGCATCAATGTTACAAAAGCTGACACACAGCACGAGATCCCGAAGGAGAAGGGCGCAGGGGGTCGGATATCGCTCACTTTCCGACAGTTGCCGGGTGCCAGCGAGGGATGATGCGATGGTTGACCACGCGAAGGAGTGGTCCCACTCCTTCGTTCACTCCTCCGTTCACGGGTTTGTTAGGCTACTTCGCTTCTCCATCCGCAACAGCTTATAGCCACCGCTTGATTCTCAGCAGGGCGTCTGGAGACGAAAGATGGAGAAGTATGGAGTGAGCTGAGGGGTTCGGTTCTCTACATTAGCAGGGTGAGTCTCTTAGCTTGTCTCGTACGGACTCGAAGCTGACCGGCAGGCTCGAAGCTCCAGATCACTAACTTCAGCCTTTCTATCTCGTCATTCGAAGCTCAGACTCGAGACTCTTAGACCCAATGGCATTCCCTTTCAGGAGGTGAGGGGAATGAAGGGCCCGGTATGAGACGTGCAGCGGCCAAGCGGCATCACGCCAACTCCCTCCTCGGCAAGATTATGATGGACGTTCCGGCAGGGTTGGGGGGTCCCGAGCCCAAGTACACCATCATATTCGGACATGCTACTTGCAGCTGGCAGACAGTCTGTTCCCATGCACCATCCATATCATAGACATCGCTGTATGTATGTGAGAGAACTTTGCCACGATCTACAGCGCAGTCTTAGCGGTTGACTAACCTCTCGTCACCTCCCCTCAGCCAGTGCGGAGCCCCGGGGCGCGACGCGTTTGTTTTCGTCATGTCTGAGAAGCCCTCCTCTCATCCTTCCTCACCATTCACAATCGCTATGCCTCCCGTAAGCTGAAGGATACCCCCTCGTAGCTGACAAGCCAGAAGAAGCGCTCCGCCGAGGACTCTGCGTCGAACGACGACAAGGTGCGTCCCTCACCCTCACCTCTCCTTCCTCCTTCATCTATCGTTCTCACTGCTAGTCCTCACCTCTTGCTCTGGGCGTTGCCGATTACGCTTTCGCGCACTTCGCCACCCTAACCACATGCCGCAGCTCTCTCAAACGTAATGAGCTGACTCCAGAAACCCCGCACCTCTGCGTCGAGCGAGGACGTCCCCGACCCGACGAAAGTGCAGGAGAACGCCGAGGGAGACGAGTACGTCTCGCTGAGCAAGACGCGGCGCGTGACTGTGCGCGATTTCAAGGGCAAGACTTATGTTGATCTTCGTGATGTGAGTGTCGTTGCGAGTAACGGGGGCTGCTGGCTCTTGCTCCTCTCCTTCCTTCTCCGCCAACTGCGACCGGGGTGAGCCCTTGCCTGCGCTTCACCTCCTGGCAACCCCACTTATGCTCTCAAGCAACTCTTCCCCCGTTTTCAGGACGGAGCGGCTCCACATTTTACAGCTTAGAGTGCTGTCCATACCTTAGCTAACATCAGCACTATGTCGACAAGAACAGCGGCGAGATGAAGCCGACGGGCAAGGGCATCATGCTCACGCTCGAGCAGTGGGATGCGCTCAAGGCGGCCATGGGCGCAGTCGACGGGATGCTGCACGACCAGAAGAACCGCAAGTAATTGCCAGCAAATACTGGAGATGTAGGATAAAGGATATGTACGATACATTAGAACTCGCTGCTTCACAACTATGGACTCGGGCTACTGACACATCTACAAGATTGCGACGTTTAAAGCTTGCCCTTGTCCTCCCTCCTGATGCGCACGACAGCCTTGCCCCACGTCTTCCTCCCCTCAATGTCACTGAGACCCTCAACCACGCCCCCAATGCCCTCGTACACCTTCTCATACACTGTCGGGTTCAGCTTCCCCTTGGCAATGAGGGTGAGCACCTCCTTGATGACAGTCTGGAAGCGTGCCGGGTCCTTATAGCTGGTTGCGCCCCAAAAGAGCCCGACGACGCTAACATTCTTGAGCAAGATCAGGTTGGCGGGGATCTTCTCAATCGTGCCCGCCGCGAACCCGACAACGACGAGGCGCGCATTCCAATTCACGCACTTGAGGCTGGGCACAATCATGCCCACCGGGTCGTACACGACGTCGACGCCGTCCCCGTCCGTGAGCTCCTTGACCTTGTTCTGCCACCCGGCCTCGGAATAGTTGATAACGTGGTCTGCGCCGGCATTCTTGCACACGGCGAACTTGGCCTCGCTCCCGACAGCAGCAATGACCTTGCAACCGAGATACTTGGCGATCTGGACCGCGGCGAGCCCCACTCCTCCAGCGCCCGCTAAAACCAGCACAGTCTCGCCCGCCTTGGCCTGCGCGCGGCCCACCAGCGCCTCGTACGACGTGGGATAGGTCAGGAACAGGCCTGCGGCCTGCTCCAAGCTGATGTTGGCGGGGACGGGCAGGAGCGTGACCGGGTTCAGCGCCAGACGCTCGCTGTACGCGCCCTGGGCGTAGCCGAAGACGCGGTCGCCGCGCTTAAAGTCGCAGCCGTCGGGGATGGGCGAGTCGGAGGCAATCTTGCCTGCAAACTCGGCGCCGAGGACGAAGGGCAAGGGAGGCTGGTTTTGGTACTTGCCCTGGGACTGGAGGATGCTGCGTGTTAGCCGAGGTATCGCTCGAGTGTACGAAGGTGTACGAAGGTGTACGAGGACAATGAGACACAAGGGTGCGGGCAGTAGAGACTGAGCAATGGAAAGCCAGACTCACTCGAAGAAGTTCAGTCCGCCGGCATAGACGTCGACGATCACCTCGCCGTCCTGCGGCTTGGGTTCCGGGATCTCAGCGCTGGAACATTAGCTACAGCAGCGAGCAAGGCAGCTTACACCTTGAGCTTGGAGTGGTGCTGGAGTTCCTTGACTTGGAGGGCCTTCATTGTGTCGTACTCTTTTGTTTAGATGCAGCAAAAGTAATGAACGAGTGTGTAATGAGGAGAAAGAGGTGTGCAGGGAAGCTAGAGATGCAGCGGAGCGACTAACTTTCGAACCTTGACCGGCTATCTCTCCTCCGAACCGGTGGGTTGGGGTCCGTGGGTCACCGACGGTCTGCCCTCGGTCACTAACTCCGCCTGCCCCCTGCTCTCAGTTGTCCCGCTGACACACGTCCTTGACTCACACACCCCAGCTTAGCCCTCAGCATTGCCCACTGATAACGTTCAGTGGCACTTGGCTTCTGTAGAGCTCCACTGCCCTCGGCTCAACACTATTCCGCACTCCGTCAGTCTCACACTGTTGCGCTCAACTGCTCGCTTTACTCTCTCAGGCCATTTAGACGCTCGCTGCGCTCGCTCGTATACTTGTGTGGGTACTTGTACATCTGCAATGATATCTGCTATCCGACATAGTCGTGATTACGCTGTCCATATGATATAAGGCTCCTACTGCCCCTTGACGGGGAGGGCCATTGGCGTCTGCATTCCGACCTTCTTGTTCCTCCGTCCGAGCAGCGTGGCGTTGCCGAGATCGAGCTCAAACGGCTGGCTCTTGCCACCTCTTCCGCGATCTCTCTGGCCCGCGCGTCCGTCGTAGAGCGCGGCCTCGGCCTGACGCCGGTTCGCGCCGCCGCGACCGACATAGTTCGTCACGACCGGCTCCTTGATGCCCGCGGCGGCGTTGGCGGCCGCGCGAGAGCGATGCTGCTCGATCTGCCTTGCTACCAGCTCGCCGTGCTTCCGCCGCGCATCCTCGACTTGCGCGGCCTCGTCGCCCTCCTCGTCCTCCTCGTTCAGGCCCTGTAGGAAGCCGCGCTGAGCGCCGCCTGGCACGCCTGCGCGCCGGCGCGCACCCTCTTCCTCCATCCTGTGCACGGCGTAGGTCACGTCGAACGCCTCCTTCAGCGCATTCACTCCCGGAGAGCGGCCCTCGCGGTTCGACGCGCGGATCGAGGCCAGGAGCGGACTGTCCATCGGCGCCGGCGCGCCGCCCTTGGTCGGCTTGGCAGACGAAACGGGCATGACCGGCGGGCCGTCCTTGATCCACGGGTGGGCGAGGAACTCATCGATCGTGTATCGCTGTGCCGGGTCGACGCAAAGGAGATGCGTGATGAGGTCCTTGGCGCTGTGGCTGATGTCGTCCCACCACGGGCTGAGGAAGGTGTAGTAACCGTGCGCGACCTTCTCGGTGAGCACATTGATACTCTCATCGTAGAACGGCGGGAATCCACACAGAAGCGTGTACAGCACGCAGCCGAGGGCCCACATGTCGACACTCTTCGAGTAGCGCTCGTCCTTGACGATTTCCGGCGCGGTGTAGCCGACAGTGCCGCACGGTGTCATCGTCTGCTCGTCCCACACAATCTTGGATAAACCAAAGTCGGCAATCTTGACGCGGCCGATACCTCCTCCTCCGATGGAAGCCTGGAACTCGCCCTCGTCCTCCTTCTCCTCGTCATAGGGGCGATGCACCGGGTTCTTGGACGGGATGATCGGGATCCGCTCGAACAGCAGGTTCTCGGGCTTGATGTCACGGTGGACGACACCACGCTCCTCGTGCAAGTACCGGATACCCTCGGCGACCTGGACGATGACGTGCCGCGCGAGCGGCTCGGAGAAGTACGTGAGCTTGACGATCTGGTGGAACAGCTCGCCGCCCTCCATCAGCTCGAGCACAATGAAGTAGTGCTCGTCGCTCTCGAAAAAGTCGACAAGCTTGACAATGCTGGCGTGGTCGATGCCGCGCATGATCTGCACCTCCTTCAGAATGTTGGCGCGCTGCGCTGTTAGCACACGTTCAGATACTCGGGGGCGAAACCGACCTCAGTGACGCGCTGCCTCTTCTTGAAATTGGGGTTCAGGTGGCGGTTGCCGTTCTACCCAGGTCAGCGGTGGTGCAACGCCTAAATGGGGAGAGGGCTGGGCGGGCGGATTCGCTACTCACCTGCGTCGTGTTCAATTCGTACTTGCGCACAACCTTGACGGCGACCTTGCGGCCTGCCCGGTTGTCCATCGCCTTGAACACGTTTGAGAATGCGCCATCGCCCATCTTCTCGAGCAGCGTGTAGTTTTCGAGACCCTGGCCGTCAGCTCGCGTTCCGTTTCTCACAGCTCACCTCAAACTTGGGCATCTTCTCACCCTGAGCCTTCTCCTGGGCGACAATCTTCTCGGCCTCCTCGCGGTAGTTCTTCGACTTGCCGCTCTTCTCCTGCTGGGCAGCACCATCACGAGACGTGCGCTTCTGGTCCTTGGTCGGAGAAGACTGCTTTGAGGCCGTCTTGGCAGGCTGCGCGGGTTCGGCTGGCGGCGCCGACTTCTTGCTGTCGTTGCCGGCCTGCTTGCCGTGCCGCAGGATCTCTGTTGTTGTCAGTATGGTGAACGTCGTCGGGATGCTGGTGGATATGGTGGTGGTCGCGGTCATTGTCATTGTGGTTGCGGTCATTGTCGGTGGTAGCGGTGATGACGTAGAAGGAATTAGATCGGCAACCCCACAGAGGCTACAACCCTGCACCCTGGACGTGCAGGCCCTTAGTGAGCCAGGCTCCCCAGTCATGACACACTCGGGCCGGTGCGTCGCTGCAACAGGCGTTGATGCTTATGCACGCAGCGCTGTGCACACCATTGCGGCCTTGTGCATGGACGCATGCACGGATGGTGCGGACAGGATGTCACCTGGCATTCACCGCGCGCCCTCCCTACGCTTGGATCGCGTAACGCTTGTGTGACCTGATAAGATTAAGGAGGATGGATGCAACTCACGCTTGAAACTTGATAACATGTCGTCGTCGAGTGAAGACTGCTGGAGCTTCTCGAGGGCGACCTTGTAGTCTTCCTTGTTGCGCTGGTCGCGAGCCTTGAGATAGTCCGCAACGGTCTGCGGTGGCGGGTGCTGCTGCGGATGCGACTGTTGGTGCTTGCGCGAGGTAGCCTTGGGACTAGTCGACAAGGACGAGCCGGTCACGTCCTGCTTGTGGTTGTGGTTGTGGTAGGAGCGCTTTCTCGTGGTCGGGGACCACGGGGTGCGGTGCCCTGTGTTGCGAGTTGGCGAGCCGTGGGTGGAGAGAGGGACAAGGGACGAGATGGAGCGGGGGGAGCTGAACTCTGGTGTCGGAGACAGAGACAGCGAGCACAGTTGAGATCGAGCGTCGGGTGGAGAGTTGTTACCGTGCGGATTCGCGTTGAGGTTGACTGTGGACTGTTGAACGGGGTTGGGAGGCGAGAGCGAGTCCAAGCCTCTCACTATAGGCTCGGCAGTCCGCTTGCTCGCAAAGGTGGCGGTGACGGGATTGACCGAGGTCGATGTCGTCGATTCGCGTGTAGACGACGTCGGTACAAACTGTACGGGGGGATGGGGGTGGGTGCCAGCGCCGGAGCCAGAACGCACGTCGACGGGGGAGGTGGTCAGACGTGACGTTATGGTGGAACGTCCGAGAGGGTAGATGCCAAGCGGCGGAGCGAGGTCGCGGAGGGGGGTCGGGGATGCGGACCGTGCTCTGTGCTCGATGTGCTCTCGACTAGTCGAAGCGGCGCGTGGTGATTTGCTTGAGGTGGAAAGGGCGCCGGCTGATTAAGATCGCCAAGCTGGGAGGGATGGAAAAGAAGATTGGTAGATCAAGGTGCAAGTGATGCTAGAAACGATAGCCGACGAGTACCGGGGGATTCGGGGTCGACGGACGACGTAGATTGTGCAGCTGATGCGGTTGATGATCGGTGGTAGTGGTCGATGTTCGTTCGGTGTTGAGGTACCGAGGAGGTAAAGGCTTTGGGTGGTCGTTTGTGCTAGGCTAGGCGGCTGGCGGGCGTTGTAGCGTAGGATGGTAGATGGGAAGAGCAGAGTATGCCTCGGAAGAGTCGACGTATGCGATGAATAATAGGCGTAGTGAGTATGGGTGTGGTTTGGATTGATGCGGTGTGTGTGTGTGCTCCAGTGTGTACGCAGATGGATGGGGATAGAGGAAGGGGGGAGCACGTCGGGGAGGGCTGGAGCCAAAGCGATAGAGTCTGGAGCCTCGGCGGGGAGTGTAGGGAGGAGGAGATCGATGATGTCGACAGATGGTGAGTTTGATGCAACGGCAGGGACGCAAGTGAGGGACGAGGGTATGAGGGGGGGAGATGGTGCAGTGGGCACGGCTGGGTGCTGGGTGAGCAATGTGATGCAAGCTCGGAGGGGAAGGACTATGGTGAGTGACGACAGAGGCGGGCGGAGAAGGAGAGGGCAGAGGGGCGGAGGGGCGGAGGCGCACAGTAGTCGGGGCTCAACTCTGCTCCTGGCCCCTGCGCGTAGGCTGACATTTTTGCACGCGCATCGATGAGTCATATCGCACACCGCATCAAACCAGAGGTTGCAACTTAAGGGTCCAACGGGGCACTCACCGCAGAGCGAATGACGTCTCTGGTCACCGCCTGAGCCTCTTTTTCGTCATCAACTGCTCGAGACCCTCAATCTTGCTGCATTCAGCCATATCCCACATCCCCGACCTCGCTCATTGCACTGCGCGGACCCGACCGCGAGAGGAACGAACGAGTCGGGTTTCCATCACTGTGCACACATGTTCCGAACGGACACACAGATGCGCACTTGACTGGCTGACCTAATGGACTCATTTGCTCTTGTAAGCCATTGACAGTCTCTGAAAGTGGTTGAAAGAAAGGAGGAAGGCTTAGTCAGGCCCCAGTGATCCAGTGAAGAGACTACGGCCCTTGGTTGCCATGATGCTGAATGGAGGCTTCTGACTGATCACTGACCGTCGGGGCCTGCCGGGCACTGAGAGTGTCCGCGCTGCCGTTGCATTCCAGGCGACAATTGCGGATGCTCTGGCTTGGCAAATGGCACAGCCGTGGCAAACGCGTCTCCCGTTTAGGTCGTCATCGCAATCGAAGGAACAGCCGTACCGGTCAGCGCGGTCAGCACGGTCAATGATGATATACTTATGGAGCGAGAGAGACAGAGCATCGGCCAAAGGAGGAGCCAGGAGGAGATCTGGTGCTGATCCCGGGCCGATCTGGGCCCGTGCAGGCTCTGGACTCTGGACCGGCATCGCGTCAATTATGAGCTCAGAAGGAGGCCGGAGGCGTCTGTGCTCGGTTCCCGCAGACGCGTTGGAGACTATCCTCGATGATCACAGTGTGCTAGTGTGCTGGCGGTCATCGGTCCTCTTCGCGGCCTACTAGCATCGCTGTTCAGCTCACTCCTTGTTCCCATCTGGCACCCGAAGACACTCCGACACCGGCAAGAGCAGACAAGCATCCAGCGTCATTTGACTCATGAAGTGACGACGCCTCAACTCCTACATTGGAGCCCTACCCCCGTCCCTGCAATTTCGGGCGTAGCGCAAAGGCACTCTACAACTCAACTCCGATGGAGGCGTCTGGGCCAGACTTTGTTCCTGCCTTCGCTTGCACCGCCCGTTACAACTTCTCCCCTTCGACATTTCCAAGTCTACGAGCTCCCACTATGATGCATTCTGAGTCCCGCTAAGCACGATCACGGCAACTTATGATGAAGGAGCCTTCGATGCTCGATACGGCACGCTTTGCACGCTTCGAGGCAGTTTGTCACTTTCTTGGCGGATATTAATGAAGCCAACGGCCGTTAATTACAAGAGCAGCTCGATGCGCGACACGGTGACTGACACTGTCCGTCGTATCGAACACACCTGCCCCACACTGGCGCTGCGATCTCTGGACGTCTTACTACAGCGCAGTACCAACGAGCCCGTCTTGTCTCCAACTCTTTCCGGCGTTAGTCGAGCTGTGAGCATGATGAGCTCCGCTTGTGGGTCATGACGTCTCGACGGGCCAAAGCGCCAAAGAGTCATCTGAACACGACTTTCCCTGCCTTGTGCTCCAGTCTTATCAAACAATGTTCCTGCTCGCAGTTCTCCTCGCAGTCTCCTGACGTCCTGGCAGCGCCACAACATCACTGATGTCTATAACAGGTTGCAGGGCGTGTTTCCTTTTCATGCAAATCTTGCGGAGCGTGCCTCTGACGCGTTTCTTGATACTGACATGGAGTCGTTGTCATTCCTCATCTCGTCCACGCCCTGGCACGCTGGCACGCTGGCAATATTCTCACGCCGACATACCGCTGTCTCAACTTCTCCAGTCACAAACATGTGCTTCCACCCGGCACACCCGGCACGCTCCGCATCCCTTGGTGGACTGGTCGCCGGCCTCGGCCAGGAGCAGCGGCGATGGGCGGAACGGCGTGTTGGAGTCGAGCTTATCTCTCCATCCTCACCCACTCCGCACCCCGCACCACCTGTCGTGACGTCACGCACCACCCAACGGGCCGCTTCCGAGTATTGCGTCGAGCAACACGCATAGCGTGAAACACATGCATTGCGTTGCATGCTCCAACCAAAGTATTACAAATTGTACATTGCGCGGATATAGACTTTCATGTGGGTTTGTTTGGTTCTCGTTCGCTTGGGAGAGGTGGAGAGGTGGGATCTCTACTTGGCTGTCGCGGGCAGGTGTTTGCCAACTACGACTCACTAGCGAGGCGATCGATGACCTCGAGCTCTCGGCTCTGAGCCTCTCGCCGCATAGCTATCTAACGCGGGGCATACGGCTGCGGCGAACGGTCCCGGCCGTTGGCCGCCGGCGCCGAAGTCAGATACGGACGCCAGTCACCTTGCCTGTACTCAGCTGACCTCAAAGATGAGGTGTGCGTCGTGTGAGGGTGCGGACTGAGGTGCGAGGCATGTGACGGTGGAGCGTGGTGCCGCTCCGGGAACACACCCAGGGACGGAAGGCTCGGCGCGTCCCAGTGCCCCGGCCTGTGGCTGGTATGGCCAGGGTGCGCCGAGTGGGCTGCGTGTGGCGTGTGGAGCGGCGGGGGACCGACAGAGTGCCGTGGCGGGGAACGTCGGTAGTACGCAGCGTGCGCGGCGTGTGCGGCGTGGGAGTGGCTCTCGCGAGGATCGTGCAGCTCACGTGGGTCCCGCACATCGCGGACCTCGCGGACCTCGCGCACGTCCCGGACGTCTCGAACATCGCGAGGGTCGCGGACGTCACGGGGATCGTGCGACGCATGGTAAGCCGCCGCGGCGTACGAGTAGCTCGAGGACGGTGCGTGAGCGTATCGCTCATCCGCGGGGTGAGGAGCGTAGCGCTCGTCAGGGTGAGCGGACGATGGACGATGGATGCCACGATACTCGTCCTGTGCCTGCGCGATTTCGCGAGGGTCTCGAGGGTCCCGTGGATCCCGAGGGTCTCCATAAGACGGCCGTCGGCTGAGCTCGGGATAAGAAGAGTGGCGGTCGTAGGGAATCTCGTTGCGGTGGTGGTACAGCTGCGCAGAGCCTGGGCGGGGCGAAGGGCGGCGCGGGACGCTGTCAAACTCGCGCTCGTCGACGGTGCCGTCAGAGATGACAGAGGCGTTGTCAAATGGCTTGGTCTCCTTTGGAGGATCGTCATTCAGCAGAGCAGAGATACGCATCCCACCGGACCGCGAGGGCGGATTGACCGGAGGCGCCGAGGGAGCGGGGTTCGACGGCGGTGGAGCATGGCTCTGTCTCGGACTGGGAGGGAAGACGGCCATACGCGGCTCGTGCGTTGAGTGCGATGGCCGCCGCTCGACAGCAGCGAGCGGGGGAGGAGCGTACGTCGACTGCGCAGTAGGAGCCGGGGCCTGCTTGTGACCAGGAAGTGGTGGGAAGTCGGCTGGAGTGGCGTTGAACGATTTCGTCTCTGGGGGAATGCCGTTGACCTTGACCTGCTGTACGCCGACATCGGTCGATGCCGGAGCGACGATGCCGTCGGCGCGAAGCTGGTTGAGCGTGATGTTGTAGTGATTGCGAACCTGGATGACCGTCTTCGTGTTGCCGAGCTTATCGGCGATCGCGCGGAAGTCGGTGCCATGCTCGCGCACAAGCTCGACAAACTTCTGCTTCTCCGCTACCGACCAGTACGAGTTCGTCGTCGAACGACGGGGTTTGCTCTCGGTCGGTGGAGGCGCAGGAGCGTTCGGGTCGGGGGGAGGCGCGTTCGGATCGGCTGGCTGCTCAACGATCTTGCGACGCTTCGTCCTTTTGACCGGTGGAAGCAAGGGACCGGTGTCAATCGGAATACCGGACTCGGCGTCCACGAGCTGAGGCTGCCCACTAGCGTCGGTTGTGACAATGGTGGGCGGTCCGTTCGGAGGTGGAACAAGAGTTGGCTCGATAGCAGGCGCTGCGGGCTGCACAGCGGCAACAGCAACGGGCTGCGTAGCAGTTGGAGCTGCGGGGCCTGCAGCAGGAATACCTTCCTCCTTCCCGACCGGCTCCTTGGATATTGAGCTCGGGCGTTGGCGCTTCCTTGATGTCTTGACGGTCACGCGCGCCTTCGCCTTCGTAGCAGAAGGCGTCGGGGCTTCGCTTGCGCCACGGGAGGATACCGCGTTCGGGTCTTCGGGGTCAACGGACGGTTCCGCTTTCTCCTTCTCCACCTTGTCGGCCACCTTGTCAGCCTTGTCGGCCTTGTCGCCTCTCTCCTTCTTCCGGCTTCGAGGCGCAGGAGCAGGAGGACCTTCGGTAACCGGCGTGGCCGGTGTTTCGGTCTCGCGGGTTCCGCGCGACTTGCGGCTACCGCTTGGCTGAGGCGTAGAGTTGCCGGAGCTGGTTTGACGGTCACGACGACCCTTGTTGCTCGTGTTGACCTTTTGACGCTCAATGTCCGCCAGTAGCGCGGAGCTCTTCTTCTTAGCCACGGCACGGCGCGCCTTCACACCACGGCGAGAAGCCAGCAACGTCTTGTAATCGTTGGCGTACTTGGTGCGGTAGTAGTAGAGGACACAGTCTCCAGCCGTCTTGTTGGGCAGGACCTCAGCAATCTTGCCAAACTGCTTCGGGAACTGCAGGTAGCGCTTCTGGAATTTGACGCGCTCTTCGTCGGTCCAGACCTTCTCGCCACCACCTTCGAAGTCGTAGAATGCAATTGGGTCATCCACGCGATAGTTCTCGTCGTCATACACGAAATCACGCTCCTTAGTCAGGATCATGTCGGGGATGGTGGCGGCGGTCTTGGCGGCACGATGCGTTGGATCCTTCGCAGCGCTGTCGGCAAGGCCAGCCAGAATGGCCTGGTACTCAGCTTCCGTAGCCACCGCATCTCCCGCGCCTCGTCGACGATTGCTACGGGAAGGATACGGCTCTTCGCCAATTGGAGTCGCGGGCGGCAGTGTAGGCGCAGGAAGGATGCTGCCGGGAATAGCGTAGAGATCCTGGGGCGGCGGCCCGCGCTTCTCCATGAGCTTGTCAAGGAATTCCCGATGCCTGCGCCAGTCGGCATCGAGGTCAAGGTACTCCTGACGAAGACGCTCAACCTTCTCGTCGTACTCGCGCTGCTCTTCCTTGATAGTCTCCGTCACTTCCTTGACAACGCGACGTGGGACGCTCTTGCTAAGAGGAGCTGTGATCTCTGCGATGTGACGATCGACGTTGAAGTTCGGGTCATCGTGTATGCGTGTGCTCTCCGTCGGAGCTGCGCGGTTGTTCCAGTCGAGGACAAGGTCGACCACAACTTCAGAGTTGGCCCCTTGCTGCACCGCTTTGAGAACAGCTTGAGCAATCTTCGCCTCGCGAAGGTCCTCGGCAGTGACCTCAGCAGTGGTTTCGTCCTGCGTTTCGCGAGCAGTATCGGGCTCCGTCTCAGCGTCCGTGCCACCATGGACAGAGTCTGGTGCCCGAACATCGGCCTTCTCCTTCGAGATTGATCGTCTTGAAGGTCTTCGACGGCTGGCCGGAGCTACTACGTCATCGGTAGCTGGTTTCAAAGCATTCGGGGTCCGCTTAGGAGAGACAAATGTAACTGTCTTCTCAGTATGGACTTCCGGCTCAGCCATCTCAATGTCTCCTGTGGGTTCCGCCCGAGACACGGCGCGCGAGGACCGTGTGCGCTGTTCGAAGATGATAGGAACCAGTTCCTTTGGTGCCCGCCTAGGCTCGGCAGGTTGAACGGGCTCGGCCATGACGATGTCAGCCACGACCGGAGGGGTTGCCGCTACGCCTGGCGGGATTGGCTCTTCCTCAGTCTCATCGCCATCGTCCTCAGTCGTGGCAGCGGCTACGGGTGCTGGCGGAGGACTGGCCGGGCGCATCGTCACGTCCCCTTCGGCATCGGTGGGTGCATGCTCCCTAGGCTGCTCAACTTCAGACGGCTGCGATTCTTCATGCACAGTCGGCTTGGTGTCCGTGGTAACCACCTCAGTCGAGATAGGAGCTGCGCGTTCGGAAACCCCTGGGTCGCTTGTGATCGAGTGCTTGACAGCAGGGTGGGCCACGGCAACGTGTTCCGGCTCGGCCTGCGGGGGCGGGCTAACGGACTTCTCCTTGGCGGCAACCGGAGGCGCGTCTGACGTGTGCTCTTGCGTTCGCTCCTGATGATCAGATGTCGCCTCCACGGGTTTGAGAGCGGGAGCCTCTTCTTGAACCGGAGACGACGTCGGGGGCTCGACTTGCTTGGATTCGACAGCGGCCAACTTGTCCTCGGAGGGGCGACGTTCTGCCTCCTTCGCCCGCGTCGGGGGGGTCGGAGACGGCTCCTTGCTCGGCGAAGATACAGGAGCCGAGCGCTCCGATGCTAGGGCGACGGACGGCTCCTCCTTGGGTGGCGCGATGATAGGAGACTTGTCCGCAGACGGAGGGGCGACACCAGCGTTCTCTTCCGAGGTTGAAGCGGCGGGCGACGCCTTCCTCTGCCTAGCGATGACGTCGGAAACTGAGGCAGCTCCGGAGATATTTGCGTCCACGACAGGATGTTCCACAGCGACCGGAGGGGTTGAAGACTTCGCGTTATCACGCGACGGTTGTCCATCCCGTGCATTGGCGTCTAGAGCCTCGCTAGACACACGGTCTTCCACCAACTTGGAGTCAACGATCATAGACGGAGCTTTGGGAGTGCGGGAAGCTGCGTCGCCGTTGGGTATGTCAATGTCCACGGCAGCCTTCCTTGCAGGCCGCGCTTCAGATCCGCCCGTCGTCGCCATAGTGGTGTCGGCGCTGACAGTTGGTTCTGTGAGGGCATCGTCCACAACAGCTTCTGCGTTTGTGGGACCATCGACCTCCATAGCGGTCGAAGATGCAGGTATAAGCTCGCTCTTCGCACCCTCAATGGCTTCGGCAATGGGTGCTGGCTTCACCTGGACGCTTGAATCTTCGATCGTCTTCTGTGTTTGGACGTTCGGAGCGTCCGCAAGCTTATCAGCAGGTTCGCCCGCAGTTGCGACGGCCGCTCCCCTTGCCGAAGACAGATCACCGGACATGTTCTCCTTTGCTGCGGGCTGCGGTTCAGTCGCCACATCCCCTGCATCACGAGCCAAAGGAGCTTCAGCAGCAGCCGTCTTCTCCTCAAATTCGCCGATGATTCCGGGCAACGGCTCTCGCTCATGTGCGGACCCGGAGGCCGCATCAGTCACTGAGTTGGGTCCTGTGGGTGCCGGATCAGTTTCAGTCGGGTGAGCAGGTCCGCTGGCAACTTGCTCGCCATCGTCCGGTGCGAGAGGTGTCTGTTTCGGCGACTTCGAGGGTGCAGCTTCGACCTGAGGGACAGCGGCAGGCGCCGGAGAACCTGCGTTCGCAGCACGAGGCGACATGGCAGGTTTCGCGGCGGATTCAAAGGGCTCGGAAGTAGCGGACAAAGGCATCGGGGGAGTGGGGGGCCGGTTCGCCACCTGCGGGGCCGCAGAGGCTCCAGCGATGGGAGATTTGGCAACATGATCCTTCGCCTTCTCGGCTTCTGTCGGCGCTGGTGACTTGGCCAAAGGTGTGGCAGGCGAACGGCCAGATGCAGGCGATCTCACACCTTGCGACTCTGCTGTTCGTCGCACAGCGTCAGCCGGGTGGCGAACGTCGATTCCGTTAGGTATCGGAGTTCGAGGGGTGCGGTGTCCGTCCCGTTTCGCATCGGCGTCGGCAGGGCGCCCGGTGTCGAGCTGGAGTTCGTTCGCAGACGGTTTGCGGTCGACAGGAGAAGATGTTCGAGTCCCGCGGCGCGAGCCCCAACCGTCGTCGAGAGGGCGGCGGAACGGGGATGGGCTGCGAGGCCGAGAGCCCGGGCGCCGTCCCCATTCGCGTCTCGGGGGCCTGTCGCGATCCCGATCACGATCCCTCTCTCGATCACGCCCAGGCGACCAACGACGATCCCGATCACGATCCCAATCGCGGTCACGATCACGGTCGGAAGCGTATCGCAGAGGGCGGACAGGCGAGACAACTTCCCCCTCTTCTAAGTCGGTGGTGTTGTCTTGCGCCTTCGGCAAAGAGGCATGCGATTCGGAGGGGGACGCAGTACCGGCAATTGATCTTGGTCGGGGCGGACTGCGCGATGCGAGTGTTGACGGACCGGGACCAGCGACTGGCGGTCGATCGTCACGGCGTCGTGGCCGGGGAGAAGGAGGGCGTCGACCGCGATCACTAAGATGAGGGGGCGAACGAGGGGATCGCATGTGGTCGCGATCTCTGTCGTCGCGGTATCTGTCTTCTCGGAACCTTCGTTCATCGCGGTCTCGATCCCAATCGCGGTCACGTTCGAACCTGTCGCGATCCCTAGGAGGGTAAGCACCCGAAGAACGACCCCAGCGACCTCCATCGCGATCACGCTCATAGCCTCGATCGCGATCACGGTCTCTGTCGCGTTCGCGGTCTCGGTCTCGGTCCCGCTCCCACATATCCCGGTCGTAGTCTCGTCGAGGAGGCGGCGACGGCGACCGAGTCCTTCCGGCTCCGTTAGGGCCCGAAGGACGGAAGGAGCTTCCTGGTCGTGATCGAGACCATTGTCGAGACTGGATGTGATTGATGCGTGAAGCAGGTTGGATTGTGCATGAAGGGGAGTCGTGTCAGTAAGATGCACACTGCGAATGCTTCTCCTTAAGTAGAGGAGGCCTGAACATACCTCGGATGGCGGCCAGAAAGAGCGATCCCGGTCTCGATCACGGTCTCTGTCTCTTTCTCGATCCCGTCTCTGTCACGATCGCGAGCTGGGACAGCGTCAATGTCGCGTTCTTTACGCTCGCGCGAGTTGATCCACGCACCGCCGGCCTCGAGCGCGCCTGCAGGCTTTAATGGCAGGTGCGACGGGGGCTGCCGCCCATGAGGCGTCATGTGTGCTGGAAAAGAGGGGTAGGTCTGAGGATCTGATGGTGGATGGGTCGAGAGATGAAGGCGCGCCAGATGGGAGAAGGAAGGTGGCGTGAGGAGGGGGAGAGTCGGGGTGTGTTTACAGCATGTGTCGAGTCAAAGACGGGTTTGAAGAACCGTTGGTGCGGGCCGTGTCGAGGACAGAAAGGAGAGTCTGCGAGCAGATAAAACGGATAACGAAGTCGAAGGAGGGAATCGAGTCGAGGATGCGTGGATGGGAGCAAGGGATGAATGATGGCAAAGGATGAGAGAAGAGGAGAGGGAGGGTGAGGATGGCAAATGAGTTGACATGCCTGGAGCCTGAAGGGCGTGCGTGAATGGTTGGCTGGGTGGCCGGTGGGTGAGTCCTGCCTGGTGGGTGTGGATGGTGAGTGGTGGCCGTGTGTCGCCCAAGTGCGCCGCTAATGGTGCCAGGGCTGCGCTAGGCTTCGGTGTGCGGGGTTTTGGGTCAGAGTTTGGTTCGGGGGCCGCAGAGGATAAGCGTGCATGTACGGCGTGCGGCGCGCTAACAGTGAGGTGTGTGTGGTCTGCGCTCTGCGCATCTGGGTGTGGGGTGCTGGGCGCCGGACGACTGGTAGTGGGCGGCGAAATGTCGACTCTTGGTACGAGGTATATGGCACAGCGTCTGCCTGCTCACCAGGCAACCATGGCGCACGGCTGCAGCACAGGTGCTTTGCTGCTGTGGTTGTTCCTGGGATCCCATTCCCATACCGTAAATCAAATTGGCAGGTCGAAACTCATTACCCTGGCTTACCAGTTTCTAATCTGGTCTGCTCCGTGATCCAAACACGCCATAAACAAGCCCCGCCTGTCACACAGCGGAACCATACCAATGGCCAGCTGCAACCCGTCAGCCAGTCCCAACCTCGGGAAAATTTCGCCACTCAACTGTCGCTTAAGCCTCGGGGCCCATTCCGTTCACGTGGCATACGAGGCGTTAGCCTCACGTGAGAGAAAAAGACTGGGCGGTGGGCGGCAATTTTGGTCCCGGTGACGGTGGCAACTGCGCGGAGAACGGGCGGAAGCAGAATTGTGTTTGTGCTGCGGGCGAGACGCACTCCTTACGGCGGCGCCCTCGTACCTGGGCCGTGGTCTGTGGGTCGGGCCTCGAATTCAATCCTGGCGACGATCGCCGACAACAGGAAGGAAGAGCATTGACTTCTGGGTTTCGCTTGACTGCATCTCTTTTCTCCCCATCGCATCTTTTCTTTCTCGTCTCATCTCTTCTTCCAATCTCTCTTCCGCCTCTCCCTTGTTTTCAACGATCGCCATGATCTCCACGCTCGTTTCCCTCCTCGCTCTCTCCGCCTCGGGCGCCGCCATCGACGTCAGCGCTCCCCACTACTCCCTCTACCTCTACGACGATGTCAGCGCTGGCAGCTGGCCCTCCGCCGACAAGGTCCAGCCGTACAACCGTCTGCTCCTGGCCTTCTGGGAGTCTGGAGGTCCCACTGCCGCCTCGAGCTCTTGGGCCAGCTTGCCCGACGACAAGCGCCAGTCGATCCTGAACGACTACCACGACAAGGGCATCGCTGTCATGGTGTCGGCCTTCGGCGCTGGTGACTCTGTCATTGGCAAGAAGAAGGACCCCGTCAAGCTGGCTCAGGACCTTGCGGGCTGGGTCAACCAGCACGGCCTGGACGGCGTCGACGTCGACCTCGAGGACTTTGACTCGCTGCAAAACGACAAGGACTACGCCCTCGACTGGCTGTCCAAGTTCTACACCGAGCTCTCCAACTCACTCGGCGGCAAGCCTATCTCGTCGACCCCGACTGCGTGGATGTACGGTTCCGCCTTCGGCTCCGCCGACAGCGTGTACTGCAAGCTTAACTCCGCTGTTGGCGACAAGATCAGCTGGTACAACATGCAGCTTTACAACGGTGCGCAGGGCACTTGGAACAACTGCGACAACACTGTCAAGCACTCCGACAACGGCGCGTTCCTTGCCCTCGGCGACATCAGCGGCATGTGCGGCATTCCCATGAACAAGATGGCTGTTGGTAAGCTCTGGGACAAGGGTGAGCTCGCCCACGCTGGCACCGAGGACCAGATTATGGACCCCACGGCCCTTGGCCAGTGTCTCGCTGGCGCCGGCACCGGCGGCGTCATGGTTTGGTCCGCCTCTCTCGGATCCTGGGACAAGCCCCTCAACTACCTCAAGGACACCCTTGGTGCCGAGTCGTCTGCCCCCGCCGCTCCCGCCGGCAACAACCTCGCTGTGTCCGCCTCGCCCGCTCCCTCTTCGGTCGCTGTCCCTGCCCTCGTCTCCCCTTCGGCTACCTCGTCCGACACCCCTTCGGCCGCCCCTGCCACCGATGCCTCCTCCTCTGTTGGGTCTTCGTCCGGTGCTGCCGCCGTCTCGCCCTCCTCGGCGCCGGGCTCTGCCTCTAACGTAGGTGGATCCTCCTCCGCTTCCGCGTCTGCCGGCTCCAGCTCTGCTGTTGCCGGCTCCTCCTCGGCCGGCGCGTCGTCTTCTGACGCGCCTCAGTCCGCTTCCGACGCTTCTACCTCTTCGGGATCGAACCAGGCCGCTGACCCTAAGGCTGGACAGTCTGACTCTAAGACCGCCGGCTCTTCTACGCCTGACGCCTCCAAGTCCTCTGCCTCTGGTGCCGCCGGTGCCTCCGCCGCCGCCAACAAGGAGAACTCGTCCGCCTCTGCGCTCTCCGCCAGCTTCCTCGTCGCTGCCGGTGCTGTGCTCGCCACTCTCTTTTAAACATTAGACAACTCATAGACAACTCTCATAGCTACCGACACCATGTCAGCCCTGTATTCCTCTCTTGCTTCCTGCTGCATGACCTACTCTCGGTAAAGTCGGCGGCACTAGACCTTCCTAGGTGATCTGCTAGCGCAGTTGAAAGTGCTGCACGGTGCGCGCATGACCGTAGTCGCGTCAGCTTCGGATCCGCGTGCTGCGACGGTTCGGGGGCGCGCTAGCGGGTGTGTGCGCAGCTATTAATAACCGATCGCGTCTGACTTTGTGCTCAAATCGCCAAATCGCCCATCCCTCACATACGCCACCGTTCGTCGCCCTCGACCGCGCCTGACTTCAGCTCCCTGAGGGAAGACCATCCACACCGCCTCGGATTGAACCCACGAACAAGCAAAGCAGGGAGGATGTCAGCTCTTACCAACCAAATCTCGTACCGGAGACAACAAGCGGCGGCTTCCGGCGGCATCTTTGACACTTTCGGCAGCGTCATCGTTTCCGCTGGCCATGGCCCGGGATCGCGAGTGAACGTGACTGTGCCCGCTGGTTCAACCGAGACCGATCTGAAGAAGGCGCTGGATCATGCACTCGAGCTTGGGCAGGAGAGGAAGGGTGCAATGGGATGCTGGGCCGAGGAGTGTCCCGCTCCCCGCTGGGTTACGGCGGCAGCGGTTGAGCGGGGGATGCAGTGGGGCTGGACCGCACGCTGGATGGCACGACCGACGTCCAAGCCGCTCCCGGAAGAGAAGAAAGTGGAGGGCATCGACATCAAACGGATAACGGCGGTACCGGAGAAGAGAGCTGAGCAGATTCCCTTCGTTGATGAGCGCTGGTCCCTCCTCCTGCCCCTCGACCCGAGTACGCTGGTCCTGGGAGCTTTCGACAGCGACACAATGGTCGGTACAGTCGCAGTGCACTGCACTCCATCTCGGGATGGAGCCGTGTTCAATCTCGGCGTCGCGGATAGCTATCAGCGAAGAGGCATCGGCCGGGCCCTGATGGTCGCCCTCCTCAGGCTGGCGAAGGAGGAGGGGCTGAAGGATGTCACGCTGAACGCAACGGACGCAGGAGCTGGCCTGTACCTCGGACTCGGGTTCGAGGACCGAGGCAGGGGACAGACGTGGTGGATTAACAGCGACATGTGGGATCGCCCGGCGCCCACAGCCCAGCAACGCGCCGTGTCACGGGCGATTGCGTTGGACTCGTCCGAGGTCCCGCCGACGGACAACGCCATGCTGCCCTGCAACATGACGCCCATGCGCCTGGCCGCTACGACAGACAGCCCTCATGCGGCCGCGGCGCTGGAGAAGCAGGGTATCAAGCTCGACGCCCTGTCGGCCTGGGATCTCGGCTGGAAAGACCGCGCAGAGCAGATATTGAAGGACGGAGCGCTGGATCAGCTCGACGAGACGGAGAAGGCGACGACACTGCATACCGCCATTCAGCGCGATGATCGCGAACTCGCCGCTCTGTGTCTGAAGCTCGGAGCCCGTACGGACGTGAAAGACGGCAACTGGGACAGCCCCGCCGTGGGATGGTGTAACGCGTGCGGACGGCCTGAGATCGCTCAAATGATCCGCGATAGGGACAGCGGGCAGGCATAAGGACATCTGGTGCATTAGGTGTCGTGGGAGTATGAACAACTTTGTGTATTCTAGAGAGATCGTGCAGATGGAGATTGTATCGTGGATGTGTTTTATCCTGAGCCATGCCGCTTAATATATGCTCGTTGGATCAGTACCTCCATCACCCGTCTATCTCTCTGGTCCGTTGAGGTCGATGCCGATCCGCCTCACGACGAGCCACGCAGGAACGATGGCAACGCCCCACAGAGCAAAGTTGAGGCATGACGAGCCAAGATGCGCGAAGCTTGCAACTGAGCTGGTGCCATACGCGACAGCCTGTGCCGCACTCTCGACAGCTCGGAGGAGACCAGCGGCACGCGAGGAGTCGCTGGAGCTCTTGACGGAGTGCTTGACGAGGAAGTAGAGATAGAGGTAGTGCGTCTGGAAGCTAGCGCCGAGGAAGACGTACAGCGCAAACGTGCGGCCAAAGTACTTGCTGTTCGTCCAGTCGATGGTATCGGGCGTGGGCCAGTGAGCCATCAGCACCGTGCTCCAGATCCACCACGCGCCGCGCGTAGTCATCATGAAGATGAATCCCGCCCTGGCTCGTGTCTTCAGCGGCACGTTGTGGCGGTCGAGGAAGAAGCCGACAATGTTGCCGACAATGATGCACGCCCACGCGGCGACGAAGGAGCCGAGCGCGCGCACGCGCACACTGAAGAAGGACGCCATGTACGTGTTCGTGTAGCTCTCGGGGAAGACGGCCTGCGCGATCAGAGGGATGATGAGGAGATACTCCTTCGTGAGCAGGACGCGGAGCGTCTCCTTGATGTTGGTCAGGATCGGGGTGTGCGTGTACAGCTTTGGCTCGACGCCGTCGAGGCGCCGGATCTGGTGCGGCCGCGGGAGGAGGAAGGCAATCTTGCTCGTCAACGCTATGCTCTGTTCGCCACATGCCACCGCAATATGACGGTATACTCACAAACGGTCCCAGCGACGTCAACACGATGAACACGATGTACACGTTGGGGTTTATCGCGCCGGCATAGTCGCCATCGGCGTTCATGCCCAGGTTGATTGCGCCGCCGACGATCTGGCCCGCGACTCGGAACGAGAGCCAGATGCCTAGGAACTTGCCCATGCGGAACTGCTCGGGGTACGACATGGCCACAGCTGTAGGTCAGCATGGGTCTCTTATCGGCATAGGCGATATCCGGTTGGCGCGCAGGTCTGAGAGAGTGCGGAGGTTCAGCCGCGGGGCACGGGGTAAGTGAACGAGGATGGGGTACGGAGGAGCGGAGGGGCGGAGTTCCAGCGGCCCTGGGCCGCACATTGATTGCGCAGGTGACACCTGCTGAATGTCTTTGCCGAACACATGAATAGCGGAGAGCATGGGAGCGCACCGATCATCTTGTTTGGCTCCACATCAGCCTCATCAGTGGCCCTGGCCGCCCTGCAGTACCAGGGCCCCACCTCGACCGTGCAGCCCCGCACACCGGTCCTCAGCGACGGTACCTTGCAGTGCTAATCGCTTGTTGTCGCCTAGTCCCCGGGCGACAGTCCGGTCAGTCGTGGGTCACTCACCTGCCTCAATGGCCCAGAACAGACCAGCTGAGAGACCGCAGAACGCAGCGCCTAGGAGCACGAACCACTCGGTCCCGTACACGACGTTACAGTAGAGGCCGGCGCAGTAAGGCGCGAAGCCGATGCCGCCGAGGAAGAGCGCAAAGTTGACGCCGACGAGGTCCATGATCGTGCTGGCCAGAAAGGCGGTGATGATCATGAGACAGAAGGTGAGCGCGTTCGCCGCGTTGATGATCCATGGCGACGCCGTGCCGCCAGCTCCGAGCGAGTTCATCGCTCCCCACACTTAATGTCAGCGAGGCCGGAGAGGGTGTGGCAGAGATCGGGCGTACTCACATCCGGGGGCACAGAAGTTGCACACTCCGAGGATCCAGGCGGCGCAGAGCGGCGACCGCCAGAAGGAGCGCTTGCTCTTGTGCTGAGTTGGGATGTTGGCGGCCGTGTCGTCGCCGGAGTGCGCAGACTCGACATGATCGAGGCCTTGATGGAGGCTCGTCTTGCTTCTTTCCTTCTCAGACATTGTGCGGGTGGTAGCGGACGATGTGGGGCCATGGTGTGGTCGCGCGACGCTTGATCCTTTAAGTGCGATCGGCGTGTCGGACCGCAAGAGGGTCTAGCCCATTGCCCATCGATCGTGCTCCTCGCTGACCGATACGATTCGCGGTATGGCTCGCTTGTTGACTCGGAGCCCGGCGTTGGTACCGGCGGGCTTCCAAGGAAGGCCGCAGCTCTGGGGCGCTTGGCTATGCAGACAAGCGGATGTTTGGCTCAATGTACCACCTGCATGTCGTCTCGGCACAACAGATAAGGAACCAAAGGATGCAGGGCCGAAGGAACGGGGCCCACAGAAACGGGACTGGAACTGCGATATGGGTGGCCGAGGGCACTGGAACCGAATGGCGTGTTTCGGGCCATCGGTGTCGTCATCGCGTCATCCGATGTTAGCGTGCAAGCGCGTGATCATGATATGTCCCCGGCTGTCGCGTATGCACGTTTTGCCTACTGCTCATGGGCCGCTCGCTCGCATTATCTGCCGTGAATACCGCTATGTGAAGCCGGAGAGCGGAGAGTCAGGACGCTCAGTGCGTAGGGTCAGCCGGAAGTTGCACGGTTGGATCTCCTGGTGGGCGTTATCAAGGTTCGAAACGCAATACAGCGCGATTCAGAAGAATCCAGCGTGATCCGATTCCACGGGTCTGGGAACCACGGCCGACTGTCAAGTACCCACGGCTAGGCCGGGGACTCAACAGAGATTACAGTTTCCACCCATGTGCGCTGAAAAGATCACGACTCGGTGCGCACGCCGCGCACACCGCAGATGGCGTGACTCCAACCGGTCAGCGCCGCAACGTCAGGCCCACTCGTCATGTTAATAATGTTCAACTGCGGACTGCATGCACGACCTCACTTTCTCGCCTGCACTCACGAAGACACTCACCATGCAGGTCGTCATCATCGGGGGCGGTATCTCGGGCATCGCCACCGCGATCCGGCTCCGGGAGTTTCTTGGCACAAAGGTCGACATAACGGTGAGTGCTGTCTTCTCACGCTCAAGAGTGTTCAACCCTCTGGGCGCGCATCCCTCGACAAGGTAGTCAAGATAGCAGCGGGCTAACGACAGATTCTAGAGAAGAAAGGAGCACCCGGTGGCGTGTGGCGCGACTCGCTGTGGCCCGGCGCAGGCGTCGATGTCCCGATCCACCTCTACTCGCTCTACTCGGATCTGTCACCAGATTGGAGTGAGGTGTTTGCAAGCCAGCCCGAAGTCCTCGCGTACTGGAACGGTCTGATCGAGAAGCACAAACTCGAAGACTGCTTCCGGTTCAACTCTGAGTTTTTGGGGTCGGCATGGCAGGAGGGTCTTCAACGCCACGCTGTCCGCGTCCGCAACCCTCTGACGGGTTCTGAGCAGGTGCTGCAAGCAAACATTCTTGTATCCGCAGCAGGACCACTGGCGGCGCCTCGACTGCCAAAGATTCCTGGAGTAGAGACATTCAAGGGTGACTGGTTCCACAACCTGCAATGGAACCCAGCTGTCGAGCTGAAGGGGAAAAGGATCGCCGTCATCGGCAACGGGTCCTCGGGAATTCAGCTGATCGTGAGTTCTCATCTGCCATTCCAGCTAACGCACAGCCTGGTGTTGCGGCGCTTCCGGGTGTCACATTGACGCACTACGTTCGATCTGGAGGCTACTTCGTGCCCAAAGAACAACGTCCCTACTCCGACTGGGAGAAGTGGGCGTTCCGTTGGATCCCCGGCTTCATCCATGCGTACCGCTACCACCTTCTGCTGCGGCAGGACAAGGAGTGGGCCGCCCGAACGCTTGCGGCCGGCAAAGGGCGTAGGGAGGAGGAAGCCAGACTGCTGACGTACCTCCGTGAAACGGCACCTGAGAAGTACCTCCCGGCCTTGACTCCAAACTATCCGCTGGGAACGAAGCGCACCGCTCTTGATCTGGGTTGGCTTGCGTCCTTGCACCGAGAGAACGTCGAGCTCGTCAACACGCCGATCACACATGTCCGACCGGAAGGGATCGAGACCGCAGACGGACAGCTGCGGGAGCATGATGTGATCATCTACGCGACCGGCGCCGACGTTGCATGGGAAGGTGTCGGCGTGAACCGGCAGGTATTCGGAGAAGATGGTCAGGAGTTGAGGGCGTATTGGGAGAGCTTAGGCGGTCCGCAGGCCTATGCCGGACTGGCTGTACCACATGTGAGTGCCTTGCGGGACGGAGGGTTGACGCCTAGTTCCCGAACTACTTCGTTGTCATTGGACCGAACGCAACTGCTGGGTCGTGGGGTTGGACGCTCGGTGTGCAGTCGCGCACAATAGCGAAGATCGTCAAGGCCGTAAGTGTGCAGTGGAAAGTCAGATGCTCACGCCCAGATGTATGAGGTCAACCTGTCCTCCGTGCAGCCGCGTACCGCCCCCTTCGCAGAGCAGAACGCACGCATCCAAGAGGCACTCCGCACCTCTGCCGCGGCGAGCACGGCCACTAACAACTGGTGGCGCACAGATACTGGGCGGATCACGGTTGTTAACCCACTTAGGGGACGGGAACTCCGCCGGAGCGCTGCACACCAACCCAGATGGGCAGATTGGAAGGCCACGAGAGGGGGCGAGGTGATCGACGTTGCAGCTATCGAGAGGGAGAGGCAGAGAAAGGTCGCAGGGATAGTACTGGTTGTACTGGTAGCGCTGTGGCTCCTGTTCTTGGTTGCTGTGTAATGCATTACCTTAACATGAGTCCGAGCTGGGGGCGAGAGAGACCACCCCGACACTTCATGCGCTCGCTCACGCAGGCTGGTCCGCTCATCCTGAGCCCTGCAACTGCTCATACTCGGGAACACGGGTCTGTTGTGAGGTTACTGTTAGGATCTTGCCCACTTCGCGAAGTCATTCGATGGTCAGGTCAAGTCGGAATCTAAACGGATGATCGAAGCCGTACTCGAGAGCACACCGATCGCTGGCTGGCGGCTCACCCCGTTCCACGTTCTCCGAGCTTGCTTAGGCGATGTTCCGGTCAAATGTCGTGCTTCAAGCTGAATGATGGACAGTCATGTTCAGAAATGTCGTGCCCTAAGCAAATCAGGTGCTTAGTAACGCGCATTCCCGCCCCATGGATCTCGAAGACGTCCCGAACTCGGTTCGGTAACTTGCGGCGAATTTGCGGCTTTCTCGACCTCGGACTACGATCAGCTGATTGCTGATAACGGGCAACCATGGCCTGACTGTACCGGGCAAGCAAGGCGTTAGGCTATCAGGAAGCTGCACCAGCCAGAGCGCCCTCGCACCGGGAGATGAGACGCGTTGCATGGCCCGGGACAATGGCTGCTTGCAGAATGTGATGACGTAGCATCTCATGCCCATGAAACCTTGGCGCCGAGCGTCTTCTGTTGGCTTCCTAGCCTCGTCTCTCTGCGCTCTGTTCTGGTCGTCTACACAGCAAAGTGCAAGCAGGGGCGCCAGATACTCTCACATAACCCGAGGAAAGAATCCAAAAAAACTAATCCGCTAAGGGGATCGAACCCTTGACCTCCGGCGTGCCCCGTTTCCGGAAGCCGACACTCGTACCACTGAGTTAAGCGGACCGAAAGCTGATTACTTCTGACGTCAGCCGTCGCGGCCACATCATATTCCGCTGCCCACATTGGCTTACGTAACCAATTAGTGCTTCCCCTTTGCAAGCTTGCCTCGAGGAGAAACTCTCTAAGCTCGATGAGGAAGGGACAGCATTGTCAATGCGTTGCCGTGGACAGAAGCGGGAGGAGTCATACGCCCGATATCGGAAAGGCTGCGGGAGCGGGCGGTTAGCAGGACCGTACGCTTGTCACGCCGGTTTCGGCAAACGCCTTCGGCTCGTCGCCGCGGCCCGTCCGATCGTCGATCTTCGGCTTGTCGCGGGCTTTGCAGAGGTGACACACGACGCCTTCACTAGTGAGTCTAGCGAGCAACAGTTCGTTGTAACCCTTGCGCTGTCCGACGAGCTCGCTCGCAGTGTTTCTCGCTTGTGTTTCCATTCTTAACTTCAATCCCCAAAGTTTCACAGTCTTCTAAGTCGCTGCTCGTAACGAGCTTCCATTCTTTCCATCCTTCGATCATTTATCAGTTCCACTTCTGTGACTTCCGACAACTTCAAGTAAGCTCATCAGTAGACGTTTCAGTCGCGTCGGATGCGCCTCGCGCGAGTGCGAAACACTATTAGCGTTCGCCGGCGCCACGGGCACGGTAGTTTGTAGCGCGTTTCGCGCGGTCTCGGGACGACGGTGAGGGCGTTTTGTAGCAGCCACGACACGACTTTGGGCGCTGCACATCGCATTCTAGGTGTTCCGGGCGGAATGTGGCCCTCGCTGTTCGACGCTAAGATTGGGCCAGGAAGATGAAAGGGTGGTGAAAGAAGATGAAGGGAGTGGAAGGGTGGTGGAGGGGGCGAAAGGGCTCGGAGTATCCCAGCGCGTGCCTGGGACCGTCCATCTCGTTGGCCAGTTGAGGTGGAGGTGGACCACTGGAAAGGCAACCTGCATCCCCGCCATTCAGCATTGGCCGTTCAGATTATCCCAGGACATACTTGAAGCTTTACTGGGCGAGCAGATATGTACGAGCTGTCATGCATGTGGCAGAGTGGCGAAATGGATGGGAATGAACGCATTTCCGGCAACCCAGCTGCGGTCTCTTTGCAACGCCCGTGCTCTCTGTCAAAGACGCGGAGAATGCGCAAAAGTGCAGATGTCAACTATCCTAGCTCTACCGACGCTTCGTCACTCAACTTGTCAGCTAGTTCGATGTTCCTTGGTGTGATGGGCGCAGATGTGCGGCTTGCATAACGGGGCAAGGTGGGGAGCTCACTTCCATCTTGCCATTCGGACCCACTTAATCGTTGCGCGGCGCCCAACATTCCACTGCCGTTACCAGCAGCAGAGTCCACTCCAAAGCTTCCGCTCGCTGTTCGAGAAGACGGATATCCCTCGGCCGAACGCCCTCGGCAGATCTGATCGGATTCGACTCGACTCCGCTCGTCCGAAACATTACCCAAGACTCCCTCTACCTCCGCTCACGCCATGCCGAGCAGAAGCCGGGCGCCATCATCCGGCGCTTGACAGGCGATACGCGAGGGGGCGCCCTTTCCTTCGCCGAGCAGCGCAGCAGCAAAGCGATTGCGGGAGGTTTACTGGAATCAACCGCATCGTAGCATCAACCTAGGGTCGTCGCGTCGTCGATGGCTTTCGAGATGAATTTTCAAGGTGCCCGCGAAGCCCGCGACTGAATAGACTCGCAATCTTGGCGGCGCACGTGGACGCCCCGCGATAAGATCGGGGTGCTGCAGCGACGTCTGCACTGCTCCTCTGCGCTGATGTGAGCTCTTCGTCACGCAGAGGCAGTAGGAGGGCCACAAGAGGAACGCAAAAGCTGCCGCAGCTGCCGCGCGTCCTCAACACTGGTACGCAGGGCTTAATCGAGGGTTAGCGAGGGTCCTTAACGTAACCGAGCAGAAGTCGCGTCTTGGCGTTTTTCTGGTGCCCCCGTTCGAAAAATGTTTGGACGCGCGTGCATTTGATGCATCATTACGCGCTCCCCGCTCTGCACCCGCGCGCACACTGTGCGCACCTCTGGCCTCGACTTCCGTCAGCTGCCGTCATACCATTAGTGCCTCTGTGCCTTGCAATGTGTGCCTGGCCGACAGACTCAAGCACAAGCACAAGCGCAAGCGCATGAGTCATGCCCAACCACCCCAAAAAGGACTGGACTGGACCCGCCAAGCCTAGCTTCATGCATGCATCAACGTCCTGTGCACTACCCCGGTTCCAGTCCAGACCTCAAGTTAGGAGGGACGCGGGGTATGGGGTCCAGTCCAAACATCCAAACATGGATGGAGCAAAGGGGGTCAAGGTTTGTACACATTACCCGTTATCTGGAAACTTTGCGGGCCGCTGGAACAAGGCACCAAGCACCTCCACCAATGCCGTCGTCGGTGCTGCAGGCTGCGAAACGTTGACAGGAGGCAAAGCCGCACGTCCGTCGCAAGTTGTGTTTGGTTCGAGAGCGTGCATGTCGCCGATCATATGTTTGCATGAGCCTGTAGCAGGATGCGATGCGGCCAGACTGGTCTGGCTGAGCTCGCCAGACACTGTGACTCTCGGAGCTCGGGATGCAGGGGCTTCGATGTGGCGATCGAGAGAGTTTGGGAAGTTTCGACGTCCAGGCCACTGGCCACTGGCATGTGTTGAATGACTGTGCCACTTGCATCACTGCGCTGTGCTCCGACAGCTTGCATCAAGGACAGTGCCACCAATGGATGCGAACGTCTGAGAGCAGCGAGCCATCGCGCGCACAGGCAACGGCCCCGCTACCGTTTTCTTGGAGCTACCGGCCCGCGCACTCCGCCTGTGCTCGCCATCCGTCTAGTGCAGCGACTAACGGCCATCCAGCCGCTAGGCCGCAGGCAGGCGCTGGCGTGTCATATCCGCGTCTCAGCACGCATGTCAGTGCCTTGGTTTGCAGTGCAGCAATGCAAGAAAGCTGCGCGGTGCGTGGTGAGAGATCATGAGAGAGCGGCTGACTGGACGGGGGGCAGGTGACTATGAGGGGCGTGTGTGAGTCACTGTGCGCTGGTGCAACACGATTGCTGGCATTGGGTCAGATCACACAGCCGCGCAGTGCACCGTGCGTCATGTGTGGGATCCTCTGACTGTTGCCGCCCGCGGAAGAGGACCTGCGCTCATTGTCTGCCACCGGCTGCGCGGCTGCGGGCTGCGGCTTGGTCTGCTGCGAAGGCAGAGGTTAGTCGCTTTGCCACCGCCTGTGGAGCTGCAAATAGCAGCGGTCGGTCCAGATCGCGCGCAGCCGGTGGCCAGCAAGCACAGCTGAATCGGACTGAGCAGGCAGCACCGGCCGATCTGTGCCGGTTATCGACAAGGCGATGGTCAGATGCAGGCACGACGACCCAGCTGGCCAGCAAAAAGGACGGACATGAGCATTACGAGAATAGCAACATGCAAATTGCGCCCTGCTAATGGCTGATAACCCCCGAATAATGTCCACCAATTCGCGAATACGAGAGCGGCAAATGCTCCTTCCATCGCATACCTCGCTGCCCGTCCGACGAGAGCTTGCAAAGCCTTAGATGTCTAAGGCTTCAGACCTGAGGGTCCACAGTGCCTGCGACAAAACCTAAGTGGCTTACCCTGGGGCGCTCGACGCGTAACCCTGAAGGCGCTCAGGTAGAGTCAGCGTCCTGAGGCGCCCCGCTGCATGGGATTAGGGTACAACTAGGAGGCACCACGCAGAAATAGGAGATACTCCTAAGCATTGTTCCTGATCTGGGCCTGAATCGGTGGCCCTGGTCATCCCTGGCCGGCCGCTTCCTCGGCCAAGGCTTTAGCTGGCCTTTGTCCCCCCTCGACCCCTTTTTCTCCTGGTGTCCCCAAGTCCCACTGCACGCACTCTCTGGCCCAATGCGCTGAGTCGACCCTAAGCGCCCTCCTCCCATCCCTTAGCGCCTGACTCAGGGCTCCAGCGGGTATCTGCACTCGTCCATCGCCGTAGCCCTTATCCTCACTCAGTCCACTGCCGCTAGGCTGGCTCAGCACTCTGCTGCCTCTGCTCGTACGCTGTCCAGTCCAGCTGTTCAGCCGTAGCTGATCGTCCGGCCCAGCGTTACTATATATCCCGCGCGCATCCCCGTCAAAGTCTTCTTCTCCATCCCCCAACCCGTTCTTGTCCTCGACAACCATCCACCTCCCCCAAGCAGGCCTTGGAATCCGCACGCCCCAGCACGCTCGACGCGTTCTCCCGACATCGACAACCTCATCGTACGCCAACCCACAATCTTTTGAAGCTCCAGACTAGTGCGTCACGCGTCTCACTCAGCAGCAGCAAAAGAGAAACGCGTCACTAACTCTTATCCCAGACCAACTCCACGCTTAACGACAATGATCGCCCTCTCAATCGCCTCTCTCGCCGCGGTGGCCTCGCTGGTCGTTCCCGCCAACGCTCACATGGAGATGACTTACCCCGCTCCGTTCCGCTCCAAGTCGAACCCGCACGCGACTGAGATCGAGTATAGCATGACCTCGCCCCTCAACGCCGACGGCTCCAACTACCCCTGCAAGGGCTTCCTCTCTGACCTGAACGGCCCCGGCGGTGCTGTCACTGCCGAGTGGACCGCTGGTCAGAACTACCACTTCACTCTGCAGGGTGGTGCCAACCACGCCGGTGGCTCTTGCCAAGCCTCGCTTTCGTATGACGGCGGCAAGACATTCACCGTCATCCAGTCGATCGTCGGCAACTGTCCCTCGACTGTCGCTCCTACCGACTACCCCGTCACCGTCCCCGGCGATGCCCCCTCCGGTGACGCCATCTTCGCCTGGACCTGGTTCAACAACCTTGGCAACCGTGAGATGTACATGAACTGTGCGCACATCAAGATCAACGGTGGCTCCGGCGGCTCCGGCTTCAGCTCGCGTCCTACCATCTTCGAGGCCAACATCGGCAACGGCTGCAGCACCCTCGAGGGCTCCGACGTCGAGTTCCCCAACCCCGGCCCCGACCTCATCAACCAGTCCAGCAAGACCGCTCCTCCTCAGGGCAACTGCGCCGCTGGTCCTGGCAGCGGTGGCAACCAGCCCCAGTCGTCTGCGGCCGCCCCCTCTCCGTCCAGCACTGAGGGTGGTGCTCCCGCTTCCTCTGGTGCTGCCTCGTCCGACGCTGCCCCCGCACCCTCCTCGACTGCTTCGTACGACGACGGCCAGTGGCACCCCTCCTCCTCTGCGGCCGCTCCCTCGTCCACCGACGGCAACAACGGCGAGTGGCAGCCTACCTCCTCGGCCGGTTCGAGCGAGGCGCAACCCACTCCCACTGACGGCAACTCGCAGAGCCAGGGCCAGTCCTCCGCGACCGGCATTAACCCTCCCACCGAGTCTGGCAAGAACCGCAAGAAGAAGTGTGTCCGCCGCCAGAAGCGCAACGGTGTCCACGGCCACCGCCGCGCCGGCCCTCACGGTGGCCGCTCTCGCTCGTTCTAAGCGTTCTCAATACATGGTCACTCTGGCACATGTAGGCAGCCCAGCAGGCTAGGTTGCCCTGCGCAGGACGCAGTGTACTTGTAAGACGACATATGGGTCCTCCAAGCCTGCCCAGTGCAGCGCTCTCAATGCATTCTCCTTTTTTTACCTGTGTTCTCATTGTGCATTCCGCGATTGATTGTTCCACTGACCGCGCATCGGGCGCATCGAGCCCATCGGGTGATGTGACGTGAGCCGCCAAGGGTGCACGATCGCGCGTAGGGCGCATTTTGTGCAAGGGGCGCGCCAAGTGTGCACGACTCTGTGCACTCGAGCGCAGCCGACGCATTGAACACGCGGACCCGGCGCAGCGCGGCATTCAGTAGTGGGTTTGTCAAAAATCTTTCGATAGTGCAGAGTGCGATCTGCGGCGGCTGAGATGCACTGGACTCCCAAGCTGTGCATGCTTGGGTATCTGGGTATATGAGAGCGGATAGATATGGCTGACAGCGCTAGCCGCATCCGCAGTGCGCGATTAGGTAACCCCTGCTGACTTGCTCGGATGCTGACTGGTTCATTCGGTGGTGCCGAGTGCTGGAATGGTGGTCCGTGCACCGGGACGTTCGGAACTCGGCCCCTCCTCTCGGGACACCCGGGAGGACTGCAGGTCTGGGCACGGTGCTCGGCCACTCGGCTTCGTCTCGGCGCAGCTGGCAGGGTGGAACACGTGCATCACTATCACTCTCCTCACAGCGTTACCATGGTCAGTCCCAGCTCAAGTCTACGGAATCTGCTCGTCTCTACTCCTCTCTATCATGCAGAGGGAGCCAGCCCTCCTCCTTCTCCCAATCGACCTTCTTCCTCTCAACCTCCTTTTGATACCGGCGGCGCTCCTTCTCCTCAGCATGCAGATGGCGGATATCGGCGCAGTACGCCTTGGCGAGGTATCTCTTTCCGAGCTCTGGATTCTCCCACTTCCGCACTGCGTGCAACTCGGCTGCGGTCTTGAGGGTGCGAGACCAGGAGGCGCGGCGGTTGTGCTTTGCTGGTGCTGACGGCGTGGGCGCCGAGCTTGTGAGTCGGGAGGAGCGCGACCGCTCTGGACGCTCTGGACGCTCTCCGCGCCCTGTAAGCTCCAGTTCATGAGGTGTGCGTTCTCCACGGCCTTTGGGCTGTTCGTTGCGTCCGTTCTGAGCATGGGCTTGGCGGCCTCCGCCCATGCCACCCAGCTGCACTGCAAGGTCCCGCTGGCGCCCTGTCGTGCATGCCGGGCAGGTGCATGATTCGCCTGATGTTTGTGCTCGCGTTTCAGGCTTTGGACAAGGTTCGCGAGCCTGGGGAGAGTTGGACATTCCGACAGTCTCGGGCTCGTGAGTTAAGGTTGGCCCGGAGCCGGTCCCACCTGCCGCACTGCTGGCCAAGGCCGAGGTGAGTGGGTCAGACGACTCAGTCCGAGACTTTGGGTTCGATTGGTCTGTGGGGCCAGACCTGCTGGGCCTGCTGATGCTTGAGGTCCTGTTTGGGACGTTGATAGTTCCAACGGAATGCGACAGTGTTGGCGAAGGTGCACGGTGGTGATATCGGGGCATGCGCTGCAACGTTGGCCGTGTCGGAGGAGGGCGGAGATACCTGCTGTCGACTGCGCTGTCGAGGGAGAGAGTGGACACAGTGGGAGGGGTAATCGTGATCTTCACGTCTGCGTGCTTATCGCTTGCGTCGCTCGCTGCGTGACTGCCGGCGAGGTTGGGACGAACGACGCTAGTCTCCTCGCCGACTGGGACTTTGGCGTCCCGCGCCGGCTGTTGGATGGTCTGGCGCTGCCGGCGCCTGAACCGCATGCTGAGTGATGAGGAAGACGAAACGACAGCGATGCATGATGGGATGTGAAGGACAGCTCAGCGCTGCGCCCTTACTGCACTGCATGCGCTGCGGAGGTGTGTGTTGAGCACGTCGTGCTCATTGGGGCGACGGTGCGATAGTGTAGAGGAAGTGCGAGTGTGCACAAGTCCGCAGTGGTCGGCCTCCACCTCCGCTCAGCGATGCACAATGGGGCTCACGTGTCCAGTCTGAAGCCCCTGCAGATCTTGCATGCAATGAGTTGCGTGCACAGTCCTAGACCACTCTGACACGCACAATCGTTTAGGCGGATCGGCGATCACTCGTCGATCTTCACAATGACGTCGGGTGATGTTCCCTTGTATCGAGCGAGACGACGGGGGACAATAGAAAGGATCTCATCGCTGCGATCGCTCACTTGGTACGCCTATTCCTCTGCGAAACTCAATCACGCTGTTCATGCTTGCCAAGGATTTCCATTTGACATGCAAGCTGGTCGCTGGAACTAGCCCTCTCATCTCCGTAGGTATCACTGGACGACCTCCAACAACCGACCTCCACTCTTGCCACCGACGCGTCTCAGGCACGTCAATGCCTCATTATTAGTCCCTCATTAGCCCTAGGAGCCAGTTTACTCCGATCCCTTCACCACCCTTCAACGCCCTTCATCCCAACTTCTCGCCCTTCATCTTCCCTCCTCACCCTACTCGTTCCCTCCGTCACAGAATAACATCCCTAACACCCCGAATGCACCCCGAAAGAACTCGGCTGAATCCTGTGCGACGCCGAAAGTCGCGTTTTCTAGCTTCGAACTGCGCCATGGCGTCGACGCGGACAGTGCTGATCCGCAGAAACGATTGGTGCGCATTTCGTCGCACCTTCGTCGTTACATCTGCCAGGGACGACGGACACTTGGGGCAGAAGGGACGGCGCAGCCAGAGGTGCTATGCAGGATACGATGAGTGCATACCGCGGGGACGTTCAGTCATGCCCGTCCGCGATCGGGCAGTGGCCGCAGTCGGCGACAAGGTCTTCATCGTTCATATCCCGCCACCTTTGCAACCAGTTCTCCGCCGTTCCTCCACATTTCAGTGGCCGATCCTCGGTGTCAGCAACCGGTCAGTCTCCCGCACCACCTCAAAGTCCACATGCATGCATTCTCGAGCATCTCGGAGCTGCACAGTATAAGTTTGACAAGGAGACATGACTTCAACAGCGTCTTCGCTAGTATATCGGTTAGTATAATCGCCTCTCAAGTCCGAGAAATTGCTTCGGCAGTGCGCGATAGAGCAGGGTTCGACTCCCTGGCGGAGAACAGGCCTGTACAGGTCTCTCTTTTGGCATTCTGGAGATCTGTTTTTGGACGAATGAGGTGCCCAGACGGTGGAGAACCATGCGGAGGAAGAGCGGAGGTGAAAGGGTGGGTCGGTTCTGTGCGGGGCGGAGTCGGTGGAGGTATGGCCCCCCGCGTGCAGATACAGTCTGCGTATTCGCGACAAGCAGAACATAACATCCGCTAAGCGCAAGAGCGACGGGATAGTGAAAGGGCTGTGGACGAGGGGAGGAAGGCGGGAAAGTCAGAAAACTCGAAAATTGGAGCAGCTTGCCACCACCTCTCCTTGCACATCCACATCTGCAGCTAGCCCGTGAGTATCCAAAGTCAACTTAGTCACAGTCACGCTGTCGCTCATGCATGTCGTAGGACAGCTCTGCCTGTCAGCCGACGAGGAGGTTATGGAGACTCACACGCTCTGCCCGTTGAGGTTGAGCGCCTGACGTTGCTGGCTGAATTTGGCACGTACTCTGCGCTTGCTGTAAGCGAGAATGATGCGGCAGCGTGAGCTTACCCGACAAACAGCAGGAGCAAACCTTCGAACCCCGAACAGCGAGATCACGACCGCCGAGCAGCAAACCCAGATCGTACTCCTAGATATGCCTTCTCTGAGCTGTCAGCTGGTTAGTGGTCGCGCTAGACCTACTGCATGTTTTGCATGATGACTCAACGGAGGGTCGTTTGCGGAGGTTGGTTGGGTTCAGCCTGTCCTACGCGGTACTCACCACTGGGACGTAGGCTTCTCCACGACATCTTACGGAGTTCGGGTCGCTTACGGGCCTGGAACTTCGGCGGTATCACTGTAACTTAGTGGACAGTGCGCTAACCCCCCTCGTCATCGCTTCGAGATTATACAGTAACGGTTCACAACACAATGCATAATCTGAGCTGTCAGCTGACTGACGGGAAGGAGTTGGCTCACTCAGCCTCTTCTCGAGTATTTCTTATCTTCGCTGCTGTGAGCGGCAAAGACCTTCTCAGAGCTCACGTCTCTGCTGTCCGGTTTAATGGCGACTGCGCGTCAGCTTCAATGGTCGATCAGGGTAGCTACTTTGTCCATGCTCTGCACGCTGGACTCTGATCATCAGCTGAGACGGAAACCTGTTAGCTCACCCGTCCTGTTACAGCCACTGCTGAGTCTGGAGTCAGTTCTAGCACTTACTCCAGGAACTCACAGACTACATTGTTGCGATCACCCAAAAGGCATGTAGAATGCCAGGTAGCCAGCAGAGGAACCAGAGCTGCGCGTCAGCTACAATCAGACTAACGGGCAGCTTACGAAGATGTTCACCAGCAGCTGGCAGCCGCACCTGGAGTTAGCTGGGTACGGCGTAGGCGTAGCTTACCCTGTCTTGAGGAATCTGGTGTCAGCTCTTCCTGTGTGGTGCAGACAGCAATCACGATGCTTGAGACTACACAGTGTCCTCGCAGGCAAGATGGAGGGCGACGGGAGGATGGACAGCAGAGATGTGGGAATGATGACAGCGTGGCTTGGAGAAACTTACACAGGTACGGGCGGGATGAAGATGGCGAGGACGAAAAGCACGGCGTCGGAGCAGCCGCTCGACTGGCGGCGAGGTGGAGGAGGCGGGGGGTAGTACATCGGTTGCTGGGGAACGACTCGTTCTGCTGTCAGCTCGTGGGAGATTCAGCAGCATACCGTAGCCGTTATCAGCTTGAGCGCCGATGGGTGGCGGAGGTCGGTCCGACATTTTCTCGTTCCAGGTGGCCATTTTTCAATTTGTCGTGGATGAGGGGGGTGAAGATGAACATGTCCAAGCGTTGCTGTTATATCTTGCGAGTGGGTGGGCAGAGAACTCTGCGTGAGACCAACGACGCAAGGCACACAGCCTCTGTCATTGCATCTGCGTGAGGCTTCGTTTGAGTTCATTTCAGATCCAGCACACGTTGAGATCGCGACACACGTCTTCGAAAGCCTCACCATTTGGATGCCACAGCCGCTGACGTCAGGCACGTCCCTATCTGACCCGGGTGGCGATGAAAATACCTCCGCCGACTGACCTCCACCCAGTGTCGCGTGGGCATGGAGATTTTGAATCTTTCGAAGGTGGAGGTCTATCGATCATCCATCCGCATCAACAACACCCAGCAAAAGACGACAATGGGCAAGCGCGCCGCCCCCGCCCCCGCTCCGGCAGGGAAGAAGATTACGTTCGGATCTGATGACGAGTTCGAGGACGCCCCCATCATTACGCCCACGGCGCAGCCGACGTACGCCGACGACAGCGATGAGGATGACAGCGACGACGACGCGCCCGAGATGATCGGTGCTTCTGGCGCCAAGGCGGCCGAGCAGCGGAGACTGGCCGAGGCTGAAGCGTAAGCTGGAGCTGCGAGTGTCAACTGACAGATAGTGAGAAGCGAGCACAGAAGGAAGCCGCGCGTGCGCGTGCACAGAAAATCGCCGAGGCTAAGGCAGCCAAGGAGGCTGCTAAGGCGCCGAAGACGTCGAAGAAGGCCGAGAAGGCGAAGCGGAAACGCGCCGAGCCCGAGTCGGCCTCTGAGGATGAAGGAAGTGAGGATGAGGAGGAGGACGAGGAGGCTGCCCGCCTCCGCCGACGGATGGACGCCGCTATGGCTGCCGGGTCCGGTGACAGCGAGATGGAGTCGGACGGTGACGACGAGTCGGGTCTCGAGTCCGCCGATGAGGACGAGGACGATTATGACGACGCGGAGCTCGATGACGAGGACATGGAAGACGGAGAGAGCTTCCATACCGCCTCGGAGGATGAGGAAGAGGAGGATGAGGATGAGGAGGACGACGGAGCCGAATCGGACGAGAGCGAGACGCTGCGCGATGGCCCGCTTACGCCGAAGGAGATCCAGATGCGTGCGCAGATGGACGCCATCTTCGCGGCCATGAACAAGGCCGAGGGAATCGTGCCCCCCAAGCCTGCCAAGGCCGATAAGAAGGGTATGGGCACGAGTCAGGACGTCCCCGAGCCCCAGGTCAAGAAGGCGAAGAAGAAGACCGGCCCGATGACGGAGGAGGACGAGAACGCGCTCTACGACCTGAGCGCGGGCGTGCCGCTCTCCGCCGCCGCACTTGAGGAGGCTGAGGCCGAGCTGCAGTCGAAGAAGAAGAAGGCGGCTGGCAAGCAGGAGCAGGAGAAGCGCAACGCCGCGGCTGCGAAGAAGCGGGGGAACAAGCGCAAGCGGAGAAAGACCGAGACGGTCGAGAAGGACCTGGGCGGATCAACGCTGCACCTCCTTCAACCTGTGCTCTCCGCCGGAGACGGACTGCCGCCGGTCATCGATGCCGGTAGCCAGCAGAAGCGTGCCTCTGCCAAGTCGCGCTTCATGAAGAACGCTATGAAGGAGAGCGGACGGATTCCTGGCAAGGCGATCCTTGACGGACGGAGGCGACGATAGATAGGTCTAGATTTGGAGCTTATAGCATGTACAAGATATCACTGTGCTGCATGGTCTAGTATGAGTAGGTGTTACAACCGATCTTCCCTTGCGGTTCCGGCGCTCAGCTACCGGAGTCCGCCCGCAATGCAATCTACTCTCGCGCCCAGCGCTCTTACTTCTTCATCGCCTTCTCCGGGTTCTTCTCGTACGCGGAGCACCACTTGTCCCAGGCCTTGGCGGCCTTGTCCATTGTCCGCTTCAGATCCTCCGCAACCTGGTCGCGCTCCCACGCCTCGTCCTCCCAGTTCGTGTGGTGCGCAGCGACGTCCCAGCCCATCGTCTCAAGCACCTCACCCTCACTGGGGAGATGCTGCGGCCACGCGAAGCGCTTCGCGTTCACTTCAGCGCAGGCACAGCCAAGATATGCCTGCAATGGAAGCACGCGGGCGGAGGGCACGAAGGACAGCCGGAGTGAATCCTCGCTTGAGGCGTCGCCTGAAGGCACAGACGAGGAGAGACGCTTCGTGACGCTGCGCGCAATCTTGGCGCCTCGGAAGGAAGAGGCCGCCCAGACTGCATCGACTTCCAGCGCTCCGCCTGCGTGTCAGCTTGAACGATCCGAATGGTCAGCAAAACTTACCGAAAACCCATCCGACGAACACAAGTGCCCAGTCGAGCGCCGCGCTGACGGGGAGCAGGCCGGTGGCAATGACAGCATCGCGTTGCGCCTTGCTCTTGGTTCGGAGCAGGGAGTTGACGAACTCCTCACGGATCTGCTCCGGTGACTGCTCCATGCTCGGCGGATAAATCAAGACCATCTCCTCGAGCTTGACGGTTGCGCTGGTCGTGTCCGCCTCGTCGTCGGTTGCAGAGACGTGCGAGTCCATCGAGCTTCGCGAGCTGCGCGGCGGCGCCAGTCCCTCCGGGTTCGGCAGCAAGCCCGCCGCCGAATCCTTCGGGTGCGTGTCATCCTTCTTGTCCTTGCTGTCCTTAACAGCACGCCGGAACTTCTCGCCGTCTGAGGGGATGCGCGTGAGGAAGTCGAGGTCCGCCGTCGTTGTCCGGTGGACGGCCCAGTTGACGCCCTTGGTCACGCGGCTCTTCAGGCCGCGCCAGCTCGCGACCTTGTCCTTGCTCTCATGCGCCGCGCGCACCTCCTCCTGCCACTTGCGCTGAACCTTCGTCGTCGTCTTCTCTTTTTCGCCTTCAGGCGGCTGGAGCAGCGGAGGAGGCGGCGGCGTGTAGATCAGAAACCGCAGTGGTGGGGCGGGCACGTCGGCGTTGAGCTGGGGTTGCGGGAACGGCAGAACGTAGGCGACCAACCGATGAGGATCGCGGATGTAGTGGTCCGGTGACGGCGGACGCTGGCTCCGATTACTGCGCGTGCTCCGTTGCGAGAGCACCGAAGGGCTTGGGCTGGCAGCCCGCGGCGGCAATGAAGGCGGCACCAGGGTCCGCGATCCCACTGCTATTGAGGATGCAAAAGGGTGGCCGGCCGGCAGCGGCGTCGGTTCGGGCGAAGGCGACCGCTCCGCGTACGTCACGGTCGGGGGACGATGGCGTTCATCCATCGCGAAGTGGAGTGCGTCGAAGAGGCGGTCCAGTGTCGAGGTCGTGAGTGCGTTGAACTTTGCGGGGGTGGTAGGAGTCGTATGCGTAGGGTTCACGGAAGTAGTGGAAGGTTCAGAATCAGAGTGCGCGTTCTCAGAGGGACATCGGAGTCGATGTCGAGCGTTGAGATATGAGAGCGGGGGAGCAGAGGCGGGCCGCAATGTCTGGGGCCCAGCAGTCGTAGTCGCAGTGGGTTCCCAACGGAGGCGCAGGAGGCGAAATTTTGACCTTGCTACCAATCGCAGCGGGCCCAGGGCGCCAGTGCCGACGCCTGAATTGGGTGATCGAGCACGCCGTAACTCGGCACTCGCGGCGTTGGAATGTGCGTGCGCCTCAGACGCGCTCTGAAGCACTCGAGGGAGACGCAGAAGATGCTGTGCCCGGAGCGATCGGTGCCACCGGTGCTCGCGGTACAACCGGTGTGCGCGATTGTGATTGAAAAATGCGCTTGGGTGGTTCGCTCGTTTGACGGCTCGATGCCCTGTTGCCGGCGGCGGAGCAGTGGAGGTGCCTGACGACGGCTTAGGGGTTGGGTCTGGGGCCTGATTCGAACCAGGTCTCGGCGGTGGTGCTGTTCTTGACGTAGAAGTGCTCGAAGATGGTGCAAACGGGGACGGAACGTATCGTGCGAGACGCAAGAACAGCTTGCGCATGCTGGTGCCAGGGGCGGCAGCAAGCTCCGCTCAGCGAGCAGCACAGGATCCAGGACGGTGGCGTCGAGGAGCCAAGCACTACTACGGCTCACCAGCCGCCGTGGTGCGTCGAGCGGACCCGAGTTTCACGCCCCAGAACCCAGAACCTCGACTCGAGACCCCAGAACACCCTCCGTCAAACCCGAACTGAAGCGAACAGGGGGGAGGGCTTCGGTCGACGGAATTCGGGGAGCGGTTCGTCTGCGTCGGGCAGGAGCAAACAGCCAAGGAGCCAGACGTTGAACACCGTATGAAGCGCACGAGGAAGGCGGAAAGGAGGCAAGGGCGACCAGGGCTGACCGAGGAGGGGTGTTTCGATTGAGATGGCGAGGGGCGTTTCGGAAATCGCAGAGTCCGCAAAGTCGTGAGGAGGAGTGTCCGAGTATGGAACGAATGGAACGTGTTGACTGCAAACTCCGGAAGTTTACGAGGTGCAAGTGCGAGGATGGGTGTGTGCCTGCTTGTGCTACGGTGAAAGGCGCACAAAGGCGCGCGCAAGGCACTCCTCGCTGCGGTGACGTTATCGCGTTCGGCGTCTTCGCTGTCCACTCCACATAAACATGATCCTGACACAGGTTGTCTTCTCTCGTTCTTTCTTCGTTCTGATTTAAAGTGTCTTCTCTCATCCTTTCTTCGTTCTGGTTAAAAGTGTCTTCTCGCTCAACTTTACGTAGAATAGCGCTCAAAGATTTAAGCCTCTGCAAGTCGCATAGGACAACGCCCGACGCCTCCGCCGCCAGGAGGAAGAACGCCGTGATAACTTCCCGATGTGCTGCGAGATCTTTCTAACTCGCGAGATGACGTCAGCTGACCGGGCGCGCTTCGCCGCTGGGCGTCGTACGCGTGTCCCGACAAGCCCACCGTTGTTTCGTCCACTGACCTTCTATCCTTCTCCGATTCGCTCTCTGCATTCCTAAAAACAGACCCCTCCCATCTGCGCCTCAGGTTCGCACAGTAGAGCCCGCCGACGTAAAGCTCGCCGACACCGTTACGAGTTCCCGTTTCGGATCAACTCGATCGAGTCGATAAGTCTGCCCGCTGCCCGCTGATAACGATAAGAATCAAGCGCAACGATCATCCATTGCTCTCCAAACTCACACTGCCGCCCAGCTGTCTATCTCACACTCAGCCCAGAACACATCATGTCCGACCAGCAATACGACGTCATCGTCGTTGGCGCCGGTATCGCCGGCTCGCTCCTTTCGCGCAACCTGTCCCCGCATGTCCGCACCCTTCTTCTGGACCGCTCGCTCTCCTTCCCTGGCTCAACAGGCCATGCGCCTGGCTTCGTTGGCGAGCTCAACACGATTCCGACGCTGACACAGCTCGCGCGCCGCAGCATTGCGCTCTACCGCTCCATCCCGGGCGGCTTCAACAGCGTCGGCGGGCTTGAGGTCCTGCAGGGCCCGAACTGGCCAGGCAAGACAGCAGCCGATACGGCGCAGACATTGATGGACCGCGAGAAGCTGGCGAGGGAGCAGGGCGTTGAAGCCGAAGTGCTTCTGCCCAAGGAGGCGGCGCGGCAGTGTCCCGCCCTCGTGCGTCCTGATAATGGAGGAGGCATCAAGTTCCCGAACGACGGGACGGCGAATGCACGCCGGATCTCGCTCTGGGGCCGGGAACAGGCGCAGTCTGAGGGCGCCAAGATTGTCGAGGCCGAGGTCTCCTCGATCGATGGCTCGGGCGACGATTGGACAGTCAAGACCAGCAATGGGACGTTCA